TCCCATCCAGGGGGTGTGTGTGCCCTGTGGTGGACTGGTGTGCCATCCAAGGTGTATCCTGCCTCCTGCCATGCTCTCAATGTTTGCTGGGATAGGCTCCAGCTCCCCTGCAACCCGGGATTGAATAAAGTGGTTAAAAATTGGATGTATTGATACAAACAAGGTAAGGCGACACAATAATTCAAAAGGCAATGAATGTGAGTAAATGTAAAGTACTGTAGTTTGGTATTGTATATAAGAGAATAGCAGTGTAACCATCAGACACAGGGAAGAGAATTCTGGTTTGGTTAATTAGGTGACTGAGACTTAAAAAAATGTCTATACATTGATTTGTTTTGTGTTATCCGCAATTATGAAGAAACTATTAAAAAGGTTAAATATGATTTTTGGTTTATTATTTTGGGATGAAAGTCTGAAGAGGCATAACATTTCCTTACTTGACAACATTTGCTATTTTCAGTTTTGATGACCATGTTTTATAAATGCCTATAAATATAAATAGTTCAGGTGGGGAGCTGCGTCAGTATGCGTAGGCTGCAAAGGAACAAGTCATAGATTTATTCTGAGCTGAAAAGAGAAGAAAGGAAACACAACGTTTCGGCCTTGGAGCCTTATTTAGGTGAAGAAGACACCTAAAGAAGGCTCCACAGCCGAAATATTGCATTTTCTTTCTTCTCTTTTCAGCAGGAAATAAACCTATTACTTGCTCCTATAAATAGAACTGTCTGAAAAAAGCCTTGGCAGAGGCCTGGACAAGGCAATGGCTGTATATTCATCATGTGAATGGGAGGGCATGGAATTGAGCATACCTGTGCAAAGACTTCTGTGTGTTCCTTTGAAGCCTATGCAAAGCTAAACCAGAATAAAATCAATGAGAAGAAAGAGGTTATTTACCTTGACTGCCAAAACAGAGCAAACAATTTCCAAACAATTTCATATGTATTAATCTGATAAGTTTCCAAATGAACCACAGTACAGTCTTTCCAGAAAACTAAATGGACTGTGCTGGTATTTTTAAATTATCCTCGTTATCCTTATCTGCCTTTAATTTTTAAAGAATGTCTTTCCGGAATCATGCTGTTGTGGGCTGGAAATGTTCCGACCTTGTCATCTGGGCACTATATTTAAACACAACCGAAGCTGGACAAATAGACATTTGCATTTAAGATCAAACGCTCAACTACAGCTGCAGAAAAACAGACAATGCATTTTTGTGGAAACCAACACTACACTGCCAGTTATAATCTGCAGCCTTTTTCTTAGGAATCACAGAAGACTACACAATTAGAGTGAGTGATCTGACTGAGGGAGTAGTAAACAAGAGACATGAGACTGTCTAGGATGAGACCAGAACCGAGAGTGTTCCTATCGATCAAGCGGCGAGCACACAGGGGCTAGGAAGTCACAGGTGTCTGGTGCTGCACAGTAAGATGAGGATTCATCTGGCCAGCTGTTAAGCAATATCAGCACTGAGCCAAGTACACACAGAAATTACACAGATTACTGATGGGAAAATCAGATTCCAAGAATTTCACTGTGAATACCGGTGCACCTTTGTTTCTTCCTTTCACACAACAGGGGGAGAAAGGATCATCTGGGTTCCCGGGGTCTCAGGGCCCTCCAGGTCTACCTGGGCCTCAGGTAGGTGTCTAGACACCACACGCACATACCGTATGGGCTCAGCAAGGTTTCTTGCTTGTTTTTTCAAATGAAATGATATAAAATAGTCCAAAACTATTGGAAGAATATCAGCAATTTGATTGTTGACTGTTTTTTGATAGTGTACAGTACTGGTTAGGTCTCCGAACTGCTGACTGGAACACCTCAAAACTCTAATCCCCGGTGGAATATTCCAGTTGAACTCTTGACTAGGTACAGTGTTTCAGAGAAATTGCTCTATTAAATGCTCTACTGCACGAAGGTTTCTCTTCAGGGTGTCTTTGCAGACTATCATTTGTTTGCACATGGCTTAGGCATTGAAATCAAAATAATAAACAGAACAGGACAAAATGTATAAATACTGTTAATACGGTTTAATAGAAGGACACTCCCATGAGGGAGTTACAACAGCCACCAGATAACCTGACAAATCACTCACACTGGCCAAAGCATTACCCCTGCTGGGGGATGTATTCCGTAACGTTTTGTAGTCATATTCCACTCCAGTCCCTGGAAGGACGAGCTGTGATGTGGGTCATTGTGCATAGAACTAATTTGGTTTCTCCCTCTATAGTATTGCGTTTTCAGGATTGTTCTAGAAATAAAAGTTTAGACGATGTTCAATTAATGACTTGAATCTTCATCATCAGTAATCTGCTGGTACGCTTGCAGGGTCAAACAGGACGAGAAGGCCCAGAAGGATCTGTTGGGAAGCCGGGACCAGATGGACAGAAGGTTGGAAAATCTTAACATATTTGCAGACACATTCTCAGAATTGCAGTACATAAAAGTACAGTACGCCCATATATTGTTGAAAAGAAAAGTTTTTTACTTGTGCTGTTGATGTTTTTTATTTTAGAAACACAGAGACAGGACAGTAAGTGTTTAAAAGGTTTAGCTATGTAATGTGCCCAACAACCTTCAAATAAACAAAGATTTGATTACAAAAACAAGCAAATTATTTGACCAGGGGTTCCTCTGAGTTTAAATTTTCCTTTAATCTGTGAGTGAGGGAGCTAAATGACTTTAACTCCTGTTAAGGCAAGTTGTATTTTGAAAATCTGATTAATTTGCCTGTTTTTATTATTTATGTTTACAAAGACACCTGTTTAACACCACTTCCTGTTATCAAATGCATTGGGATTTTTATACCCATTCTCTGGACAGTACTTCATCTTAGCATTGCGCCAAAATCAAGGCACATTCTTAAATACAGTGCTCTTTTCACCTCATGGGGGTACTTTTGTCTGAAGTATTTTCTCCCGGTGAAAGTGGTTTTCCATTTTGTGTAGATCCTAAGATCGGAAGAAAGACAGCTTTCCACACTGACACTTACAGAGTGCTGATCTGTCCTTATGGTATTAGAAAAAAAGTATTACATACTGTAGATGCTGTCTTTCTTCAGTGCTGCACCTGGAGTGTGAATGGTAAAAGTTCACACTCCAGCTTACATTCTGAGAAGTAACCTCTTCAGTGACTGTAACTGCCCTCAGCACTATAATGGTGGCTCTGCTCAGCAAGTATTTGTAGTTAACTGCTAGAATAGGAAAAAAGCTTGGAATTGTTAAGCTAAACCATTATTCAACAGAGGCACTTTGACAGTAGCAGAAACAGAAGCTAAAGAGCCGGTCAGGCAGTCATATTTCTTCATGACATAAGGCCATTATTCAAAAACTGAATCCAATGTAGTCCCGTGCATTTAGAGTGGATCTAAATTTTAGAAAATAAGTACAGTGAGTAAATTTTGGAAAGGCTAGATCAGATGCCCAGTTTGTTTACTTTATGCACAAGCACCAGATATTAATTAGCCCAGGGATCTTCACTGGGATTTGTCCTCTCTGGATCTGATTGCACAGATTATTTCTCAAGAGATGTGGTTTTTACATTTAAGAAGAAAAAACCAAGATGACACCCTGACTTACTTATGAAGAAATGCTATTTTTGAAAAATGTGAATCCTTTTATTTTAAGCGTAATGTCTGCCATTTTTTGAGTCAATCACCTAAACCATTTTTCAACAACTGAAACTGAGCAGGAAATGTTATTCAGGCAGCATTTTTGTCTACATACTGTAGGAATGCCATTTTTGTGTTAATTGAGACAAAGTGAACAGCAGTCCCAGTGCCAAGTTACAAAAGAAATAGAAGAACTGCCAGGCACCATCTACAAAGGCCAGAGAGGTTTATGTATTTCTGCAGATAAATTAAATCCCCTAGACACTCCATTACATTTTTCACAAGGAACAACACAAGGAATAATAAGTTAGTCGTCTGTCTTAACCTGCTTGGTAAAGGTCAACCACCTGGCTGTATTGTGGCTCAAATATGGATGTATTACAATACGTTTGCCTTTATTTAACTTTCAGTGGTGTTTGAAAAGCCATATCTAGGATATCCAACATTTCATACTGCATTTGGTTTTTGAAAGCATAACACCAGCTAGAGCATACAGTCGTACTGATGTTAAAATCATTTGTAATAACCGATATATATATAGATTTATAAAAAGCATCTGCTTTTGCTTTGTTGTGCTGTGAAAGAATAGGCCATGTCCCATTCACAACACTGAACTACTGCACGCGTGTAGATTTTTATGCTATGTGTTTTATTTACAATTGCGTTTATTTACTAAAAACAAATTCGTTTTTCAGGCAGAATCAATTTATTTTCTTCATTTCTGAGATCTTCCATTCATACAAATATGCCGCTCCGCTCACCTGGTGGGCAAGGGTGGGCATGGAGCAGTCATGACCCCAAGAGCAAGGGCCCAGCAGCAGTGGCTCCAGTATGGACTCTGCATTGTGGGAAGGAGCGCAGGGAGGAGAGTCGGGGACAGGGCTGGGTTGGAGGGTCTGCACCTCGAGACGGGCAGAACTGGGCCCCCATCATCAGGGTGGTCTGCAGGGGGCATGCCGAGAACCAGGCTGAGCTGTGCATTGCTGTCAATTGGGCAATATCCAGGTGGGGAACAGGCTGGCAGGTAACGGGGCTGGAGTGCTCTGGGTGCAGGGCTGAAGGGCTGAGGTGAGGGTGGGAAGAGGCATCAGGACTGTGATCCAGCCTGCAGGGCCTGAGGGGCTGAGCCACCAGGCCATGTCTCTTATCGGAGGGCCCTGGTAAACGCACTCCTCTGCGTTTACAAAGAGGCACCAAAATGCTTGTTCAAAGCAACACCAAGATGATTAGAGATCTTTGACAAAACTAAATTCTAAGTTTAGTAATAGGTCTTGCCGCTTCACCGGTAATCCAAATGAATTAAAAGACTGTTTTAATCACTGTAACAGAGTATGGGCCTGTATGTTTGTCACTGACTTTTCACCTCCCTTTTAATAATGCGCTTCAGGGTCAGCCTGGAGACCCTGGAGATGGAGCAGCTGGAGGACCAAGAGGACCAGCAGGTTTACCGGTGTGATTTTGTCAAAACATAAAAATGGTGGATTTCTGTGGACTGCCATCTTTGTCGCGTTTAATGATAATGTGATTTAGAGTTACTTCCCTTTCATTATGTTTTGATACCACATAACACCTTAAATGAAATAATACATGCAACATCGTGCATACAATAAATGTAACTTATAAGTATTATTTCTATCTATAATAATAATAATAATAAGTCAAACATATACAGTATCTGGTTTCATTGACCAAACCTTTTTTCTAGAAATGTTATTTCCTATGTGAATGCAATGAAAGAAGGGCTGTAGTTTCCAAGAGTTGAATCTGATATTCTGATTAATTGAATATGGTCCTAGTAAGTGTGATTGAGTCGTGGAAGAGTATTTATTATCTCATTTGATAAACAGGGGAGCAATGGCAGACATGGTTATGGACCCCCTGGACAGAAAGGAAGAAAGGTAGATACCAGGCACACCAGTAAAGAATTTAAAGAATTGTCTGAATTTTTTTATTACTATTTGTATTATAGAAACGACCACCCATTTTCAGCTTTTTACTTACAGTATGTGCGAGTGTCCCCTGCTATCTGAAGGGTATTCCAAATGGTTTGTAAATCCAGAACAGTCTTGAAGAGCTCCAGCAGAGCTCTTTACTAGGTTGCAGTGCCTCGCGTTGATCTTGGGGCTGAGGTCTTGCCAGCATCCAGCATCTGGAAAAAACATTTGACACTCCAATCTGTTTAAGGCTAATGGTTTCCAAAAGAAACTCCATTGTGCTTCGCAGGTGCTTTCCCCAAACGTGTTGGGGAAATCGGATCTTATTAAGTATTCCTCAGCAGAGCTTTCCTCTGGATTGGCCACATCCAAAATACCTTTGATTCCCTGCCATGATTAAACTGCTTCTTCCATTGTGTAGAATAATGAGATGTTGTGGTCATATGTCTTTTCACTTGCCTGCCTTGCCGTCTGCATACAAATCTAAAGACCACGTGTTAAAGCCCATAATAAGACCTTGGAAGAAAAGAGCAACATTAGTCATCAACAGATGATGATAAACACGTGGAACTAGGCATAACATCCCAGTTTACACAGTATGCAGCTTTTGCATATGAAATATGTAATATCCATTGTAAGTGTTTGAGTTGGGGAATCTTCTGCAACTCCTCTCTTGTACTTAAGGATCTTTGCTGACATTTGTTTTGTTTCAGGGTGAAGTAGGTTTTCCGGGCTACCCAGGGCCTCAGGTAGGCTGTGTAAATGCTTTATTGTATTAAAATGTTTGATTTTATTGCATGCTATCATATCCCTCTGACGGGAACCAGCAGCGGATCAGGAGTCGCAAGTTGAATCCACCTCCTGGACGAAAGGCAGTGACTGAGCTGTGCGCACAATTGGAGTGGTTCTGTAGCAGACTGGGGAAACAGAACGCAGTTCAGGCAAATGTAGTCCAGGGCCTGTGCAGGGGGAGTCTGACTTGGAGGCATTCTGTCATAATTCCACAGGTGGTAGGTTTGCACCATTGGCTCCTCAGCCAGGCACAGAGATGTCTGGGAGATGAGGTCAAGCAAAGCAGGTTCCAAGCTGAGATCAACACTTTAGAAAATAACGAGCACACCGGAGGCCCGAGAAATGTAGACAAGAACCAAGCAAGGTCAGGAAAGTGAAATAAACAAAGGACAGGAGAGGAGACCTGGGTAACTAAAGACTTGAGAAGCTCAGAGAACAAACACTATTGTATAACAGAGCCCTCGAGAAGAGTCTGAGCAGCCCTTAAATATCCCTGAATCACCTGGAGTGGTGAGATGGTGACAGCTTCCAGGTGATCCAGGTCTCCTGTCACTTATCCATCTTCAAATCTGTCCAACAATTCATGGACTCAATTCATAAAAATCTCAGCGTGAGACATAAATGTAAAGGTCACTTATTGGCCAAGTACTTCTGCAATATAATAATAACCAACCCTGTCACGCGTGAACTGGACTCAGGACAGACAATTCATATTTTCTTCCTGAGTCTGGCAAAACCGATAATCTCATTTGTTAAAATACACAATGAGAACCACTCATGTGAATTCATTGAGTTGCTGTCCCTGCATAACACTTGTAAAAAATTGAACATAGTTTGAAAAGCAAAACGATTTTTGAGCTACTAGAAGGGATATAAAACAGGACAGCAAAATAACAAATCATTCAGATTATGTTTTCTATATATACGGTATTATGTCATATTATAATAATCAACGTGACATTATTGACATAAGTAACACCAGCATATACTGTAACTGTTTTGAGTGGCTGCACACTGCTCAGGGAAAAGTGGTAAATGTACTGTATATTTAGTTCCAAAAGAAACACACAGCTCATTACAAAATTATCCTATGTACTTTTTTGGAAGGAATAAATCCATCTTGAAATGAGCCAAGTTTCTATCTAAAATTAGCCAAAATGGTGTCAAAAATCATTTATCAGTGCCAACACATTAAGATTTGGGTATTAGGAATGCTCACAAGCCCTCTCTGTCATCCCAGAGTGGAATGTAACCAATAAACCTGGTTCATCACCCCTACTGTTTCGGGAAGTCCAGCGGGCTGTGTAATGACTAAGTAGTGAAGGCCATTGCTGTCCAGACCAGGCTGAGGCCTGCTTAGCTGCTGCCATCTGCAGGGTGTTAATGCGGCACAGTGATGTACACAGTCACATCAGTAGCTTCAGCTTTTGAGAATTGCTTCTTTAATTATGTTGGTCAGCGTTGAAAGAATGTTACACTGGCTCATACAGTAACTGCAGTGGAAGAGCACTGGGCTCCTACTGTGTTTGGAGCGGGATATGTATCCAGTACTGTAGGAGAAAGCAAAGCTCAGTGTCTCTTCTCCTCTTGGCTTTAAGGGACCACCGGGGGATCCAGGAAGGAAAGGAAGCATCGGTCCCACAGGGGTCCGCGGACGCCGGGTGAGGGCCGTTGATGTGCTTTATCTCTGCAGCTGTGTCGAGCTCCTCGGAATAACATCTCGGATTCCTTCTTGCCAGAAATGTGCAGATGGAAAGTACTAACTGATGGAACGGTGCAGGAGTTAGAAATACTGCCTCACTTTTGTTGGGTCCCTGGTTTGAGTGCGGACGCGTGGGTCTCCGGCTTGGAGTTTGTGTGATCTGCCTGGATGCAATGCTGTCCTTCGGGTTTCCAAAGAAAAACACGGTGGCCAGGTTATGTTGTATCTCTATCTCAGGAGTGCGTGTGTGCCCTGTGGTGGACTTATGTCTACCATTACACAAGAGTTTGCTGCCTTGTTACACAGGAGTTTTTGCAAAACCAAGGGCAAAGGCAAATTCAGCTGGCTGCATCATGAATTAGTCGTTTCGGTTCCAACTTAAAAGCACCTGGGCAGAAAAAGTCCACTTTTTTAATTCTTTTTTTAATAACACGGGCTGAGCCACAGCATGCGTCGGTGCTAACAAAAAGCTACTTTCTCCACAGAGTTAAATTTTTGTGTGTATCTGATGTCTAGCGGGACCCCATTAATTGTGCTGTGTGTTTGTTTCAGGGTTCCACCGGCAGGCCTGGCGCCCCCGGACAGCCTGGAAACCCTGGTCTCCAGGGCCATGGGGTCAGCTTTGAATCTGATCGTCCCTCTGTTACGGGAACTACAATTACAGCTGATCCGTGTCTGACTGTGCTCGGATCTTGAGATTTCCTGGGGTCTTTTGTTTTTCTGTAAATATAGGACCGCATAAACAAGCAAACTAGGGTGGCAGGGGAAATTCTGTGCCCATGTGGCTGGCCTGCAACAGGCCGGCATCTCTTCCAGGATGTGTCTTGGCGTGAGAAAAAAGGCACAGTAAATAATATACAGTGTCAAATCTGAAATCGACCTTTTGTGATTGTGTCGATCTCATTTTCATGTCACTTTCTTATAATTTTCAAAACTGTATTCTTTTTCAGGGTGCTAAAGGACCGAGCAGACGCAAATCAGACAATGTATGTATTGTAGCTGCATTTTATTTCCAGATTTAAAAATATGAACCTACTGTAGCTAATCAGTCAAGTTGTTGGAGCCCCTTTCGGAGAACAGCTGGATGAGATCTTTGGATCACTCAGCCATGAGCTACCAAATGACTCCCACTTGTTTGTAACCTTTGTAATGTTCTTGTTTGATTTAATGAAAATTCAACATACTGTATCTCTATTTCGTTTATCCATCTAGATCTGTGAGCTTGTTTCCCACATCAAGAAGCTATGCCGTAAGTTTTTTTTTCCTCCAGAGATTTTCATACTGTATTAAATGAAACATAAAGAGCACATCCAACAGCATGCTACCGAGGAAACAAAAGATGATATAAGAAACGCTAACAGCTGTTGTATCAAACCTGACAATTCGACAGCAGGCAACATGAAAATCAACATTTTTACTTTTTAAAAGTAATAAGTGCGGTTACAATTTAATTTACCAGTAAAAATGCTTGATTGTTGCAGAGCAATGTGGGAATGTGGAAGGCTTTTTTTTTTCTTTTTTAAAAATATTTTCTGAAATCTAAAACACTCGTCTCTGATTTCAAAATCAAAATAAAACTGTACTGTAATAGCTATGTACCAAACTGCTGTTGTTTTTTTTATAGAAATAATAAAGATTAATCATTAATGGCTTTGTAATGAAAGATTTCATTTTTTTCTTTGTGGACGTTTGAAATTTAAATATGAACTTTGTTCGACAAATGCTGCTGGGCAAATTTAACATTTTGTCTCATTTTCTCTTTAACAGCATGCTGTGAAGGTAATTTGTTGGAATTCTTCTACATAATTAATTTATTCTTTGGTGTCTTCTCTTTTATTGGTAATATTTATTTTAGCACTTGGCACCAACTGTAATGAACGAGTGAGGTCAAGACTTCAAACTTGACTTTTTAAAACCCAGAGTTAAAAGTATGTGGTGTGTGTATAACTACACTTCAAGTTGCACTACTTCAAAGTTTATGTACTATTTGGAATTCTTTTTTATTTCTTTTCCATCTTTTTTGGCTGTACTCAGGCACCCACTGCATCCACAGGGGTTGTCTGTTGATTTAGTTATAGAGTTATATCAGGCCTAACTTGCCAGATTCATCCAGCCTATAAAAAAGGTTGTACAGTGCAAACATGCATACAGCATGTTTCTAAACCTTCTCAGAACTCCTCCTGCAGGGATCAGACTGTTTATAAATTAAATAAAAACTGCCCAAATATCAATTTTAGGTCTAAATAGCATTCTACCATATTATATTAAAAATAGTACACAGTATATTCTTTAATTCATTTAATGTAAAAACCTATTTTTGCATAGTTTGATTTTGTGTGTGTCTGTGAGGGGGACTCATTTGGAATTTGGAATTGTAATGAGACATAGTAATATTTTTTCTATCTCTTACTGTTATAAAATGTGTATCAATTCAGCATTTATATAAATTCCCTTCAGAAGAGGTTTTTATTTTATTTTTTCTGGCTGGTTACTTGATACTCAGCCCTTGGTGAGCCAAAGGACCTGAACACCTGTGGAAATAAAAGGGTCGCTTTCATTTGCAGCATGAAATTATTTTAGTATTGCACCATTTCTTTTGTTGTTTTGCAATATCCGTCTTGCAGTGTGTTGAAGTTGTTGGAATGTGTCGATTTCTTCCCAGGCAGGACGGATTGCCCTGTGTACCCAACAGAGCTGGTCGTTGCCCTTGACATGTCCGAGGATGTTACTCCGCAGGTCTTTGAGAGAATGCGGAACATCGCCGTGAACCTCCTCCAGGATCTGACCATCTCAGAAAGCAACTGCCCCACCGGGGCCCGCGTGGCTGTTGTCTCCTACAGCTCCACCACAAAGTATCTCATTCGCTTCTCGGACTACCACAGGAAAAAACAACTGATCGAAGCTATAAAAAACATACCACCAAAGAGAACAACCAGCCGCCGCAACATCGGGGCGGCTATGAGATTCGTAGCCAGGAACGTGTTCAAGCGAGTCCGCCAGGGTGTGCTCATGAGGAAGGTGGCCATCTTCATCAGCAACGGAGCATCGCAGGAGGCCACTCCTATTGTGACAGCAGCACTGGAGTTCAAGGCTCTGGACATCACCCCCGTGGTCATCGCCTTCAGGAACGTGCCCAACGTCAGACGGGCTTTCGAGGTGAGGGGGGAAAAAACAAATTGTTATTGAAACACGAGTGAAAGGTACAGAATCTGTGAATACCTCTGCTTAAGAATTAGTGCTGTCCTGTTGGTGATGACAGTAAAAATATACCCAGAAGCTGAGTTTAGTGTCCTACCCTTATTTTTGAAGTAGTTCGGAACTGTAATATGTTGTTCGTGTTGCATATTAATACATTTACCTTAAACAGAATATGGGTTCTGATTCTTTTTTTTTCACTTGCCTTCTTTTGATCTGTAAAATAAATTGCTTTTTGTATAAACAAGTCAGTATGATTGTAGCTGATAAGGTATTTCCTTTTTTCTGTAATTATTTTTAACTTTGTACTCTTATGAGTCTGCATTGTAACATGGATGTTACAAAAACCCGCTGCATGTTTTAACATTGGCTTTTATTCAGCAGTTTGTTCATTTGTTTTTAGTATCATACAGTATAATTCAGTAAATCCTGATGCTCTAGTATCATCATCAGAGGGAGCATCATTATCATCATGGCTCTGCATCAGTATGAAGGTGACAGAGCTTTAGTGTAGTTGAGCTTTGTGTTTGGTCTAAAGTTAATAATACTGTTACAGTACATCCATTATTAGACCATCTGTACATGAGAACATTCAGAATCTTGTTCGTAACCATGTAAATAAGCATTAGTAGTGCCCAATTCCTACCACGTTATACTTAGCCCTACCAACGCTCTGAAGTGGGGCTGGATGGTATGACGTTGCTAGATTTCTTTTTAGAAACATTCTTTTTTAGAAATTGCTCCCCACTGATGCTCTGGATTAATTTAGAAAAGTAAAGCAAAAGTAGATGATATTGTTGTTTTGTATGATTTGTTGTAGAACGTCAAATGAATGAAAGCAAAAAAAAACAAAGCATCTCTATTTTAATGGGTTTGTAAAATGAGCCCAATTCTACATATTAACACATGTAAACATTTTCTTTGATCAACATGATCTACCTCCTTAGTCCAAAAATCCCCAAACAAGGCTTATTCTGTTTCTCTGCTTCATTATCAGGCCGATGAAAGTGGGAGTTTCATGGTGTCTGTGTTGGAAGAAGCACAGGATCAGAGCCCGGAGCTCTACAGAGTTCGGCAGTGTGCGCTGTGCTACGGTAAGCCTGTGACAAACAATAACAAAAACTTCATGGGGAGGGTTCCCCATTATTAATGCAATGTATAAGTGTGTGTAGATAGCATGTAATATGCACGGGCTTTTTTTTTTGTGTTTATTCCTTGTTTCAGATCCATGCAGTCCCTCAGTGGTATGCCAAAGCTTCAAATCTATTCCCATTCCTCTGCGCATGGACTTGGACCTGGCTCTGGTAGTGGACAGCTCCCGGAACGTGCCGACGGATCAGTATGATGGTGTCAAGGAGCTTCTGAGCTCCATTCTGGACCAGCTCGACGTTAGCAGCCAGCCAGGGACCTCCGACAGGGGAGCCAGGGTGGCTCTGGTGCAGCACAGCACACTGAACTACCCCCCACGGCGAGGAGAAGAGCCTGTCAAGATCGAGTTTGACCTCCTGCGGTATAGAAACAGGGACTTAATGAAAAGGCACATTCACAAGAACATGCGGCAGACCGGTGGCTTGTCCTGTACTGAGCATGCTGTGGAGTGGGTGATCCACAATATCATGCTCAAGTCCTCCAGGCCCAGACCAACGAAGGTCATTTTTACAGTTATCGGAGAAGAGACAAACGTGTGGGACCAAGCCAAGCTGGATCACATTGCCCTGCTAGCTCAGTGTGAGGGCGTGACTTTGTTCACCCTTTCACTGGGGCGTCAATCCAATGTCACAGCAGTGGAAAAACTGGCGAGCGTCCCACTGGAACAGCATCTGCTGTGTCTGGGTGAAGCGAAGCATGGTGGGATAGAATACGCTCAAAGGTTTACTCAAGGCTTCATTCGCATTCTAAACAGTAAGGAGACGTTGATTTCATTTCCCTTCTGGTCCGTACTGGTCTTTAATGACCAGGTTCTTCTGCTGGTCTTTAATGTTACCCCCAGTCCTGTGTCAATTGCAAAGACATTGTGACAGGTTTGCTATTTACTTTGCGTCACTTCATTTGTCTTTGATGGACGTTGCAAAGATTCTCAACACCCTTGATATTTCCTGGACTCTAATCTCATCTGGTCCATCCTGTTAGGGATTCCCATATCACTGGGATTCTCAGTCTTGGGTCCTGGGTGACCACTTCTGATTTTGCCTTCTGCTGGCTTCCTTTAGTTTGAGCCAAGTTCCTAATCCCAGGAGAATTCATTTCAATTTTCTTTTTTAGGTGTATTTTGTAGGATTCATTCAGAACAGCATCTGAATGAATTAAAAGGTTTTATGGGGGTTGTAATCAGTAATCAGTATTGCCCCCATGCACATGAGTTCCTCTCATTCAGGTGAGATGTTCAACCAATTAGACTTAAGCAGGAGGTAAAGACAAACACTGTGGGAGTGTTTGATATATTATCATTTAAACTTGTGCCATATGTAAGTTGATTACTCAAATATTTTTAGTCAGGAATAAAGAATGAAATACTTCACAGGAGGCTGAGGAGGATTAGCAGGCTGAGGAGAGACAGTATACTGTATATTTCTATATGCTGAAGTTGTTGGAAATATTATTCTTTAACTGAGATATTTTTGGACAAGTAATTGTTAGGACAAGTAATTAAAAGTACCGAAAACCAGTAGACACAATGAATTGCTACACTTTGTAAAAAAGGCCCTACCTCACTCTTGAATTCTTTATACTTTTAATTTTTTCACTCCAATTTCAAGTTTATTCTTTTATAAGCGCACTGTGTTTCTTAGGCCCATTTCATGTAATGGTGTTGATAGGGAAGCCATCTTAGACACATTACAATTTGACATTTCTGCAGTTCTGTGGCATCACACTTTTTCGCTTCAGACCTGCAGCAATTACAGAGCTATCTTGTTTCCTTTTTTCAGAACGAATCCCTCACATCACTGGTTCCCAGCAACTTTCACACAGATCACAATAAAAACATCATAGAGCTGTTATGACTGTTAAAGGGGAAGAACACTATGGACTGTGTTTTTTTTTCAGCATGTTGACAAAGGGTTCATGAGTAACTTTATAATGAGTAGCATATTATTGATTAAAAAAGGAAACATGAACAGATGTTGACTGTAACTTCCACATCCCCTCATAGTTATTCAGTGAGAATACTGGTAAGGAGGTGTGTTACAGTATATCAGACACATACTGTGATGCTGCATAGGAGAAGTAGATGGTACTGTAACTGTATTTGTTTAATGTATTTTGGACAGTTCATTTGAGCACAACGTTGTCCATGCTAGCTTTTAAACGAAATCCATACTCCCGCAGGTGGAATCAACACATATCCTCCACCTGATGTTCAAAGAAAATGTGAAAGTCTCCAGAAATGGTTTCACTCTAAAGGTATCCCTGGAGAATATTTGGAAGGAGGTACAGTAGGTTTCTGACTTACTTCATCAAGGATATTCCTTTTTTTTAACCTGTATTCATGAACCCAGTAAAAGAAAAATAATGTATTTAGAATATCTGTAAAGGAGCAAGACTGTTGATCAAGCATAAATCTCAACTTCAGCAACTAACCAGGTACAGTATGTCACCATATACTGTAAATCAGGTTTCATGCTGAAGTTAAGATGTAAAAACTGAAGGTGTCTGATGGAAGAAACCTTCACATGGTATTATCTTTTACAATACTATCCTTGTATTATCTAATACTTTGTGTTTTTTTGCACAATGGACTTTGGCTTCACTTTCTGTTGAAAGTTTTTCTCTTTTTCGAAACAGTTGCACATACTTGACTATTTTACAGGATCTGGTGGAAGAGATTTACACGGACTATACCATCACCTCGACGAAGAAACCGGGGAGCAAGAACAGTACGTTACAGAGTTTGTAGACCTTCATGGAAGCAAACAGGCATACAGCTACAGTGAGGAAAAGGAGACGGAGACGGAGGGAATTGTCAGACTTCGCGGGAGGTGAATTATATGTAAAGAAACTGGGGCCTTATTCTTGAAGCATTCCTAAATCCAACATTCTTCTGAAGTTTAGTACAAAAATACAGAGCTGCTCTTCTTTTTGTGTAAATGTGTTTTCTGCCCTTTTACAAATGAAATGGGAACATGTTTGTATTCAGATGTAACGTGTGTTATATATGCACCTGTTCTGGTCCAAAGGAAAGGTATCGTGGTATTGTACTGTAATTGGATTAGATAATATCTCATAGCAACGAAAAACATTTTAGCCACTCCCCATTTACATGTTTCTCTAGTGTTCAAGCATGCCACCTGCATATGACATTCACTTTTGTGTCTTTCGTAATGGGTCTGACAGCAATCCGTTTTATCATCCCCTGGGTATATTCTCCCATGATTTAATGTACACTCACCCTTCAGTTATAATGTATCTTTACCCCGCACTGAATTTCAAAGCATTTCTTTCATTCTTATCATCAGTAATAATTTGATCGGATATTTCTTAGCACTCGAATAATAAAACATATGTTTCTCAAACTATTAAACAACTCAAGTTTTGATGGACACTACTTCCAGAGCACGTTTCTCAAAAATGCCATCTTAGCGAGGCACATAAAGATTTGTGGGTGAGCAAGATTGATTTATTGTGTGCTTTCATGCAATGTTAGGTGGCTGGGTGGTATGATACATTTTCTACTCCTTAATAATCCAACTGTGTTCAAATGTCATTGAATTGTTTTTATATCCTTCTCCTGATCTTTGTCTTTTTACACTTTTGTTCATGAGTTTTTTTGAAAGTCCCTTTGGTGGAATGCTTGGTTGAATACTTTTTGTCAGCTACAATGAGCAAATGTATCTGCATCTTCCTTTCGAAGATGTAATAAAATGTATGTGTTTTCCATCCATCCATTGTCTAACTGCTTCTTCCAATTCAGGGTCGCAGGGGAACTGGAGACTGTCCCAGCGAGCAACAGGCACAAGGCAGGATACACCCCCGACAGGAGCCCATTGTAGACTTTATTTTATTTTTACCAAATTTATGTGGCTTACAGTTTAATCCAAATCACCTTACATTTGCACCCACCTATGCAGGTAGGCTTTTCACTGGAGCGATTTGGTTGGAGCACCTTGTGCAAGAGCACAACTGCCACACACCTCACTGGACCTGAACCCACAACCTTCCAGTTGCAAGTCCAGAACCCAGACTGTTATTCCACAGTAGTCCCTCATAGAGTAAAACCTAAATGCATATAGGACTATGGATATAACCAGCTATTATTTTAAAGCATGCTTTCTGTTGTTTGTGTGTCAGCATTTTAACAAATGAAGACATCAAGTTCCCTGGACTTTAGTACCAGATTCCCCAAAGTGATCAATCTTGTGCAGTGAAAGACATGGCAGTACTTAGAAAATATAAGAAGACCAATACAAAAATAGGGAGTTTCATCAGTCAGACGCTGTGAACATTTTGTTCGAGGAAAATTAGGAGAATCACAAGGGAAAGATTCCAATTTCACAGAAACACACAAGGGAGTATTAAAGTTGCATATTCAGATTTCTTTTTTCCTAAATGACAAGAGTGATTAATTACTCTGACCTCTACTTGAAACTATGTACAGTGACCACATGTTTTCAGTCCCATGTATGACCTCTAAAGTACATTTTCTTTTTTTATTATATGTACAAGCAAAAAAGTATGCATACTAAATATATAGTCCACAAAATATTTTTAACATGTACGTTGAGCATTAAGTTGGTTCACAGTTCTCGTATTTTCTGGATTGGGTGCAGCTCAGCGAAAATCTTAAACTGGGCTATTCGTGGCAATTATCTTTTTTTTCTCTGTTTTTGTTTGTTTTAGTAAGAAAGGTAATTGCAGGCAAGTCAGTGACTCCAGGTGTTTTTTGTGATCTCGGTGATCTCTACACCGCAATTAATTTTCACAATTTGTACTAAACCCAAGCCTCTTTACACATAAAAACTTGTTGTACAATTTCATTATGTATATGTCTTATACAGTAAAAATAATTATTATCATCATTATTATTAGAGTTATATTGAAAGATTGTGGCTTTTGGATAAATGCTTGTGCAGAGTAAGGGATTGCAAATGATATAGCATATCACTCAAGAGAGATCTGACCATATTCCTGTACCAAAAAATGCTCATTTTCTGTACAGGTGGCACATATTTAATTACATGGGTTTGAATCTCTAGGAGAAATAAGACAAACTCGTCCTTTTTGAGTGGTGCAAGCATATTGTTAGAAACCTTTCTGGGCAAGCATGGTTGGCATAACAATAACTTTTTTTTAACTTTCAGAGCTAATTTTATGTGATTTTAAAACTCCTGCTGACCTGATAGAGACATATGGGATTTGTCTTCCAACATTCAGATGACTCATTCAGTTTCTCCCAACAGGCATTCCAGTGAGAGTTAACATTCACGCACTGGACATGTGCTTTAACACCCATCCATAAAAAAGTGAGAAAATCGAGCTAAATAATTATTAGCCTCTAAGTCTTAATTCTACTAGACTTAAGACTATGAAAATGATGATTAGAACATACTGTAGATGATCATGTGTTTGGCAATGGCATTCAAGGGGATAATCGAAGTGAATTTCTAAGAGCTATGTCTTGCTCTAGTAATTTCCTATTAGAGCAAGCAGCAACAGAAATAAACAGAGAGTGTGATATGGGATATTTAGAAAGGAAGAGCTTCAGCAGATTTAATTCTTACGTTAAATACATTTATATCTATATTTACATCCATATCTATATTTACATCTATATTTATATTCATACGTGTGATACGATTTTCTGTGTACTGTTCTGTTCTAGTTTGTTCTTTGTGTGTCCGGACTGTGAGTAACTCTTGTATTGGATTGTATGTATTGTACTATTATTATATAATTCGTTACACTGTGGCTGTGTTGTGTGTGTTAAGCTGCTGTTGCACTGCAATTTCCCTCACGGGATCAATAAAGTATCTACTGTATCTAAAGACAGTTACTGTGGTGTTGAGGCTGGCTGGTTTCAGAGAGGGGATGTAATAACAGGGCCTGCCACTAGAGGTCACTCAAGGCCTCCATTGTAAGGAAGTACCGCAGGCACACCGGAGAGGAGTTTCGTGAATGAATGAGATTGTGAGTGGCGGTTCATTCCACATTCACACGTGGGGGTTCGTGAGTGGACTTTTGCGATGTATGTAAAGCGCCTCACGATAGTGGCGCTCTTGAAGAGTAAGTGTTAGTTATTTTTGTTTGTTTGTTATAAAAGTAGCAGTGCTTGTGAAGGTTTTTTTCACCCCCGTGTGTGCAGATCCCTTGAGCCATCTTACGTCGTCATTGAGTTTGTCGCAGGTATTCGAAGAAATGCTTGTAGTTTGATTATAAAACTCGTTAAAGGGTGGAAATCTGCAATTTGTTAAGGGGTGAATGCTTACATTGGGGTTATGCAGTCAGCAGAGAAAGGTAGTTTAGCACAAACAAGAATTATAAATGTAAGGTGGTCAACATGGATTTTGACGAGATGCTTTTGAGAGACTTAAATGTATATGTTAGCATACGGTGTTCTCTAGATATTGTGGGAAAGCAATGGCAAACAGGATATTAAAATGTATAGGTAAATGTAATAAGCACAGACAGAGCATAAGTGTGAAGATAACAAAATTAATACATAACAACAACATCTTTTAGACATCTATGTGAAGAAGATAGTGTGGAAGGCCAATACTGTATAATCACTGATCACCCCTTGCACAATGAATTTGACCTCCTTCCACCTGGGCATCGATTAAGACTGCCTAGGTTCAGCTAGGACATCTTTCATTCCCACAACTATTAACCTGCTTAGTTTGGACAATTGGCTGTATGAGAACAGTACAGGTTTATTGCATGCTCAAAAGAGAAGAAATGCAACCTTTATGCAAACTTCAGCTGGCTGTATGTTTACTTTGCATACAGTATACTGTATATATTTCTTTATTTTCTTTTCCATCATGCATCAGTTAAACAAAAAATGGCTAAACAGCATGAAGTTAGTAGTTTATACTTAGAGCTACTCTATGTGGACCAAATAGTCTCTTGTTTGTAGCATGGCGTTCACTGAATATGTATTCTGTATGTTTGTGTGCACCTCATTTACAGTTAGATGTACCAAGGAGCTGTAATGAGCGAAGGCTGATCACATATAGTATGTATGGCAAGAAAGATCTTATTTTTCCAATATCTGTTTGTATTGAAGAATTTCTCTTTGAAACTATTAAAATAGAGAGACGCATCTGGGTCTATGTTGTCTGTTAGTCTGCCTTTAATGAAAAAAAAAACAGTTTAACAAGGCTTGTATGCTTTTGTCAGCTATTGCTATAGTAATCTGGCACAATTCCTTACATGACATTTGACAAACTCGCAAACAGGCATGCAGTTTGAATCAGAAATGAAACTTAGCTTGGTTATGGAGTCATTGTAACAATGTGCGCATGTATTTTTAGATTTATGCAATTATTAATAATTCACAAGTAACAAAAAAAAACAGTACTGTAGTAGACTCTGTAAGCAGCACACCAGGAGGTAGCAGGTATTTCTGAACACTTAAGGTTTTACAGTATAATGATTCATGAAAGTATGGTATAGTAGTCTATGCAATATAACATGAAGCCATAACAAAAATTAACAGGCTTTGAATTTTTGTGATGGTGTAGCTTAATTTTGAATAGAAAGATTGGTATTTAATGTTTTAACATCAATTTTGGTCACGGGGAATGCAGTCCAAAATGTACTTAATTTGGAAAAACTGGCAAACACATCCCCGCATTAGGCTTAAATAATACTTGGCTCTTGCCAGCAGCAGTTCCAATGAAGAAATGGAACCAAAATGGCGACTTGCTGTTAGATATTCCCTCGGTGCTTTCTTTTAAGACCCTTCCACTGGCCCCATGTGGAGAGGTGACTTGGAATGCCGACTCCAGGGAGTGCATTACGTGGGTCACTGTCGTTCCCAAACGAGCCCAGGACAACTTTTTGTCTACTTTCTTCTTCTCCCTTTGTAGTCTCCGCACAACTTCCTTCCACCTCCTTTTCAGCTCAAGAAGGTGACTGTTAAAATTGTGCATGGAATCCAATGTTACGGACGTCCTCATTCAAAGAGTATGTGTAGAAAGTCACAAGCCCACCCCCCCTTGAATACCCTTGAATTATCCACCCTTCTTGCTCTGCCTCTGGTGTTAAGTCATCTCATCCAAAGCATTCACCCGAGTTGCTGTTGACTCTACCAGGGAGACAGTGTGCTTAGCTTGATCACAAGACATGATCCAGTCATCAGATGTTACCTGCATCGGTATGGAGTTGTTGACCTCATATTTGTCTATTAGTGAATTGCTAAATTTTGCAAGATGTGATTGTGATGCTAAGTGAATTGTCCTTGACTCAGTGTTTGAATACCTGTAAGAATATGCTTCATCATGGCTGAGAACATAAGGGTCATAGGAATTTTTTTTCTTGGCCAGTCAATGTCATTCAATTGTTTGCCAATGGAAGAAGTGTGTGCTGTATTTTGGGGTTGTCATGAAGAACTCTCTAAATGGGGGATTTTGAGTGCAAAAAAAACATTATGCTGCAAGGGGAACCTTAAATGGTGTAAGTTGTGTGCTTTGCTCTAGGTTATAAAAGACCAGCTCAAAGAGAGATACTGTACCAGTCTGTTACAAGTTTCTACCAGAGACAGGAGATTGCACCACAGCAGCATAAACTGCCTGGAAGAAAAGAGGTTGGTACAGCAGCCTTAAAAAAACCTCCCTAATGAGAGCTAATGAGCCACTTTTCCTTACTACAGCTGCTGGCATTGCTGCTGTGGAGGTCAAGGAGAAGACGTAGAGAGAGAGAACAGAGCTGACAGAATCTCTGCTCCCCAGATGGGGAAATAAACGCCAAAATCCTAGAGCTGATTCATCTCAAAAATGAAAGAAAGTGAGAGCTAATGAAAGAAGAATTCCATTGTTTTACCTGACATGTGAAGAAGTACTTCTTGGGAGACTGCCAGTGCATCTCTTGAGCTGCATTGGAGAGAACCAGCTGTAAATTGAAAATGCTGCTATGATCTGACTGAAATGGCCCAGTTGTACAAGTAGTTTGGATGTATAGCCATCAGCACCTAGAGGAATTAACATGACCTCTTTGTCCGAAGAGAAGTCACAGGACCCGGTAACGCAGTGGATAAGTAGCACATTCTAAAAATATTACCATTTCAACTTACTGTACTTCCATGTGGTAAATATCCCTATAACATGTAGTGGAGAACAGCAGTTTCCAAAAGTAGGTTTCTGGTACAATAAAAAATATTTTTTTTGTAATCACTTCACATGGTACACATTAATTAAATCATGAAAGGCCACATGGTGTTCCTTCTCCTTCTTCTTCTTGCTCTAAATTGGTTGAGTGATGACTGATCACAAATATGTACTCCTGACATGCTGCGACACATGGGATGCCAGATATCTGAGCTGTTGTGTCCATTATGCGATTCCTCAGAAGACACATTAACTTTGTGCAACAATATTGAAGAACATCTTGCTTTCCAAATTTATCAGGAAATAGAGTGACAAATTTTGAAAGTCACAGCTCCCACGGTGCCATTAATTACTTGCACCATCCACACAACCTTCATCCGCAAGATTCTGAGAATTCCAAGTGCAGTCTTGGACCAAATGGGAGTACGAAAAAGAGTGTACAAAATTCAAAGGTGTTGATCCTAGAGGAGGCATCCAGGTGTTGATGGAGCTGTTGCCTTTTCACTGCTTGTTCAGTCTCTTTCCACTTAGGTGTGGTTTCAGTCCATCTGTGTTCTGGGGGATGAATGGGCGTGATAACAGAGGGGAGACCTGTTTAATATTTTTAAGGATCTGGGAGTGTTTCTTCAGGGAGTCTCTATACCTCGGGCTCTGTTTAGTTAATTTATCACTGGAAATGTATCAGTGGGAAAACGAGAGTTGTTACAAAGTTAAACGGGTTGTTTTAAAAGGTTGCTCTTGTTGCACAAGGTTTTCTTTGTTCTGCTTTGTACATCTTTGAAAGGGTACCATCCCTTCCTCCCAGAGCAGCTTAAGGACCTTCAGCCTTTATTTTCCTTTGCTTCTGAAGCAAGTCTTTATTTTACCACACGTTCATTGGCCTGTCACCCTATACGTTTTACTGTTTCTTTCTTACGTGTCCTGCAGACCTCATGGCTCCAGACCTAATCAGCTTCATTTTACTGTTGCATTTAACTGTTGTTGTGCTTAGCAGGCATTTGTATTGGTCATACCCTACACCACCTTTGGCTGTGTTCGTGATGTGCACCTGTTAAGGTTCTTGTCTTTCCCTTTGATATTGGTTGGGTGAAGTTCAAGATCATTTTGGTTCTCTTCGTTTTTCAGTCCCATCTCCCTCAGTGGCAGTGAATATACAAACCTGAGTTTATTTGCTGCTAAAGGTTTCACACAACATGTTTTGCTTGACTTTGAGGATAAACTTGCTTCTGAATGCAATGCCCTAGTTTTCCCTCCCTCAGACATCGTTCTCCCATGATGAATCTTATTGTCCTCTTGCTCCAGCCACCTGCAGAGAACCAAAGCATAATCTCTTCTGGGTCTTGTAATGGCGAATAGCCGATTGGGATGTTCTTGATCAACTGCTTTTCTTTCACATGTCCAGTTCCTCTCTTGAGCCCCCAGCCATTTGATCTTCTCTGTCGTCATTTCCTGGTTTTGTCTGCTGCATGTTTTTAAACTCTTCAACCAAAATAAGCCAAACAAAAATAGCAGCGACAACAATACAAAGAATAAAAAAGGGATGTTATACAGAGGTCCGTTAACATCCAAATATATTTTAAACATCTTAATAGTACAAAAATATTGACAATGCTCATTTACATGCCTTTGTCCATTAAATTTCGTGAGTCTTTATTTCCTTCAAGCTGAGACTTACCAGTTATTAAAGGACCTTATAATGAGCCCAAGTATGCATCTGGATTTTATGATGCCAACATAATATCACCAGTGGAAGCCAGCTGGCCTGGCTTTACTTGGAAACTCACACAGCACTCAAATGCCATTAGTTTCTTGTTCTTGTTAACCCACGGTGTAATGCTTTTACTGTAATTCCTCATTGTCATGCAGGGACAGCTTACCCAAATCAGATTTCCAAGTATGTATTTTAAGTTATTAATTATATATGATATATTTGATATATAAATAAAAAGCGAATGCCTTATTTCTTGATGTCTGGTGATGAATAACTGCTCATAATTTACTGCTACTCTTTTAAATTGTTACTGACTGTTTTGGCCCTGGACCTCACCTTCTGGTCTGGAAGAAAATAAGTCAGATGAGGTACTCCTAGTAATATCCAGCAATGTCCGTGATGTAATTAAGATTTGTCCTGTGGGCTTCTCTCATCTCCCTACGAGCCAGAGACCCTGGGAAATCCCTAGGTTCCTGCTAGCTTGCAGTGACATCAAAGACGGACACTCCGCTCATCCATCCAGAGCCAAGATACGTACCTGTATGTTCCTGAGGAGCTTTTGTCATGTCAGAAAATGAATGGGTTAATTGGTGTGTGGCTTAATGTCATTGGTGTGAGCCAGAACATATGAGAAAAAAGAAGGTATTGTAGCAGTTGTGGACCTGTAGTGCCAGAAGACATGACTGCAGTCTTTATTCCGTTGGGTTTATGGTGAAACTAGTTTCCATATGTGCATGCCGGGAGTACAGCTTGTGTAGCAAGATCATGCGCACTGGGAGCAAGCCAGCTGCCCAGTCCCGTCAACATCTGCAGTCGCCGCCTGAGCAGAAAAGAGCCCCTTGTCTAAGGGAAGTTATCCTAGGCTTCCATTGTATCAGGGGGGTCAGAAAGCTAGTAAATGTCTTCCCTGGAGGTTCAGTACAGACCCAATGAGCTAGGAACTGCATGAGCGTTTTGCTGCACACTGGAAAGAACTCCACAGAGGGCCAAAGCACAATGTGAGCTGGATTTATGTTTCTTTGTGGACCGGGGTGTAGAATGGGAATTAGGCAGATATTGATTCCTAGATCAAGGCTCTTTATGTCTGAGCTGTGGTGCGGATGCTGACACGGCGCGCAAGACCCCTATAAGCCTAATGACATTTACTGAAAGGTTCAGTCCCTCGCTCAGAGAATCTGGCTATACCCTGGGACTGTTTCCAGCTGGTCCACAGCGGGTATTTCAGACTGGACCTCGCAGGGGCTAACTGTGCTGTGACTGTCCATCCAGAGGATGGAAGCCTTAATCATGAAGAAGGTCTTTCAGAGTCCTGGATCAGGGCTGTGCCAGAGAAGAGAGACTGGCCCCATGTCCTCCAGAGCGCCTCCAGAGAGATGTCTGGGCATGGGGTGGGCAGAGTGTCTTGACCAGGAAGGAGATGGAGCTGGGGGTTGGCCAGCTAACCCTGGTCATGCGTCAGCGATACACGGAGTGCGACCTGCAACACCGTTCAGTATTAAACTGGATAACAGGAAATGTGAATTGACGTATTCTGGGAGTTGGAATGTGAGGATTGTGATTAAATTTGTACCGTGGCATAGGCCTGTACCCCGTCAATGTTCAGCATAATATTTGTTTTAAAAATAAGATTGCAGTTCTTTGCAAACGTTTACAGGAAGGATACAAAAGTCTTACAAAATGAAACTTGATCACCTTCCCTAGCTGAATTTGGACGCATCTTTACGAACTGAAAGAAGTTATTTTGTTATGAATTTTATGGAGCTATGGTTTGTTGAAATATTTGGGAGGGGTACCTTACAGAGAGAGGAGTGGTTTTCTGTAGTACAGTATATGATTGAGCAGAGCTTCACTTTTTCTTCTTGAGGGGTCAGAGCAGAACATACAGTACAACCCACTGCATGTAAGTAGCATGATTTATTTCTGTCTAAATGTTCTTTCAGTTTTAAACTTGGTCTGATACGGCATACCATTGAATTTTAATACATCCTTATTGCATTTTCATTGTTTGGTTTGTTCAAATCAGAATTTAATTAAGGAACATAAAATTATATAAAAGGATCCTACGCCTGAAAACACTTTGTTTTAGTGCTGTTTTGTATTTTGGTTGCAGTTTGTCTCGATTAATGTTAGAAAAGCTTAAAGTAACCCAGACATGCATAATTCTAAAATACAGAGGTATTCTCTACGACGTTTTAAAAAAATTGACAGGAATGAATTTGAAGATCTTCTATCCATTTTTTATTTATATATAATTGCATTTTCTTTTTATTTATTTTTACTTTTTTGTTGTGAATAATGGATGTTGCAGCAAACAATGCTTGTGAATGATAGTTGCAATCTTTCTATGTCTGGTTTTACTTTGGAGCTTATTTCTTGCATATTGCTTGTGTATTTTCTCCAGGGACAACAAAGTTATGATATATGTATTGCACAGTCTCACTGTGTGTCTATATATTTTCCGATATGGGGAAAAGTTGCTGTGGGGAAAAATAACTGATTCAAACAAAACATCGAAGAAAAAGCTGTAGAAAGCAAAATATAAGCAGAAAGTGAAGCAGTATAAATAATAAAACATGTATTGCATAACTGTGATATTTAGGGAAAAAATGTTTCTGATCTTTCCTTATGGTTTAAATTTATAAATGTTCACACCTGACAAGGTGTTTCATATAGTTCACTTTTTATATTTTCTGTATTTCATCGTTTAAAATAAGCTAATTCATTTACATTATTTCTAACAATAAAATATCTCAGGAGCACTTTCTCTTTAGTACAAATACAGGTTTTCTTGAAAGTATCATGCAAAAATACAGAAATAAATATTTTTGGAACTTTCTGCAGAGAAATTGCAGAGAAAGTTAAATGGAACTTGCATTTTTGTACAATATACTGAATGCATTGCATTTTTGTGAATATCCTGCTCCAGAAGGGTGTTTTGATTATAGTCCAGTGGTCTGAAAGGGCTATTTAAACTGTCAAAAAGTTTGATTCACAAAAAACAGACTCCATCTCATTTCCTTTAATAAAAAAAGCAAGCTTTCAATATTGCAAATCCTTAAATCCTTTTCCTTAAACTGCAATTTCAACATTCACATTTTCAAAGTCATTCTTTGAAGAGTTGCAAAGTTGAAAGGTTTGCACATTGGAAGCATAAACACAAAAGTCATGAGGACAAATATTTATTACTTCATAGTTTTAGGGGTTGTAGTACAGGCACAACTGGCATGTTTAAAAAAAATAAAAGTCATGTGTGTGGCTTTATGTAAAAAGGTTTATTAAGTGTTCGAGATACTTAAAATGAAACATTTAATTTAAAAATATTACCAAGGCATCAATACAATAGAAACTCTGTATCATTGTCAGCAGTCTCTGGGTGAACAGAAGCACTGATTAAATATGTAAGTTTGCAGAAAAAAGGTCTTGCAGTTTTTCAGTCACTTTACAGGGTCTGTTCTGACATTTATATTGTATCAAGACATATAATGTATAACCAAGACGGATAAATATGACTTATCAAAACATAGAAAGCATAGTATACCTCAAAATGGGTGGCACTGTGGAGCGGTGGAGCATGTCTGCCTTGAATTGGAAGGATTGTGATCCATAATTGGAAAAAGAAAGACAAACAGTAGAATTTGCATTGTTCAGTTCTTTTCAGCTCATGTTTTGTCTTCTTTAGGTAGAAAAGCAATTCTGTGTGAATGCTACTTCTTGAACTTTAGTCATTTGGTTTTTAAATAATAAATATTGATAAATCTTTCATTTTATAAACAATACAAAAGTGTCCTTTCAGCTTCAAAAATGTATAAGGAGGAACAGTCATCAATGAATAGAAAAATCTGATAATGAGTTGATAAGATTTGATTGGTAAATGCGATTGGTTAAGAGCTACAATTCACGATGTTGGCTGTTCATGTATACTGTAGGTAATCTTGAGTTGGTATGATCAATTGTTTAAACATTGTAAACAATAAGTTACTTAAATATGAAGAAACATAGGTGGAGCATGTTTAGGAATTGTTTGAAGCTCATAACATACATAGAATAATTCCTGATTGTGTCTAGGATGTTTTGCACTGTAGAGCATGTTACTTTGTACTGACTTACAAAAAATGTAACAACTCCATTATTTTCTGTATTAAACTCCACAAGTTGGATTATTGATTAAAGTGGATTTTCCAAATAAGCCATTTTAACAGCCCAGGAAAGATGCAAATAGCATATTAATATCAACATTTATATGACATCTTTACACAGTCACGTAGATTGGATTAAGGAATGACACACATAACCCATCCATAAGAGTGTGCTGTCACTGATTCACAAAAATAAATTTCCCTTTATGAAAGGTAAGCCGACCACAATAACGTGCAAATTGCAAAGTTTAAGACAAATAACATCATATGTCACGGCATATACACATACAGATTGACACAAAATACTATAATTTGGCTGTTGAACACGGGTTGAACAATATAGAGCATTCTTTCATCCCAAGTTTGTACAGTATGTACACAGCGTATACAGAATAGTGCACATACAGTATTTTACAGAAGCACACCTGACTACAATGTCATACAATATATTGTAAAACTAAATATAAAGCTGAATATAAATCCACTTGGTTAATCTTTCCATTTTCCAATTACAATTGTTCTAAACACAGGCAAAACTGGACAGTTTTTGAATCTTTCTTAATCAGAGAAAAATGTGAACAGCATCCCTGCCAAATGACTACAAACCTCAAACCCGTGTGAGGTTTGACGTAAACATCAAAACTGTTAAGACTCACAAGCCATGAAAGAAAGTTCTTAGGGCTCAGGACAAAAACACCACAGGAAAACAAAAACAGAAGGGTGCACTTAACGTGTTTGGTCAATGATGTTTTTTTATTTAACAAAAAACAATATACAAAGCTTCCATCTTAGTTTCAAATTTAATCCGTCAGCTTGCTGAGAAGTGGATATTGAAATCAGAACTGAAGAATTTGTTGTGTGGCTCATTACCTTAGGACCCCTGGCATCGGCAAAAAAAAATATATACATTTAAGATTGATGAGCTACGACCCACTCATAAATGTGAGAAAAATATCTTACTGAATAGTTTATTTTGAATTGGGTAAATTAAAATTTGAACGAAATGTATTGAATCACTATAACAATATTTTAATCTTATTATGTATAAAAGAATTAATTTAATCTTATATATAAAAGTCTAGAGACTGGAAGTCTAGCCCTTGCCTGCCTGTACAATGGCAGCATCTCTTCCAAACCAGCTGTCCAAGGCAGGCTGTTTAACAACCAGTGCTGGATTGATTGCCTTTCATGAATTTGTAAGAAATACTAGATTCTGCTCAGTTTTCCAAAGAAGAACGACATACAGTAAATAAGCAAGTCTCAAACGTTTCTTCTTTCTTTTGTGCAGTGACAAAATGTGCTGGGTTACTTGAATTCAGGAGTTACAGTTATTCGGTCAGCACCCTACGACTCGCCTGTTTGTCAAAGGATTGCAGCATTTTTGGTCTGAGCCCATCTGGCTGTAAGAAAATAGCCTATTTTGAAATAAGGGGAACTGTAATAGGGGGAGAGGAGGAGCTATTGGGCCGTGAAAGAGTACAGATGTGAATGGTGGGTAAAACAGGGGAAGAGGGAAGAGTTCTTGGCAATTTGGTGGTGTTTTTACCCGAACCTGAAACAACTGGAGGCAAGAACAGAAGAGAGCTTGGCTTAGATCCGCGTTTGCAGGGCAGCTACAAAAATACCTATTCCCCCATGAACGCACCAGCCTGTAACTAAAACAACAACAAAAAAACAACAACCTAGATGTACTGTAGATACTTAAAAACAACAAATACCAAAAGAGAAGTCTGCCAGGAGCTACTGCAGCTGTCTCTCCGTCTTAGCCAGGCTAACAACAGCAAAACAGAGTGCCAACTATACAGAAAGAGCCGGACATGCTGCAAGGAGAAGTGCAATAAAAAAATAGCACAGATCCCTGGTTTTTCTGCTCTTCCCCCTAGATCCCTGTCCTGTCCGATTATATGGGCTAGACGTCCACAGCTGATGGCGATTAAGACTTGATCTCCAGCAGATACTGATTATCGGAATTAAGGCAGGCAAGGGGGTAACACCGGCCAAGCTCTCATATAAACGACATGAGCAACGAAAGTATTGTTGCAAGGCGTACATAAAACTGTACGACAGGGAGGGAAGGGCAGGCGGCAGCAGTGGTGCAGATCGCCAACACTCGGACTGCAATACCCAGAGAATGACAGGCAGCTGCTGCAGAAGACGTGCATTGTGAAGCAATGCAAGAAGGCAGTAGGTCAGTAAGCATAGCAGAAGACTGGCAGAGAGCAGGAACGTCAAGAGATTTAGAAGTTAACAGGAGAGCAGGGGAGGAAGTGGTATGGGTGAGCTGCTGCAGGTTTCCAGCAAAGTTTGATTTCTATTAGAGGCATTTTTGCATTTGCGTTCTAGTTGAGCAGTTTCATTCCTAGAGCAGACATATATCATATACGATTTCTTTCCAGACTTGGCAAACACATTTTTTTTCCAGTGTTTTTTTTTTTCTAAAGAAGAACACTGCGACATAGGAATAAAGCATACTATTAAACTCCACTAATTCATCGCTTTTATAAAGATTTTGAAAAGTAAAGCCTTTCTGGTAACAAATGTAATACTTTAAGTCAACAAAATGGATAGATTAGGATTAAGAGTACAAAAGACTGTTGAAGTGAGATTGAATAATGACTTTAAAAGGTCAGAGTACAGCCCAACTGTATGTAAGACTTAACTATAGACAAGTGAAAAACTGAATCCATGTGGGAGACCACTAGTCTGTGCCAGATTTCAAAATAATTCAAGTCAACTGGCTACACAATTAGAACTGAAAATAGGACTGTTCCCAGATGAATTTAACATTCCCAACTCGTTTACCATTTTGCTATTTGATTGTTTATCTGGTTGAGTGGCAAACAGCAAAGAGTAACAGTTAAATTACAATAATTAAACCAAAAAGGTTTTTAAGAGTTGCATTTGTTTCTTCACCAATAGAAAGCTTGGCTTTGTAGTTTCAACTCAAAATGCTAGAAGTGTGCAAAAACATCCATCCAGGAGACTGCAGCTACTGTATTTCACTACCTGAAGACATAAGTTTCTAAAGCAGCAGAAATGTACTCACTGGATGTGTATTACAGAGTATATATAAGTATATACAGTACAGTATGCATATTGAGGAGCAGGGGGAGTAATAGTAAGGACTCTGAACTCAGGTGGGTCTGATCAAGAACTGTGGGCAGCTGTTTTACTGGTGCACAAATTACTGCTCTCAAAATACTTAAAATACAGTAAATTTCTCTGCTGTAGAAATGGGTACTCTCCTGCCACTCACTGTAATTGGAAATGCGAAACCCTCTATGTTCTCTAACCTTTAACATCATTTTTCTGAAGGAGCTCCTAACACAATCAAAAGAAAGAATGTATGAAAGATACATCAATGACTATATCAGTGATGCCCAGACCCATTTTACATTTTAACGTTTACCTTCCCTGAATGAAAAGTCTCCTGCTGAACTCTGTAATAAAGAAAGGTTTTTAAGAGTACAAGCAGAAATTTAGGGTAATGTAGCATTTTTCTTGACATCATAAATAAAACAAACTAGTGTGACCATAATGGGATTATATTGAGCTGTCATGTAGTTTAAAACCATCTTTGAGGCTGGTGTACATCAATATTCTGTTCTATTATTTTACTCATCTGTATGGATTGAGACATTGGCATCTGCCTTCCATGTTCAAAAACCGGTTATATGTCATGAAGTGCACAAGGTGATTCACTGGAGGGCTGAAGTGTAGCCGTAGGTATCCAGGAGTGAAGAGTCAAATCGCTTGCTCCTACAGCGCTGGGATTTCGTCTGTCTCATCCTCCTGTTTCCAGACCTGCTCCACTTTTGAGAAAGACTGACTTTCCTACTGGGGCTTGCAGGTGATGTACAGTATTAGTGTGCAGGCACGCCTGCTGTCGGTCTCGATCTCAAGACGCGGTGCGCGAAACCAGCCAGGGGGAAGTGTGGAGGGAGGGTGAGTAGAATGGGAAGGATCTAAATATTTAACAGATGGTGAAACCTGCTGGTTTGCTGGCAGGCGGAATAAGTTTAAAATCATAAGAAAGACACCCAACAAGGAAGAAGCCAACTGGTTCCTGAAGGAGCCTGGAGTTTGGATGAGCAGCTTTTTCCAGGCACCAAACACTCTTTGTACGAAAGATTTTTTTTTCCTTCTCCTTCATAAATGAACTCTCTTTTAGGTATCCATTTGATCAGGCTTCTGCTCAACTGACTTTCTTCAAGTTGTCTGCAGTTCTCTGAGACTGAGAATAATTCCAGTTGATCTTTTAACTTTTTGGGAAATCATGCAACTGCCTGTTACTTTTGCGGTGTGGCGACTAAATAGAAAGTTATATTCTAGATGAGGACTTACTTATGCATTGTGAAATGTGAACACAAGTTCTCTTGATTTGCAAACCGCACTTTGTGCTAAATATCCAAGCACTGACTCTACTTCCCACCATGGGATATTTCTGAAACTTTGAAGATGTGAGTGCCCTCAATCCCACTAATCCAGACTGTTTTTTAAACTATTTTAAAGTGGAACAGGTTTCGATTAAACCTTCTCAAGCAAAGGTCGTGTTTGAAGTAAGGTAGGCCTCATGCTCTTTGGAGCTAAGCTAACACCACAGGTCTTAAAGAAACGCTCCTCACTTTCTCAACTTGTATTTTCCCCGTTTAGCTTCTTGCTCTGGAGTTGAGGGCTGGGTTCCGTTTCTGAGTACGTGTACTCTCCAAGTGCACGTTTTGTTTCACAAACCCACTGATTGTAAAGGGACCTTTTTTGAGGCACAATCTGGAGCAGAACCACCACAGTATGTGCAACAGTGAGGCGAGGCGCAGTCCTCCCTCTACAGGTGTGCAGTTTTGCCAGAATGTGAGTGTATGTACACTCTGTTCAGTGATTATCATCTTTCCTTCTTGCCCCTGGGAGCATACACATATTCATACTGTTGGGTTCTGCTGCCCACTGGAGTTATGGACAGTGCCGGTACCCCATGACCTTGGGAGTCACGGCTTCCTCCCTTCCGCTGTACGAAAAGGGGGGCCCCCTTAGCGCTCGTCCTGTTAAGAGAAGCTGCGCTCCCCCTTTCTCTCTCCCTGCGGTCTCTGCCTCTGTCTCTCCCTGGTGAGCAGCGCAGCTCTGTAACCAACCGGGGAGTAAGCCCTCCACCTTTGTGAAGCCGCTCGCCTGGCTCCTGCTTCTCCTCCGGCGCCGGCCTCTCCGCCCGACCCGGTTTGCGCTGCTCCGCCACAGTAGTTTATGATACCAGGGCTCTTAGAAATAGTCCTCGATTTTTAAGAAGTCCCCTGTGAAACCACCTATGGAAACGTAAAGAATGTGTTCACTGTTTGAATAGTAAAATGATGTCTCTTGTTAGGTTGTGACGGTTCCCCAGTCGGCTGATTTCAGATCTAGTGGGACCTGCGCATCTTGTCAAACTGTCTGCCGGAAGAACAGGAATCTTCATGTGCACGGAGGTAAGTTCAATAAAGGTAATGCAGGGGGTTATTTTAGGTATCAAACACTAAGTTGTTTTGATTAATTATCATATAGTAATTAGTGTCATCTAAATTCTGAATTTCAATTTTTGTAAAGTGTACTGATGGAACTACGTTACCAGAAGAGCTAAAATATTTTATAAGTACAGCCAACAGAAAATGAATGCAGTGTGCAGTGTAGTATAAACCTCATCTGCAAATCTAGGTCTGCATATTACACCTTCAATATTAGTGTTTATTACAGAGAAACAACAACACATCTTATTTTTCTGTTTTTTTAAAACAATCATTCATTTAGTAGAAATAAAAGCTGTCTTCGGATTGTCATGGCCTACAGTATGCAATGCAAGTTAAATAATAGCATCGACGAAATGCTACAACAACAAGAGATTCAAGCTTGTGAGAAGAGAAAGCAATACGAGTAAGGGGAGAACAGATGAGTTACTGGAGACAGCATTCTGGTATGAAAGGAAGTTTACTGAAACTAGAGTGCACTAAATCACTTGAGCAAATGTATATAGAGGATGTGACAACGAAATTACATTCTACACATATCAGTTTCAGCACTGATCTAGTTCAAGAGCAGCATGTTTAGCCTAAGGGTTTTTTTTTCTGCCATTCACAATTTATCTTGTAGTTGCATTCGCTCACGATTCAAACAGGATGTTGCTGTACTTGGCTGGGAAATACAGAAACTGCACAAAGATAATTAGTCCAAATACTTCTGCAAGTCCCAAAAGAACAACAGCACTGAGACTTGTATGGTATACCATGATTTCGCAGTGTTATTTGTTTTTCAGGCATGACATTTTTCAAAACCATTTAGACTGGTGTGTCCTCTGACCTTCTTTAGCACTTTCAAAATTTCTGACACTGCTTTTAAATGCATCTGGATTGCATTTAATAAGCAGAGAAAATGTGATAATTCAAGATCTATTTGTTTTGAAGGCTCCAAAGCTGTTAACAATTATAAATCTAATATACATTACAAAAATGGAATAGGTCATTTTGAGAAATGCCAAGATACAACTTAAGTCTTTGACTTTTCTACTGTACATATTGTATTTCATCCATGTTAATAGTACAGAAAGTATTTATTCAAACTTAAACTTGATTTAACCATTCAGTTTTTGCCCTATTTATTTTTTTGTATAAATCTGAAAATAATTTATCTTGTTTAAGTTGGGTGTGTTAGTAATCGACATCTTTGTTCTAATTTTGTGTTAATCAATGTAAATGCAATTTGAAAATACTGTGCTGTATACAGCATGCTAAGGGGGGAATGGAATACAAAAAATTACTTTATAAAAGTATATATGGTATGAATTTAAGATTTAAAAATAATGTATCCATATATTTAACAATGAAAAATAAAATATTGATAATAAAACACTGATCCACAAATACGGGATTCAGGGATACCTGTTGCAAAAATAAAAAAGGATCACACTCTATTGCCACCCACACTGTGTTTGTCAAACCCATCATTGTTCAACTTTATACAGTATGTTGTCTTCTAAAGAGAAAAACATCCCCTTGAAATATAAATCAGTAAATTCAGAGTAAAATGCCGAAGAGAAAAGCAGAAGTATCCAGGATCTCTGTTATTGCTGTGTTTGTTCAGTAATGCATTAATGGGCTTTTTGTTTTTAGACAGAGTAAAGAAAGAGCAGTCAGTGAAGATGGAGGCTGTTTGGCTTCTGTCACTGGTGTCGTTCCTGTGGGTGCCATCATGCACAGCTCAGAAACCTGGTAGAACCTCACTGCTTTATCATTTCTTGCTTTTTTGTTTTTAAATTCAGATGGTAAAGGGTTCAGATTCCTGTTAAAAAATTATTTATCATTTTATTATGTATTACTATCAGGTATTACATACAGTCACGGTCAATCTTTCAAATCAGTCTTGAGAACAAAGTACTGTAAAGCACATGCTTCCAATGCTTCTAAATTGCAAAGAAACTATACAGGAAACTGGGGACAAATAAGAGCATGATCTAGTTCCCCCAGTCAATGGAGAGCTGTCACACTGACCACACTGCTGGGGGATGAACATCATAGTAAAGTTTGCCAGGGGAGCTCAAAGAATTAAATGCAAGAATTCCGGGAGTTCTGTAAGTGGACCAGAGTGTGAAGCAAAACCGCACTAGAATGCAGGATGCACAACAGAGTGGTTCACAAAATGACAAAGTCATGAGACCTTGATTCACGATAACTTGCAGTATTCAACTACAAACATCATCGACCAGGGGCAATTACGATGTATTGATTTGTATTGCATGGGCTTAAAGTATCCATACACTGCTGAACACTATCTTTAATAAGAGCTGACACATCAAACTGTGACTATTAAAAAGAAAAACTGTATACAGTATGTTAATGTGACATATACAGTATTAACAAAGGAATCCAGGACAGAAGGTTCAGTTATCATTCATCATTCTCTTGTTTTTTCTTTTCAGATACAGCATCCCCCTTTGCAGATGTTGTGTTTTTAATTGATAGTTCCCAGCAGGTCGAGGGTGAATTGTTTAAGCAGGTGAAAAACTTCCTTATCAAAGTTGCAGGAGACCTGGATATCGGAACTAATAAATACCGCATAGGTATCTCGCAGTTCAGCGATGATGCCAAGGAGGAAATTTTTCTCAACACATTCAAAACAAAGAGTCAAGTCATAAACTACATCAGAAAGAATTTCGTTCACAAGGGTGGAAATCTGAAAACTGGCACTGGGCTCACGCACGCATACAAAGTGCACTTCAACGAGTCCTTTGGGAGTCGCAAGGGTGAAGGGTACCCTCAGTTTTTAGTTGTTGTGACCTCTGGAAAGTCGCAGGATGATATTCAGCAAGCTGTTACCACGATAAAAAACGAAGGGGTCAAAATCATAGCCATAGGACTTCAGAATTCTGACCCTAAAGAGTTGAAAGAAATGGGCATGCCTCATTTAACCTTCCAGAATGTTTCTCTCATAAAGCTCTCACAGAATATGACCAACATCATCAAAAATGAAGTCCAGAATCACCTTGAACTAATGGGCGAACCACCAGCCGGTAATTTGTTTTCTTGATTTCTTGTGGTTTTTGTGGCTGATTTTATTTAACAAACTATATAGTAACTATAGGGCCATATAGTCAAAACAAGCAGGTGCTTAAATACCCATAGGGAGCTCTCTAGATCACTGCATGTACAGGACATACTGTATACAGGATAAACTGAATATAAGACAATGGTTTGGGCCTGAGGTCTACACTGTATGTGTGTACGCACTCGTAGTCAAATGCCATTTGGACAAGTTTACTGAAAAACAGATGAGTAAAAATGAATCAGCATGAACTATTAGTACAAAAAAATTAAATAATTGTAAAGAAAATGTTAAAGTCATTTTACAGAAAAGAAAATGGAAATGTAATTGGAAAATGTAATTCAGACCTTTTCTCAAAAATCTCAAGGAAATACCTAATCACCTTTTTCTTGTTCTCTCTTTTTTTTTAGTGTGCAATAAGTCAAAAATCGCAGATATCGTGTTTTTAGTTGACAATTCTACCGACAATGGGATCCGAAACTTTTTGCAGATTCAGTCTTTCCTGTATAAAACTGTTAGTTCCTTCAACGTGTCCAACAGCACCATGAGGATTGGCCTCGCAATGTACTCTGACCAGCCTCACGTGGAGTTCTACCTGAACAGCTACGGACGTCGGGAGGACGTTCTGCAGCACATAAAGGAACTGAAGTACAGTGGAGCTGGAGGGATTTCCAATACGAGTGCAGCCTTACGGTTTGCAGCACAGAAGCTTTTTACAAAAGAAAAGGGTAGCAGAACAGCTGTACACAAAATTGCAGTTCTGATCACGGATAACCAGTCCACCGACAATGTGAGTGAGGCAGCCACTGCTCTTCGCCGTGCCGGAGTGACGGTCTTCGCTGTGGGAATCCAAAATGCTGACAAAGACGAGCTCAGTCAAATTGTGTCACATCCTCCAGGAGAATACCTCTCCACTACAAAGACTTTCTTACAGTTATCAGGACTTCAAGAGTTTATAGCAACCAAGATTTGCTCTTTCATCATCAGAGGAGTAACTAATGTCCCCGAAGAAACCCACAAGCTGAAAAGAGGTAATATTAACGTTGGCACCGTCATTCTCTGGAAAGACTATTTTCATTTCAATTTATAAAAGTTACAGTTGACTATTATATTGAGCACTGAAATTAACCCTCTAGTATGCTGCCCTATTATTTGACATTTTGTACATTTTTTGGCTAGTATTTTTGACTAATTAATTAATTAGGTTTTAGATTTAATTAGAGTAATTTATTGTTACATTTTAAATACATGTGTTATTTTTAGAATATTGTGATCAATGGCACTTTGCAGTAAATGCCTTTATAAGTATGTTCTTTTAAAGGTCTTTAATCTTGGCTTATTTGTGTTGTTTGTGGTATTATAAACATTTTTGCAGTACCCTGTGTATATATCATGTTAATTGATGGTTTTAACTTTCTGAATGCTTAGTCAAAATTCTAAATTTCCAACAACGTCAGCACAGAGACCTTTAACCTGAATTTGCTTGCCTTTATTTTTAACTAAAAATCTATTAGGTGATGAATTTATAATTCTAAAACACGGGAGGGAATTAGTCAATCAAACATATTTATCTTCTGCAGAGATCCAATTTAGTAGTTTTCATGCAATGCATGTTTTTAGTATTGTAGTATTTTATTGACAGTTGCAAGTTGAAGCATATTCTAATCTGTTTATCACACCTAGGGTTTGTCATAAACTGTTTCAAATTCATCCAAAGACTTTAAAGTAGCATCTAACCTAGATTTCAGGAAACTGTTGTAGTGTGAATTTAAACTTTTACCTCTTGTCCTTAACATTATCTTTTTTTGCTTTCAGAATGATAGTTTAATTGACAGTTTTTCATATTATTTCAACTAAATATTGCCATTTTTCATTTTGTATACAGGATGTTTAAAACAAGAAGCAGATATATATTTTCTTATTGATGGGTCCACAAGTATCGGAAGAAATGATTTTGAAGAGGTTAAGACATTTCTAATTGGTGTGGTTGATGTCTTCAACATTGGACCTGATCATATCCGTATTGGAATAGCCCAATACTCAACTGATTACCACTTGGAATTCAGAGAAACTGAGCACAGCAGCAAGAAAAAAGTGCAAGGTGCCATTGAAAATATCCGCCAGCAGTATGGAAACACATATACAGGAAAAGCTCTCGGTAAAATGCAGAAATGGCTGAAAACATCAGTAAAAATAAAACCATGGAAAGTACCTCAGTTCCTTATAACCTTAACTGATGGTGCTTCACATGATCCTGTGGATGTAAATATGACTTCAGAACAACTGAGAAGAGATGGAGTTATCACTTATGCTATTGGTGTTGGTGCAGCAGTTGAAAAAGAACTTAAAGCAATTGCAGGGTCAGATCACAGGTACAAGTATACGAAGACGTTTGATTTTCTGAAAGATATAAAGAATGATATTGCTCAGGATATCTGTTTTGAAGAAGGTAAGAAAGTAATTATGACTTGTTTGACATTCATGAGCACTCTAAGATTCAACTTACAAATGTGTAAATGAGAAAAAAAAGTCTACTCAATAAAAATTGTGCGCTAAACCAGGAAATGTAATGGGATCAGGGAGTCTAATCCGTTCCTGGTAGGTCAGTATGATACCTGGGTCTCATTCCAGTTCAGTTCTTATTAACATCATAATATTGGAACAAGTAATAGGTTTATTCCATGCTGAAAAGAGAAGAAAGAAAACAAGTTTCAGCCATGGAGCCTTCTTCAGGTGTGAGAAAGACAGGGCAGTAAGCAATTATGTAGCAGGTGAACAAAAGCTGGGAGAGAGGAGGAGCGAGAGGCGGGAGCAGGGGACAGAAAGAGAGGCCAATCAGGAGGCGTAAAGTGAAACCAACAATGAATAGAGAGAATTGAGAAGAATATTTCTGTCGTTGAGAGAAGGGGAAAGGTGTAATCCTAACCGCAGGATAATTTTAGTTTCCTTAGTCTTTCTGATGTTGGAGTTAGGAAAACCATCCTTGAGAACACAGACGGAGAGATTAGTGTGATCATGGCCGTCAGAGGTGAAATGAGAAAAAAAAAGGCTTTGAGAGATCTTTAATCTTCACAGCCCAAACATGTTCTCTGAAGCGGTCTCCGAGTCTCCTTCCTGTTTCCCCAATGTAGATGGCTGGGCATTTACTGCAAGAGATACAGTAAATAAGGTTGCTGGAGGTACAAGATGCTGTCTGGGTGATCCGGAATTGTCCTGAGGGGCCTTGAATGAGTGTGGTGGTGGCTGTGTACTTGCAGGTGATACAGCGAGCTCTGTTTCAAGGGAAAGTGCCTGGTGTGGATGGTTGCTGGGGGCGGTCAAGGGAGCTGTGAACAAGAAGGTTGCGCAGATTAGGTGGTCAGCGATATGAGATGATGGGGCGGTCAGAAAAGATGGCCCCAATGGAGGGATCATCCTGTAGGATGGAAAAGTTGTCATTAATAGTCCTGGGGATAGGAAGTGTGTTGGGGTGGTAGGGAAGCACCAAGGGAATGCCGTTGTTACGGCGGGAGTTCCTGATTGAGTCGATGGTCCGGGGGGTGTTTTTGGCTCGGTCAAGGGCCCTGTCAATCACACTGCTGGGGTATCCTCCATTGATGAAAAAAGAGTACATTTTAAGGGCTTGGTTCCGGAAATTGATAATAATATTGTCACAATAATATTGTCCACTGCAACACCCAGATGTTCAAAGATGACAAAGATTATTTTGAAAAAGCATTTAATCCTCTATGAAAGACTGGGCTGCATTTTAGAGATTTGAGCATGATGGTAGTTACTGTATGTCTTACTGCCCATTCATTATTAAGAATAATGAAAACATTTATTTTACAGCTTGCAAGAAAAATCAAGCGGACATTGTCTTCCTAATTGACAGCTCAGGGAGCATTAAATCCGAAGACTACCAAAAGATGAAGGATTTCATGAAAAAGATCATTCAAAAGTTAGATATTGGAAGAGACAAAGTGCGTATTGGTGCAAAGCAGTACTGTCACCTAGAACAGGATGAATTTGAACTGGATGATTACTCTCAAGCATCGGATTTAATGAAGGCTGTTGATGGCATGAACCAGCTAGGTGGAGGAACTCTGACTGGACAAGCCCTTCATTCAGTATCTAAAAATTTTCAAAAAGCACGTAAGGACGTCAATAAGATCCTTATTGTAATAACAGATGGTGAAGCTCAAGATGAAGTTCTACAACCTGCAGCAGCTCTGCGAAATGAGGGGATTTTTATTTTCTCAATTGGTGTTTTTGGTGCAAATTATGTTCAGCTGGAGGAAATAAGTGGCTCCCCGGCAAACATCTTTTACATTCAGAATTATGAAGCTTTATTTGGGATATTAGATAAGGTGATCTTTAGTATCTGCATTCCCAAGGAAGGTAAGTTGTTTCTACATGCATCACTTTCTTCTAAAAATACTAATCTCTAGAAAATGTGCTAATTGTTTCCTGGTTACAAAGTAACAAAGCAAAACAGTGTAACTTTCTGTGTGGTGAAATGCAATGTAATGGCAATATACATTATTACACGTAAAATTAAAGAAGATTAATTAAAGAACTTAATAACCTTTCTGTTGCCTTAGCCAGACAACAACCCTAGCGGCTTACTGATTAGGTAAATTCACTGGGAATGCCACTGAGATGGATATCCCTGATAATTAGCATATTCTGAGTCTGTGACACACACCAGGATGGTACCTTTAAGGGATTGATGTCCTGCCCTAGGCATCTCTTTGTCTGCAGAAACTGTAACCATTCCATAAATGCAGTGATTCTAGCTCAAATCCAAATCAGCCAATCATCCAAAAAACAACTAACAAATGAAGAAAATGCCGGGTGAGGAAGGACACTACAACTGATGACATGAGAACCGATCACCTGCTATGATTTCAGGATTTTATTAGGCATTGTAAGGACATAAGTTTTGCTCATTTTCTCTGCTCTGGCCTCTCAGTTGAAACCAGACTAAAGATTCAAACATGTGACTACGATCAGCATTGTCCAAGACAGGAAATTGAACTTTAGGTCACATGACAGGCCAAAAGAAAGAGTGGGTCTGCACCTTGCCAGAATTCTGCCAAATATTTTTCTTGGTAACAGGAAAAATCTAGTGATTCATTAACTTGATCAACTTGATCAACTAAATTGAAACAGATGGACCCTTTCGTCAACAGCCTGATCATCAGCATATAATCCTTAGTGCTAGACCACAGGATGAACCAAATCCTCAACACCTGTCATTCTCATAACTAGACCCAAGGCAGACTACTTGCACTGACTGTTTTAAAAAAGCCAAGTTCAGACCCCCCTAACACCGTATGGGACTTCATTGTGGGTTACCTCAGAGACTCTATTAACTAATTTCTTCAGACATTGAAGTTACTTGTTTCACTCTGGGAAGCATCTACTGTAGTCTTATCTCCAGTAGCTGTAGGAGAGGATCACAGCAGTTTTATCATCAATGGGGTTGGATATCCTTCAGTTTGAGTGCCAACAGAATGTTAACAAAATTGACATAATCCTTGAAGTAAAGGAAAAGCTAAAAATTGGAACAGTTAATTCCATGACTACTTTGTGGCTTTTTGGCTCCTAGAAATAAATCACACCAAATAGCAGCACAAATTCACTGATTCTTTCTTTCCTACTTGTTACTGGTATGCTCTATTAGTGGCTCCAAGGGACCATGTTTTTTAGTTTTTTTTTAAATGGCCTTTTCACGAGACACAAGCTCTATTGAACATTTAAGCATGAACTGGAATAGCCTGTTGCATCTGGGGCTCAGAGACCAGTGAACAGTCTTTCTGACTGTAAGACAAGCAGGAAAGCATCTGCGCCTGGTGTGACGTGCGTGTCACAGATTGATTGATTGTACTGCTTCCGAACGTAGTCTTACATGCTACTAACCTATGACCTTCGCAGTAGCCTCCTTGTTGAACAGCCTTGTTGAAGACAAATGTTAGTTGGAATAATGAAGTAAACTGTTTGGCTGTTCATTAAAATGTCAGAGCACTTGCTACTAAAAAAGGTTTTGTTATCTTCCTGGTATTTAAATTATAAGTGATGAAGTTCTTTTAATTTTAAACACTATATACTACTCAGTATTACTATTTTAACTACTAATACCAACTACTTTAAAATGATCTTGTTTAATCTACAGAATGCCTGGACATAAATGTTGCAGATATAATGTTTGTCATAGACACCTCTTCAAGTATCTCACCCACCAACTTTGAAAGCATGAAGGACTTCATGTATGCTGTGGTAAATAACTCGGACATTGGCGAAGATAAAGTACGGATTGGGGCCACCAGGTACAGCAATCAGACTGAGAAAGTCTTTGATTTGAAAGAAAACTTTGACAAGCAATCACTCATTCAAGCAATCAGAGGGATGACGCAATTAACAGGAGAGACGTACACAGCAGCAGCCATGAACTTTTCCATGGAGCGTTTGGGAGAAGCTTTTGGGGGGCGGAAGAAGGTCTCCCAGTTGCTTGTGACAGTGACAGATGGAAAATCCCACGACAGGAGTCTTTTGAACGAAACATCCCAGTACATCAGACAATCTGGTATTATCACCTATGCTATTGGAATAAAGAATGCATCGGAAGATGAACTTCTGGTCATTGGAGGCTCTGAAGATCATTACTTCTATGTGGAAGACTTTGATAAGTTGAAAGATATATATAAGAACTTTTCGTCAATAATCTGTAAAACTACCCCACCATGTGAGTAAACTTAAGCCAATCGCAGCTTCACATGCAATACATTTAAATGAATGCACTTATATTTACATACAGCCTTGTTAGAGCAAGGAGTGGGTGCTATGGGTTGTGGGATATAAGTAAAGAGTACTGTGCATCTGCATGTAGCACGATTCCCTGTATTTAGTGTACATTTAGAGTGAATTGTAAGGTTTTCTTGCCCACTAAAATCATGATGATATTTGAATGGTAATTTAAAAATATTGCTAAGACACCATAAGGCAAATACTATAGAAAAAGAAATCATGAAAAATATGTTTATTCTATAATTATTTAATTATTTGTTTTTAAATTCTATTTTCAGATTGTGAACATGGGGAGGTGGACATTGTCTTCTTAATTGATGGTTCTAGCAGCATTGACCCAGGAGATTTCGCCACCATGAAGACTTTTATAAGAAACGTGGCTGACGGTTTCGACATCACCAATGGAAAAGCACAAATTGGCCTAGCTCAGTACAGCCATCAATACACAAGACATTTCAATCTCGGTTCATTCAAAAGCAAATCGGCATTCGACAATGAAATAGACCAAACCCAACAGATCTATGGAAACACTTTAATAGGAGCCGCACTTGGAAATGTGAAAGAGTTCTTTACCAGGGCTGCCGGCAGCCGAAAACATAAGGGAGTTGAACAGTATTTACTTGTGATCACTGATGGAGAATCGCAGGATTCAGTCTCGCAGGCAGCTCAAGATCTCCGAAAAGACAATATAAACCTGTATGCATTAGGCGTAGGTAGAATGGATGCCACTCAGCTCACGGAGATTGCTGGAAGTCCGGACAGGGTGTATAAGGTAGACAATTTTGATCAACTGGACCACATTAAAAAGAGGCTTTCCAGAGATCTATGTGACCAACCGTTTAAGCCCACCAGTGAGTACTGAATGTTTTCAGTCAAGACTGTTAAATAAAATTGTTAGATATGTTGTCAAAATAGGACATGTTTGTTTAGGACAAAATAGGACATGTTTGTTTAAAGCATTTGAAATGTTACAGATGACCATAATCACATAATTTAAAATACACTGGGCACTGGATTTGTCCAAATCCAGCTTGTAAGACCTGTACTTTATAGATATTGTCTCTTATCAATGAGGTATAATTGGGAGCACAAAGAAAAAGCTAGGAAGTAGACTGGGAAAGAACTGCTTATTAAACTGCTAACTGTTAATATTTTTTATATTTTATTTTATGGAATCATAAATTCAACAAAAAATAGTAGTTAAAGTTTGGGTGCAATCCTTTTTTACAATTAAGCAATGGTTGAAAAAAGACCATAATCAATCTAAAGATTTTTTATGTTTATTAATTGTAAAATTCACTTTTATCTTATATCCCATTGTTTATTTCAAATGCTAAGTTTCTAAAAATACTAAAGTGTTATAATTAATTTTAAAAACATTTACTTTTAGATAACATAGAAAGGCCGTCGATGCTGAACAATTTAGTAATGCTGATTAGCTTAAGGCATGCACTGTATACAGAACCAAATACTGAAGACTTGTATGTTGTTATTAAATTTTTAACATATATCTACATTGTTTCTTTCAGACTGCAGTGTTGACATCGCAGTTGGTATTGACATTACAAACCAAGCAGTAGGGACATCATTACTTTCTGTCCAACATTACTTGGATGTATTCCTCCTCAATATTTTACAGGAAATTAACTCTCCTCATGAAGTTAGCTGTACTCCTTCATCGCCAATACAAATCAGTTTTGGGTTTAGTATTAACAACACAGATAAGGAGTATAATACCAAATTTCAAAACTTTAAAAAAGATTTCATTGATGATTTGATAAAACTAAGAGTCAAAGAGCCCTCTCTTCTTAATAAAGTATACCTGGAGTCCCTCTGGGAGAAGTTAAAACGTGAAACAAAATCAAACACCAAGGTGAGTGTTTATATTTCATAGTTGCAATTTGTGATTGTAATGCCAAGATACTGGCAATAGTGTATTTACTACACTTAAACATAAGAGCTTCAATACCATCTTTTCATTGCATGCAAAAAGCAATTGTGTTTATTGTCAAACAAAATTGAATAATGTGACACTTCTGCCTATGCTATATAATGCAGTAATTTAACAATTTGGTTACAATTAACCTATAATGCTTAATTTTAACCTTTGGGACATTTTTATCATATTCAATATGATATATAATTAGCCTAATTGATGTGTCTTCATGCCTTCTGAATCTACAACCATAAGCAGAAGGAAATTCTAATTGTAAACAGCATGATAAAAAAAACACTTGTCTATTCTTGCACCTTTTGTTCTGTATTCAGGTACTTGTAAAAAGTTTGAGATTTGTTTTCACTTGTACAGTAGTACAGGGGCAAACACCTTAGACAACGGAGTAGTCTGCAAACCATAATTTTCCTGTCACATAAATGAATGCTACCCTTTCCTCAAGGCTATTATTTTAATTTTATGGCTACTTATCCATATTTATTGGCTTGGACACTGTTACCTACTTGGAATTAAATGAAACAAATACAATATGAAGCCAAATGTCTTCCAGTTTTGGTCACAGACAATGGTAGTATGCTGTACGGGGGACAAGGAATATTATTGTTGTATCTATTAAAAATGTTTAAAAATTTTAAAGAACTTGTACTACTTGCATTTAAATAGCATATGTTCCTATGTGATGGGATTTGTATCATTTGTCAGATAGTGTTTCATGAGGAATGATGACGCCCAAGAGTTAGATGTGTTTGAGCATGTTTATTGAGTGTTTAGATACAGCGACATTAAGCTTGACCCCATGTCTGAGAGTCAGCCCCTCAGCCACAGGAACAGGAGGCTGGGACGGCGGGGTGAAGCAACAGGCAGCTTCAGAGGTGCAGATGGGGAGGAAGAGGGATGAGACGAAGTGCAAAAAGAGCAAATGAGAAATGACGTTGAGAATGAGTGGGATTTCGACAGCTGGGAGAAAGCGGTTTGGTTGTCGTCACCCCTCTCGAAATTTCCAATATCATGGATGTATTAGTTTCACTCCACCTTCGCGCCTGCAGAAAGATATTGGGATAACCGCTTTGTCCCTTTCATGCAATGTAGTTGCAGTAAACGGCAAAATGAAAACCGAGTCATAAAGTCTAACGACACTAGGGAGGCAAGGAACCCTGATCGGACTGGATAAAACATCCATTCACTCATTCTAACTGCTTCTTGGGAGCCTGGGAGATCTCGGCCGGCAGCAGGTTCAAGGCAGGGTACACCCTGATACATAAAAGCATACTCTAGGTACAGTGCACAGCCCAGACAAAGATCCGGGAAGCACAGGAAAGTCGTTACCATTCCTATCGTACGGACAGCACCCATAGCCACCGTATACTCCATGCCATTCGTCATTTCAATTCGCTTCAGGTTATTAAAAAAGCACACTAGTTTCTTTTAGTGCTGCGTAATACTGCATAACTGCACTCGGTTGGTTATACCATTGGATCATTTAGGCCCACACCAAAATGTAGGGCCTTTTCATCATTCTTCCGTAGATGCTTTACTAATGCAAACTTCTTTATGTTTTTCCCCTGAATGTGTTATAGGAGGTTATATTATGAAACGGACCATCCCAGTGATGTTCATTACTTCGTGTTACTGTCTTTTAGGTCATACTCATCTTTACTGACGGACTGGATGAGAACATAGAGACACTTGAAGACACTTCTAAATGGCTGAGAGCACAAGGTATTCTGTGAAGGTTTCTGAAGGGACTGAAAGATGGAGCACAAGACAAGATATATACAAGTTTAGAGCATGCTGGAGAGTGTTGCATGATTTTCAGGTGTCAGATACATTTGTTTGTGTCTGATACACTCTGCATTTCCGGGAGAGTTTATACAGTAACCTTTAAAGTGGTCTGCTACAATGAAATATTTCACAATGGTAAATATACTCTCCAAATTGACCCATTTTGTAACTGTTGCTTAATACCTACACTATGTTTATTTGAAATTTTACACAAACATTCACGGTTTGATATTTGCTTTCGGCGACATACTGTAAGATCTGATTTTTAATTGACAAGTTAACGTCAATTAAAGATAATAAGGACGATGTAGCTTTTTAATCACAATCCCTGAAAGGTAACAATTCAGTATACTAACCAAGTGCTCTGATAAATAGTTAATATTTTGATTTTCCACTTGGTTGATTACAGGACTGGATGCCCTGATAACTGTTGCCCTAAGAGGAACTTCAGCTATTGACAATCTTAAATATATTGAGTTTGGAAGAGGATATGAATATGAGCCACAGCTGGTCATTGAAAACCATGCTACAAGTACATCCTTATATAAAATAATTGTACGTTTTTTATTGTTTTCTATAGGTTTCTGTGTTTGCAATGATTTTTTTTTAGATTTTTTGCTTTTTCCCATGGCCTAGAATTTAATCTATTTGAATTACCATCTTTACCCATGATTACCCGTTCAATGCAATATGTCATGAAAATTCTTGTGTACCTTTTTTGTAATTTTTTGTGTATACAGCAATCAAAAAATGTTTACCTCATTAAAGCAAGCATTTTAGTTGTTAATCTTTTAAAGGAAGTAGTAGTTGTATTTGTCTGGAAGTTCCTTATTCGAGCATACATTTTCTAATTGCTTCACCCAATTTAAGGTCACAGGGCAGTCAGAGCCTATCCTGGCCAGTAACGGGTGCAGGGCAGGCTACACCCTGGACGGGACACCAGTCCATCACAGAGCACACGCAGACACAGACACAGACACACACACAATCACACCAGGGTCAATTTTCCCAGAAGCCAATGACCCAATTTCACCAGAAGTCAATGACTCTACCCTCCAGTGACCCTACCAGTATGTCTTTGGATTCTGGGAGAAAACCTGAGCACCTGGAGGAGACTGAGGGAGAGCATGCAAACTCCAGATAGTCAGCGCTGCGAGGCAGCGATGCTGACCAGTGCACCGCCGTGCTGCCCCGTTATGCCCTTATATTATTGTGAAATTGTTGTGACTACAAGGATCATGAATAAAATGTGTGAGTAACTTCTGTGGCCTCGTTGTGATAATGGTCACATAGGGGTGCTCTTGATGTCTTTCCCTGTAAAGAGAAAATGGTTAAGGTGATAACAATATTAGAGCAAAGCCACAGGAATAAACACTTAAAAAAATGTCTGTCCACATACATGTTAAATGTGTTGTTCTTATTTTTCAGAATTCACTTGCAGAAAAGTCCTGCTGTGAGCAGTGTTGTAGTTGCTTAGGCAGCAGAGGTCCTCTGGGCCCGTACGGTCTTCCAGGAAGAAAGGTAAAGATTATGAACTATAGGGTGATTCTTTTTTTTTTCCTTTTCTAAAATATGACATCAAATTACTTTCTCTTTCATACCCCCGAAGTTTTCCCTGCCAGCTGGTAATCAATTCAGTGAACCACTACACTACACATCAATGAGGGGTGTGTGGAGGTAGAGTCCACCTCCTTGTTTGCAGTCTGGGTGTTTTCACCTTATGGTTCACATATTCACAAGCAGGAATGATCACTGCACTGCATGCTGAATCTGCAGGTCAGGCAATTTAGTCAACTGCACGGTCACTGCGCATACCTACAGCAGGTAAGGTCTCATCACAACAAAACAGAGCGATTTAAACAGACATGGTTACGCACAGGTAGCAGGTTAAGGGAAACGCATCTCAGTTCAGTCTGAAACAGATGTGAACGCTAACAGTATAAATATTTATATCTTACTGAGAATATATACTGTACTGTATGCGTTTGCGAATAAGGACCTAAAACAGCCACAGGGTCTAAGATCCGACCTGTGAAGTGTCCTGTCCTTTACTACATTCTCCTCATTGCAGCAAAATGCTCAACACCTCCTGCTTTCTTCTTTTTCCTCAGGGTGCACCAGGTCCTGAAGGGAATGTAGGCCACATGGGAGACGAAGGACCACCTGTAAGCTCTTTAGTTTGACTCATCAATACGCCCACTACTGCACGGATGACAGGCTTGTTTCTGCCTTTTTTCAAAGTGTTTCCAGTACTTGATTAAGAGTAAACACCAGCGGTCAGGATGAGGAATGGTGTTGGTTTCAGAACAATGGCAGGGAAGATATATGGCATCATTAGCATGGGCTACTGTAGTTCCTTTGTAGTTGAGATTTTGCAGATTTCACAAATATGGGAGGATATTATATACCACACCTCCGTGAAGACCCATTCTCCAGAATTCACGGATAAGCAATCATTTTGATATGTTGGTGTGCCTGTATGTGTAAGGATCGCCAAGTTTCCAGAAACAGCACAAATAATGCCAACAAGGTTTCGGACATGTTGAAAATGGACTACAGCATTTGTTTCATGCGCATAACTGCCTCTTTTGTAACCAAAAAGTGTTCACTAATGTGCTCATAAACACTTTGCAATATTAAGCTTGGCTGACACTGTCCATTACTGACCCAGTGGATTTAGTCTTATGTTGTTTGTTCGAAATTAAGCAGGAACTCTAAAGATTTAAGTAGTTCAGGTGAGACATACCCTCATACCCGAAGAAGGCTCCACAGCCGAACCGTTATGTTTTCTTTCTTCTCTTGTCAGCATGGAATAAACCTATTACTTGTTACTCTAAAGATTTGATGCATTAAACGATAAATCACCCTTGATTTGACAGGGCACACGCGGGTCTCCTGGGTTGCCTGGCTCAGCAGGATCGACTGGATGTGATGGATTAAGAGGCTTGAAGGTAAAAACACAGAAACATGTGCAGTATTTCCTGTAACTGTATGCTAAGAATATGCCTCAGTAGCTTTGAAAAGTCAGAGAAGGAAATTAGGAAAGAAATATTATATGAGCGTAATTCCAAAGGCAGTTTCACATCTGCTCCTTGCTATAAGCCAGAGGAACTGGATCACCTTGCCTCCCCCTGCACACATATCCTCAGGTTTCTCCAGAGTTTGTTGTTACAGTAGGCACTGAGTAAGTCTGCTGGTGTTCTTAGGACAGGCGGGTAATTTCGGCTCAGTGGGGCATCTCTGGCACCCAGCTAGTCTTTATTTTAGGGATGCGCCCTGTCCTATAATATGGATTAGGGTCCAATTTTTCACATTGTCAGCGTTGTATTTTTCTGCAGCTCCAAAGTGTGCACCCCTCTTTCGTATCTCAATTTCTGTCAAGGCCTTTGAGTGGTTATGTGTGTGTTTAACATAAAACCATTCCTCTATTTTCTATAATCTTCGGAGACATCATTCTGGTTCAGTATTTGATTCTCAGTAAGAAGTTCAAGTGACAAATAGATTTGTTGTTACTGATTGATTTTCTTTTTCTTTATCAACAGGGAGCTAGAGGTTCATCAGGAGAAAAGGTAAAACATATTTATCCACCATTTATCTAATTCTTTGTCTTCCTGTGACAGACAAAAGCCACTTCCAGGAGATTCTGTGTATTAAGATCAAATGAATCCTTGTCCTCATGTTGTAAGTAGCCTTGTGAATATGACTGAATCAGTTAAGAATAGGGAAGCATAACAAATAAGCAAGATGGTCCAAGTCTCTAACTTTAAATGATCCTTTAGCAGCTTTTCCAGTTTCAAGATACTTTCAGAATGCTTAATGAACAGTGCTTTAACCTAAATGAACATATTTTAATTATTTTATTGAAACTACTTGGATCTGTGCATCATATGGGAGTTGGAGCAGAAACATGTACAGACTATAACTGTCCACTGGAAAACAATTAATTAGTTAATAAAGTCAAGACGAGGTATTTTCTCGTTTTTTGCACGAATAAAAAGCTTTATTTTTTATGCTTTTCGAAATGCTGCCTGGTCCTGGAATTCACTCCCGATGTATAATCCTGCATGAATTTGGTTTGTGTCTCCAGGGGCAACGAGGGGAAGACGGACTGGATGGTATCCAAGGAAAGGAGGTCAATATTACAGATTTAAGTTATAGATAATTAACTTCAGGCTTTGTTATGCGACACATTATACATGTTGTGTTGTTGTGTCTTCTTGCACAGGGTGCTAACGGATTTCCTGGGCAGAAGGGAGAGCATGGCGTTCCAGGCAGAGTGGTAACCTACAGTATCTACAATGGCCAATTTCTCACACGATTACTTTCAAAATCCTCTATTTTTAAAAGAAAGTCACTTTTTTTTCCTGAACGTGAGGAATCTCCAGGCACATCTCCTGAATCACATGTAGTGGGTTTTGCAGTTTAAACTTTTAAGATTTGTCAAAATAACAGGAGTGATCTTTAAAACAAAATTGGAGCCGACTTGCTTATTTGTTTTAAAGTTCTGTTGTTGTGCCTGCCAGACATAATACTAATATTACTCGGCTGGAATAACATCAAAATCATCTTGAGACACGTTAACTTGCCAGATTTCTTGTTTGTTTTTTTTTTATTCCTTTTATTTATGAGAGTTTTGGCATGTGTGCAATCCCAGTTTTGCTAACAGTAAAGGGGTGAGTCCTGAAAGCTCTGCCATTTTCATTTAGAGTTTTTATTGCCACAGTAAAAGAAAACTACTACTCTTGTCCTGAAAATAGCTTGAGTTTGTTGAGTTTTGGTCTGAATTATTTCCTCAGGCTCTTTTCCTTTGGCATCTTATAACGGCTTTGGTATCTGTTTTATTTAATGTTAATACACAGCCCCTCTAAAGATCTTCACTGCAACAAAAATGTTAGAATGCAGCAAAGAATGGGTTTATTTGCATTTGAAATCAAAGGTTCCCTTACGTAAGTCCGCTGTCCCCATAAATGTCAAAATGAGATTGCTGGCTTAAAATGACAGTGAAAGGAAAAGGTTTCACTGCTTTATTTCCTTACAGTACTGATGGCTTAAAACTAAATAATTTGAGCTGTACAAATACTACAAGAACATAATGGTGACGATCAATATCCATTCATTTAGTATTCTGCATATTTTATGTATTCTGCGTGCATGTTATATATTGTACTATATGTATCCTTCACACTGTAATTTACAAGTAAAGGCCCAAGATCTCTTTTATTAGAATTTTCTGTGAATACAGGCATAGCTCACTAAGTTGAATATGTATAAGTGATGCATTCGTTTTCCAGCTAAAGACATTTCTGAATTTTGCAATTTATACAGTATAAATCGCTCAAATATTTTTCCCAGGACTAAATGACCAGCTCCCTCTGTGAACACATGTCCTTGCTCACACTACCAGGAATCTCACCAAGCTTGTAGTCTTGTGGCATTCCTTCCACTGCCACCCTAAGAGCCAAGATGACAGCAAGCTCAACCGACTTTGGCCACCGAGGAAGAAGTTCTCTTGCTTTGCAATAGCAACAGCCCTGTGACCCTTCCCTGCTGACGGGAGGGTCTGACACCTCCTTCAACTCATTCTCATTTCTTCCTACTGCACTGTAGCTCATTGCTCGTTCAGAAACACGTGCTGTACGTTTCCAGTAACAGCAGCAGGGAGATGGCGTCGCTGTATTGATGTGCTTCTTGTTTCTTTTTCCGAATAAGCTCTTGTGCTCTTCTTCATGTCAGCTGGTGTTGTTTTGTGTTTCAGGGAAGACCAGGCACCAAAGGCATGCCAGGGGAGAGAGGGGAGCAGGGCCTGAGAGGAGACCCAGTGAGTTACTGTTTATGCCCAGCGATCTCACTTGTTGATGATATACAGTAACTGCACAATAAGCCACATTCTCTTCATTTGAAAGTTTTAAATTCTATAAATTGAGGTGCTTCTTTGTAATGATTGGATCAATTATTTGTACACTTGTACATTTGTACAGGCTGCAAGGCTGGGCCAGGTAGTCCTGTGTATAGCTGGTTGCGCTGGATGCTGTGTTAAAACCTGATGTTTGAGACTTTGAATTTGTTTTGTAAGTCATTGAAAAGTTAGTCATTGTTGTCTTGTGTCACCCTGACCCTCCTTGTCTTACCTCTGGCCTCCACTTTCTTTGTAATCACCTGAGTGCTTCTCTCTAAGGCACACTCTCTAATTGCACGAGTTTCAATAATAAAGCTGACGTGCCTGAGCAAACTGTCACAATAGTTTTAGAAGTCTGCTGGTAAGACGGAATGTTCCCCATATAAACCAGTAAATGGTTGTTGAGTTTTCAAAGTGCTAGATTTTTCTTTTTTTACCAAATGTATCTGATTACAGTGAAACAACAGCACTTAGGTTACTACCCTGCCAAATGTGCTCAGCCTGTAATTTATTTGAGTTTTATGGATGCATTTACAAGAGACATTAAAGGTCATCTGTAGCATCTCAGCTGCCTTTTGAGTTTTAAGGCTCAAACTGTGTTGTTCTTGTTTTCTTTGTTACACATCCTGAATCTCAATTTCAAATGATGAATAACACATCTGTGCAGCAGAAATGTAATCTGTCTTTTACCACAAGCCAGATGACATCACTGCCTCTGGTGTCCGTTTCTCTGACACTCAAAGCAAATAGGTATTTCTCAAACAAAACACTCTCTTCTTTCAATTACCTGAAATCCCTTTCGAGTGCTGCCCTGTGAAATAGTGAAATTTCAGAATCTGAACTCTGCATTCAAGTGGAAAACTAATTCTTAAAATTTGAGAATGCTGTCCCCCACTCTGCTTGATATTGCTGAACACATTACTCCTGTCACAGCTGTTTATGCAAAGGTAACATTGAGGATGAATTTTTTAATAGTATTAACTTTCCTGTGAATCATGGTCAATTTTGACTTAAGGAAGTGAATGAAGACCACTGTCACAGTATATCCCAAAATGCTATTGCGTGTCAGGTCTGGCCTATCTGGTAAAAGGCTCTACAGCTTGGAAACAAACTAAGATTCTAACGTCTGCTCTATCTTCATCTGCAAATTATTGTTTTTGTGTCTCATACAAAATGATTATTTTTTTTCTTAAAGCCCCAGATGATCTGTTTGATGATAACAAGATAAAGTGTTGTGCTGAGACAATGGGCCTTTATGGAGCTTAAAGAGCCTAACTCTTAAGTATTGAAGAGAATCAGTGGTGTAGTCAATCCCCTTGAGCAGCATAAAAATGTAAAACTTGGACCAGCCTATCATGCTGAGCTGCAATAAAACCTACTTCGTCATTAAAGTCAGGAATCCCAGTACACAATTAATTATGCATTAATTTGGACTTAAGATCGTTTCTGATTTTATTTTCAATCCGTGGACGTTGGTATATAAAATATATAAATAACATGAATAAATCAGACCCTTTCTTGGTTTCTCTTCTTGGATAAACTGTTCTGACGCTGCTCTAGTTGCTATAGGAGAGCCTTGCTTTCGAGCACGTTGGTAACTCGGGTAACAAATGTCTGTGGTCCTGCCAGCTTCGGCCAAGGGGCGCTAGCTGTGAGGCTGTGCCTCTTCCTCAGTGAGGTGTCTGACCCTGTTCCCTCGGTCCTGCTGCTCAGCTCCTGCAGCTGGAGACGGCGCACCATCTTCGGGGAGCCATTGGCTTCCTCCGCGGAGCCCTGCCGTTCAGCTCCTATGACCTTCCAGACAACTGGCTGTAGGCAGCAAGAGCTTTACAAACCATTAAATCTCCCACCGTCACCTGGCCCGTTGTCTTCCAGGAACGGGTCAGGTGACTGAGGGCAATGCGACTTTCCCCTCAGCTTTCTGGGTAATGTAGTTCAGGCCAGAGAAGCCATCTTGCCTGCACCTGCTGTCTCTACCCACTCTTAATAGGAGGCCCCATCTTTATGTACAGTCATTATAGTGTGTTTATATGATTATAGTGTTTGGTTATACTGACCCTAATGTCTCTAGCAAAATCTGACACACAGAGCTAAATATTATCAGTCTGTAATTAACGTGTAATAGCATATTAGTCTGATCACTTTATAATTTGTTTTTTCAGAAACATTGTGGAAGGTCTTAACCTCTACTCATATTTCATTTCATCATTGCAGGGGGTTACTTGCTGGGACAGCAGCGTGTCTGGTGAGAAAGGGCAGAGTGGGCAAGTTGGCACCCCGGTATGTGAAACAGACCTTCTTACAACAGCTGCTCTTGAATAACTGCACAGTCCTTGGCAACGGCGCTGTGACGTCTCCATGAATCGAAGCAGATGAACACTGTTTGGGAAAGTTAGGGGGAACTGTAGGTTAAAAGCTCCTGGCTGATGTGATTCGAGCTGCATTTCTGATCCAAATTTATTTTTACCTGCCAGTTTTCTCGCTGCTGGTAATGTCTGGCACGTTTCAGAAATAGGGAGGATAAAAGTAAGTTGACTTTTCACTGTAAACGGAGAGTCTGATGTGCATGGCTCACATACTGTAAACACAAACTCTTGCTTCAGCTGGACGTCGAAGCAGTGCCGACCAACACTGAGACCAGGGGATATTCCCAGATTGTAGAGATCAGCAAGCTCCCAGGGCCTTCGCACACAACAGCACTGACATAGTGTCTTTTATCTGATTAGAAGACTGTGAATCAGAAGCCCTACGACAACTCCTTCACTCCCTCTATCACCCCCTCCTCAAGAAGCTATCAGCCAACTTTGTCCAATATGTCAAAACTTATCAGACAGAAAAATGAATAGATAAGAATTTCTTCAGTGCTTTTGCATTTACAGTAATTGAATTACACTGTCATTCGAGTAAACACAATTATTATCCTCAAATTACATTATTTTTAAATGCATTGCAATTCAACCACATGTAATTATTATTATTAAATGCATTGTAGTTGAAGTAATTTTGTCATTATTGCAATACAAGCAGGATCAAATTGCCAAATATTTTTTCATTCTGCAGCATCTTTCATTTCACCTTCAGAAGAATATTGATGTTTATGTCTAAGCAAGAATTTGCAAATATAGAGTGAGGGCAAGCTGTAGTGCTATGTACATTATATAGTATTACATTACTTTATATTCGGCATTAAAAATACAGTTTAAGGCAGCCCTTTACAATCTATATTTGTAAGTGATGTGAAATGTACTGGCTCACAGTCATTTCTTGAGTGGTGTATGGGGTCAGACCACTGATTTGAATTTCCCATCTGACACACAGCACAGTGCGCCCAGTCCACACAGCCCACACCCACGATTCTTGTGCCAAACCGCTTCTTCTAAATGCCTGGCTCCTGTTCACAAGGCGTTTGAGTGGTCTTGACAGTCCCAGGGATTGATGCCAGTGTGACACTCTCAGACGTGTTAGAGTAGCTTTCTGCAACGAGTAGCTGACCCTACCCCTGCTGGGACTAGAAGCCGGTCACCCATGGGCTCCGAGCACGCACAGCGCCACTCCACACCCCGCAGAGCCTTACACTACCTGGAGTTCAAGGGGATGCGATGTCACAGCTGTAGCTCGCTCAGCACACTGAGACCTGCTACATTTCCTGGACTGTACGGAGTACTGAAAGTAATTTACATTTACTTCCACAGGGGGTGAACCTTTAATCAAAAAAAATCCAAGGATTGTGAAAGATGTGTGACTGGCCTCACTATATGACTTGGTTGTTTATTTTCTGGTCTGTTTGGTTTTGATTTTTAAAGGGAGATTCTGGGATTGATGGGGGGCCTGGAGAAAAAGGAAGTCCTGGAAAAACAGTAAGACACGTTTCAATACGTATGTGTAGATTAAGCAGTAATTGGGAATGATGCACACCGTTCCTCTAATTGTCTCCTAGAAGAACATATTCCACAGTTAGTACCTTCAGTGTGGCTGTGCTACTGTATATTGACACATGGGTTTGTTCAGACCCGACCAGGGTTCGAATGAAAAACTGACCTGGAAGACTAAGCAACACTTAGGGGAAAAAAAAAAGTTTCATAAAAGATTATATAAAATTAACTGTTAATAGTTATTTTGTAAGCTAATTTGTGAGCTTTCTGCCAGCAGGAACAATTTATCTCAAACCTGTTTTGCTCGTGCAAGTGATGCGGAGATCATGGATTCCCTTCGTGTTTCTGAACAGCTGTAATAGCCAACAGCTCTGCTGCTCAAAAAATTAAGGAAGCTTCCAGAAAAACCTAAGATCTCACTTCAGCTTGGTCCCAAATCATGGGTTCCTAATAAATTACATGATAAATAATAGATAATAGATGGCTTATTGACTTCGAGGACTAAACAAATTGTTTTGCAAATTAAGCTAAAAATGAAAAAGTATTTTCCCCCCAAATACAATATTATACATACGTAAGGAACTTGCTGCAGTCGATTCCTGGCAGCTGAACAATTCTCAAAAGGCAGCTAAGAAAGAGGCTAACTGGAAAGGATACAGCACTCATGCTTGTAACTTACTGGGAAGAGTAGAGGTCAAGGCCTGGATAGCAAGAAAAATCTTTCAGATGGGGGTTCCTCATAAATTGTGATGTGAAAAAAATTATAATGCTCAGTAAAAGGCTCATCCCTAATAACACCTGGGTATTTTGAATAACGTGGCTAGGAAAATGTTTTTTGGATAAATGACCTTTGGGATCTCTAAGGAAGACGAGATATTACTGCATATTCTCATGCAAGTCAGTCGTGTGTGAAAGAGAAAGCTGTTTTGAATGTAGACTTGACCTGCATATAAAACAAATACAAAAACAGAAAAAGATTAGAGGTTGTCATTTGATGAATATGTTGTTCTGGCTTCAACAACAGTTTGCATTGCTTCATAAGAAATTTAAATATTTTGCCGCTCTTGATCTTAAACACAAATACCCATTTTAATTCTTCTGCAGCCTTAACAATATTGAATCATTTTCTTTCTGATTTTCTCTCCATATAATTGTTCAGTTATCAAGAGAAATAAATCATTTAGTTATAGAAATTAAAAAATTCTAGTGAACCTTACTTTAATCAAACATTAGTTTAATACAACTTAGCAAATACTAATCAATTCCTACATTTTGCATTTATAATTGAAAATTATGAATGGCATGTTAATAGATCTTTAGCTAAACTTATTAAAAATATGTTTGTTTAATTTTCTTGTACGAGATTTAATCTATCCTTTCCAAAATAACCAGACTTAATCACACTATGAACTTGTGATTAATTTTTCCTGTCACTCCCCCAGCTTTTTCTAAACTTTACAAGAAGACATGCGCATAGATCAGATCAAAGAGAAGCTGGCTGTCACCATCTGGAGTGAAATTTTAAAGATGTGTCTTAAAAAATCATTTTAAAACTTTCAAGCCTATCAAAAAAATGTTTAGTCATTGTAGAGTAATTTTCTAGTTTATCCACTGTATAAATAATTAGAAGGAACAAGGAAAGATTTATTCCGTTCTGAAAAGAGAAGGAAAGAAACACAATGTTTCAGCTGTGGAGCCTTCTTCGGATGTCCCAAGGCTCCACAGCTGAAACATTGTGTTTCTTTTCTTCTCTTTTCAGCATGGAATAAACCTTTACTTGTTCTTTTGCGGCCTTTGCATGCTGATGCAGCTCCCTGTTTAAATAATTAAAATATTTAATTTCATTCAGCAGTTGCGAATGAAAAGGTTGTAAAGATGTATAATGTAATTTGTTTAATACTTTCAGGGCTCCGCGGGTCACAGGGGACAATTAGGAGAAAAGGTACTGTACAGTCTTTTCAAAGATTATTCTATCTTTCAAAAACTCTGTAATGATAAAATGATCATCTTTAATAGGCTAATTCAGTCTTTTTACTTACCCATAACCCATCCATTTTCTAACCATTTCATCCTATCCCAGCAAGCAATGGGTGCAAGGCAGGATACGCCACAGGTCACACAGAGACACAAACACAGGGCCTGTTTTCCCTGAAGCCAATTATCCTGCAGTGTACAGTAGGAGGAAACAGGAGCGCTCGGAGGAAGCCCACACGAACACGGGGCGAAAACAAACTCAACACAGATAGCACCCCAGGAATTGATCCCAGGGCCCCAGTGCCATGAGGCGGCAACGCTAACCACTGCCCCTTGGTACCGCCCTAATAATCCATACCATATAGATATGCCTAACACCTATAAAAAACACTGAACTCAAAGTTCTTTAGATGCGTGAAAGGCACATTACACAAAATTAGAGAGGAGGACATCACGAAAACGAAGTAGCTTGAAGGTACTTGTGGCGTTGCGCGGCGGCGTGCCCAGCGCGGAGACGAAGCCCTGGAAGGAGGGCGATGCTGGGCCTCTGTAGTCCAGCTGTTCTGGATACTAGAGGATGGGCCGCAGCTGGGCGGGTCCTATAAAGGCACACTGGTCACCCCCGGAAGGGACGAGCAGGGACACCCCCGGCGGGGGAAGATTATTTTCACCGGCAGTCCCAGAGGGGATTGTACCCACGTACAATTATGAATAGTTATTTTTCTTTTTTTTATCCTTTTTTTTTTTGCCCGTCCTACCGCCTATTTTCACCAAGGCAGGCAGACCTTTTTCAACACACACACACTGAGTTTTTATTTTGTTTTACGCACCCCGTTAACATCCGGTCTTGTCAACGCTGTGCTGGCGGCCCTTCTTTTTGCTTTCTGTTTCATTGTTTGTGTTATTTTTGGGCAGAGACGTTTTACTGCCGCTCGCCGTGACTCCGCCCACCTCCACACTGTCACGGCACTTTGTGGCTAGATTGAAAAAACAATCTTGAAAGGCATGCTCAAAAAGCACGTTGGTTAAAACCGATCTTTCGGAAAGCTAGACTTCGAAGCACTTGACGGGGCTGAAATCCTGATTCACTTTAAGATGGTGATCCAGAGCTTTAGGGCACAAGAAAAAAAGGCCCTGTCGCCCACAGAGTGTAGATAAACACTGGGAACACACATTAAACCAGAGTAACGTTTTATAGGCCCTGGCATGTCCGCCGCCGTTTATAAGAACTGGCGGCATCACCTGAGCTCGTAGAGTTTGTTATATTAAGCACTGAAGGAGCAAAATGCAAACAGACAAGAGCAAAATAAAATAAAGGTTATGGGGTCCAACAAGAGGAAAGCAGGTTTCATATGCTGTTCGCTGAGGCACACAGGGGTTAGATGGGTAAAGTGAGAAAGACATCAAAGCCAATCGAAGCCAATCAAAGAAAGACGCACGAAAATTGCGGTGTCAGATGCTGTCAGGCTTGGATGTGTCAAAGAAATGTTCTAGAAATGTTTTGCGTAAATGTGACGAGACGGGCAAGATGACAGGACAATTAGGCTGTAGCACTTGATTTGTGGTGGGAAAAAAACGTCTAGGATTAATTAGATTATTCTCAATTATATGAGACAAATAGCCATATCTAGCACTTACCAACGCATAGTCCACCATAAAAAACAAATTAATAAATACATATTATCATTTCATTTTAAAGATAAATTTGGGAGTCCTTGGAGGAAGAGGTACTTTGGAAAAGTAACTTCCTAGGCTTGAAAGCATTTGTGATTTTGGATGTCGTCTATACTAATATACTGTTAATTTCCGAATTAAAGTGTGGACTTAGCATGGACTAAATACACAGTTCAGTATTTCAGCAAGTTTACACATTTACTGTATATCTAGCCATACTATTAGCACAGTGAGTCAAACTGTAGTTACTGGGAACAAGATATAATAATTTAAAATCCACATTGGTTTCAGTTCACTGCAAATTATATGGAAAAATCTACACATTAACCTTTTCCCTTGGATAAAAAGTCTTGGGAATGGTAGACATTTTGCCAGCCACAACATTCTACTTTTGGATTTGAAAGTGTGCTGACCATAAATTGAGAGGTCTTTACAGGTTGTTGGTCCAAGAAAAAATTATTTGCAGTAGGTCTGCCTGGAAGCTTGTTTTATTACAAATTATTCTGGCACATGGAGGATAGCCAGCTGTTTTGCTCTACTCTCCTAATAGCAGTGCTTAACTGTGTCCTACCTCCCTAAAGAAAACAGCTTTTAGTTCAAAAAGCTTAGCATGACTTGGATGCACCCTAATGATGACTGGAAGCCTTGACTCACCATGTACAGTGCACTAATACATTGCACTAAATATATGGCCTGGTTGCAAAGCGTCAGATTCTCCTTTAAATCCAAGAAACATTTCCACCGTAGCCGATATGGCCAGTCATCTAAAATGGGCATACAATTTTTTGGACATTATTTATAAACAAGCATAAGGTCAAATACAGAATGGTATTCTAAACAGAAGTTTAGATGGAGACAAGTTCTCTAGTCTTCCCAACATCCTCTCCCCTGAACAGGAATCTCTAACTGCTAAGCTCCCCCTTTGCACTGCTCTCTCCCTCCATCCCATCATCACTCTTGAAGCAGCTCCCTGGCTCATTCCTCTTTAGGAGAATGGGGGGTCTTTTTTCGCTTCATTCTTGTGGGCAGGCTGCTGTTCTCTCATCCAGGCCAGTTACATCACATTAACTTTAATACATTAATCTTTATGTTGTACTCATTAGGCTAATACTAAGCTAATTGAGCTAATACTACCGTACTGTGTGAAAGTTTTGGTGTTCTGATGTGAAACATCCTGCTGGAACACAGAGCAGTTTGAGTCCAACCAGCTTCTTTCACAGCCTCAAAGTTCTCTATCACCGAGTCAGGGCACAGCAATGGAGACTCGGGGAAAGCACACACTGCAGCCCTGCAGTGTGCATTCACAGGTGGTGTCCCCGCGGCACACTTTCCAAACACACATTAACACACCCTCCACCTCTGTGAAGGCTTTGTAAAAAATAAATCCCAAGCATTTAATAAAATGAAAAATAGACTTCTGCCAAAAATGAACCTACGCATTCACTCCAGATTTACAGATATCACTCTAAACTGTAGACTTTGAATTGACTGTGCTCACAACCACACACATAGCCAGAACACAGACACTGTACAGTACACATGTACGCATCATGTGCCCTTAACTTTGATTTGATTGCAGTAATGAAATGATTACTTTAAGGTTAATCTGCTTATTTAGAATTACATTTCATGTTTCATTTCAACTGATTCTTTTATTCAAGATACATTCCAAGATTTCAAGCATTTTTGTGAATGCACTAAATAGCATTTTAAATAATCTACAAAATGTGATGGCATTGTGACCGCTTACGAATATATATATTTGAAGGACTGAAATGTTTTCTTTCTAAAATCTGCACTCAGGGCAACAAGGGAAGTCCTGGCTCATCTGGTCCTATAGGCGAAAGAGGAATAAGAGGTCCTCAGGTTTGTACAACTTCCTGTATTAATCTGACTATCCAACTTTTGAAGATCACCCTTTTGAAGATCGCGTTTTTGCCTTCTGGTAATGGAAACCAGTGTGTATAGTGCTGCTAGCACTGGTGTTTGCCATAAGAAATACAGTCACAGCTGCTGCAGAGAGCTCTGACCTTTTATCGATTAACTGAGCTTCTCTGGTCACGTATGTACAAGTAGGTCTAAACTCCAAAGTTCATGGCTCTATTTTTGCTTTTTTTAACTTTAGAATGTTTTAATTTGTTTTAAATGAGACATTATCATTTTTTTTTTTTGCCATTCTAGGTACAGTAAGTTTCATGAACTGCTCCTGTACATTAGGAATGATATCCTGGTAGTCTGTGCGACTAGGGACAACAGCAAGAGGCTCCCAGCAGGGCTGACCTGTCCACCTGTAGCTATGGATTCCATTGCTGATAGGGGGCGCTGTGTGGTTCAGGGCTGGTCACAAGCCTGGCTAACAGTGAGCGGATGAGGGGCAAGATTCACCCCTCATGTTGCTTTATACATTACCCTGTCAATGCTGACCCTACATTACTCATTGTCCAGATTGCATGGCAAGGACAAAGGAGTGGTCTGTAGGTCCCTTAATCTTGACAGACATCAGGTGTAAAAATCATTGCTTCGTCACCCCAGAGACATTTTGAAGAGCATATGAGAAAAATGAGATAAACAGTGGTTGAACGCCACCAATGTCCCGTAAGGTCAAGAACTACTTTGTGCTTTTTTCAGGGACTTAAAGGAGATGTTGGAGAAAATGGACCCCCTGGAGAGAATGGACCAAAGGGGCCACAGGTCAGAGGGCTTGATACTCATTGTCTTCTCACTGATTTTACACCCTTTAGAGTATCCTCTGTAATTCCCCAGGTGCATCCAAGCACGTAAAACAATCTAGAATCTTCTCAGTCTGCTGGTTGAAGCTTTTAATGCTGAATCTATGCTGTGGTCCCGCGTATACATTTCAGAAAACATTCTACTTTTTAAAAAGTTTAGAATATCCTGATACAAGGAGAGACACCACAGAGGTTCGAGACTTTATTTATTCATCATTAAGAAAAAGCTTAGAAGGGCATCCTGGGAAAAGGGTAAGGGTGCTGGAGAGCAGGTTGAGCTCTGTCACTGGCCCACTGTGACTGGGATTCCCCAAGCTGTGGTTTAGAAGAGGCTGGGTAGTGACGAACAGTCACCATTTACATGAAGAAGACAGACGTTCCTTAACAAAAATATTAGATTTCCTTGAGCAGTCGACATCTGAACTGGACACCACCAGTGCTTTTGATATAAGATAGTTAAATTCCTCAAAGAGTAACATTAAGTGAAGTTAACTCATAAACTGGAAGTTGTGAGAATCTGAGGTTGAATGAGCACCCAAAATGAAAATGTATTCATGCTCAGAAGAGCTCTGAGCAAGAGGGCAGCTTCAGATGAGATAATTAATAAAATACCACAGGGGGGTTTAAATGAAGGATGCAGACTTTGGTACAGGCAGTTCATGATGCTACAATACAAGGTCAGGAGGCAATTACTGTGTGAGCAGTAAGAAAACTTAGACGCTATGAAGGACTGTGCAAATACCTGGCACATGGAGATCACACTGACGAGTGCTGACAACTTGAAGCAGCACAGGAGTCTGTTTCATTACTGTGTGTGGGACTAGACAAACTCATCAGCTACTGTATGTGACCTCTTTGTTGGTAGGGTGCTCCTGGGAAGCAAGGCCCAGAGGGAAGTAAAGGAGATGCTGGGGAGAGGGGCAGAAAAGTAAGTGTTTCTCTTCCTTATCATTGTACTAACATGTACGAATTCACTCAAGGCAATCTTTCTGTTGGCCGGGCCTATAAAATCGAACTCTGCTGTGTGTTTTTTCAAAGCAAGAGTCTGCAGTAATCTCCCTCCCATCTCACTCCCAATGATACTGCAAACAAACCAAGTCGCTTTGTGTTAAAGCACTTCAATTTCATGTTTAGCTGTGAAGTAAAATAAGGTGGGGACAGTGCCTGTTCATAGGAGCATGTTTGTATGTGTTTCGGGTACTGCTCCTTCAGCCAAGATTTAGAGGAAGTCAAGACCATCTGCACGTTAATGTATTTTTTAGGACTTTACATTTGTCCTTGTGAATGTTGCATGAAAGGTTCGTGTTTACAAACGAGTTGTTAATGTATTTTTCTTTCTTGAGAGGACTATGTAACATGCACCCCGTCTTTTGATGCAGCTGGTCTGGAGCACTCGGAGGTAGTGGGTCGAATCTGGGATTAGAAAGCATGCACGTCCATTATTTGGAATATGCTTTTACTTAGTGGTCACTTGTGGTCAACCTCTTCAATAATTTTATCTTAGTATCACACCTGTCTTCACAGTGTAATAAAGGTAATCATCGAAGGCAGGATATAGCAAGTAAAGACAGCTGTGATGAAATATTTTGCAGTGCCAATTTGTGACAGCTTGCAAAGAAAGCATTGCATCCATTTGTACTAACAGGTAGTGTTAACACGATGTCATTACCAACACTGATTTAAATATCCCGTAGAAGAGCAAACCATTACACAGGCTTCATGACAGCTTTCAGGAAAAATCACGCTTACTTATCCTTACCTGATGTGTACTACAGCAGCGCATGTGCTGTCTAGCAGGAACAAAACATGCCCTGAAGCAAGGGCCCATTCTCCCTCACAAGACATTCAGAATTCTTCCCCCAGCTCATTAAAAGAAAACATTGTTACTAAAAGATCTTAGTATGACTCACATCTAATCTAATAGGTGTGGATCCTGTTGCTGGAGGTTTTAGCAGTGCAACTGTCCATTATGGAACAAAATGACAAGAAAAGTTGCTTGTAGGGCCAAATTCTTTTTTGGGGGGAGGACAATAGGAATTTGTGCATTCTACTTCTTCACACCTGACGAAGGCTCCACAGCCGAAACGTTGTGCTTCTTTTCTTCTCTATTCAGCGTGGAGTAAACCTTTACTTCTTCCTTTGCAGCTTATGCATGCTGACACAACTCGCAACAGTACTTGAACTTTTAGATTATCCGGTACTTGTTAATGTCAGAAGAGGCTGGGGCAGACAGGATACCCTTTATTTCTCACCCTGCACTTCCCGCACTGTTGCCAAAGACAGTGTTTCTGTATTGCTGCCATTGCAGTGGCCGTGGAAAAGGTGTTTTTCTCACATCGCCTTTTAAAAGCTTGTTGATTGTGGCTGTTTAAGACGCCACACCTCAAAAGTTCTTAACAAAATGCTGCATTTGCTGCTCGCTGTGTTGCATGTCATTGTTATAGCTGAGAAACCTCACTTGAGCAAACTCCCCCCTATTTCTGTGGCTTCTTACAAGGATGTCTCGAATTAATTACTCATAGCTGCAAGGACAAATTTTCTTGCATCCTTAAATCTCTCAGTTATTACAGCATTTGTACAGTCCATCTTCAAAGTCTACCAAATCCCTGTGAGGCTTTACTTCATCTGGCTTTTTGTTCTTTCCAAGTGAAGAAAGAAAGGAGGGGGGAAGATTGCAAAACGGAAAGATAGCATGCCCCACGAGGCTCGGAGAATCGCCAGAAAGATCTCGGCATACTAAGCATGACATGTCAGAAACTCAATAAAGCTTTTAATATAAAGCAATCATCCTATGAAATATAAAGAGGGTACTGTTTTCCTTCCAGGAGAGCTAGCAGCTAGGATTTAAATTCCATGTAATCAGTATCTGATAAATTAAATGTAGCAGATGTCACTGTGAGGGTTTTGAGCATGCTAAAGGGCTTGAATGCTTCCATCTGTTTAACCTTTCTAAATTTGAGAAAATAGTTGGTACAGATGGCGTTGTTAATTTACTAAGATCTATTTAAAAGTGAGTAGATATCTGTCATCCGATTTATAAAACATACATTTAAAATCTGAATTTCCATAAATTAAACATAATATGAGGTGAACAGGGTTATGAATAACTTATCATTCTTTAAACTGAAGTCCTATTATTGGACTGAAGTTCATACTGTATACAGTCAGAAAAGAGCTCCTTATGTTTTCAGGTTATGTACTCAATGTACTACGTTGTCTCATGGGTTTTTGTGCATTTTGTTCGGTTAATTGTTTTCCTCCTCATTTGCTTTTACCTGCATTTCTTTCATCACTAGTCTGCTCTGTTTTTCTTTTGCTGTCCTTCAGCATTTCAGACTTCAGCAGAGCTCTAGAAGGAGCTGAGCTCCTGCATTTTGCAGCAAACAATGAATCTAAAATCGAAATCTAATCTAAGATTATCTAAGAAACTCTCATCTAAAATGAGAGAGATATGAACCTTTCACCACTCTGAGGAAAAGCAACAGAATACCAGAATATTAAAAAGTCAATAATAATCATTATTATTATTAGCATTTTTTTTATAATAATCACCGCATTTTTAATTCAAATATAGTTTCCTTTTTTAGCAAGATTTGTAAGCTCAATTGCTCTCCAAGGAGAGGTGGAGTTAAGAGTGTGTAGTAACTCGCGTTTAAAGATGTCCTTCTCGTGTCTGTATAACAGGGCGAACCAGGAGAGCCAGGCTTGAAAGGAGAGACTGGTCCAGTTGGCCCCAGAGGAGACCAGGTTGAGCTTCAATTTCTACAATTCAAACTGTCACATCAGGGAAACTGAATCCACTGGGAAAATGGTGCTACAGATAATGCATAGTAATTCTTGGTATTTATATAGACAGCTTCACCCGAGAGAGTCTAAAACACCCCCTAGGAGGTGCCTGGCGGCCATTAGGCCCAGCACCCCCACTAGACAGAAGATCCGGTGGAAAAGAGGAACATTTCTGCACTCATGTAATTGAGGGGGATTTTCTTGGGTAGGTCAGGTTGAGAAAGCATACAGTGTCATTATTGAGCTTAACACCCCTACTCTTCTGAACGGTGCCATGAGCTCTTTAATGAATAAGCAGTTAGGACTTTAATTTCCCAGTGTCCTACAGTACTGCGTTCCTTGTCCTTGTCACCCTGATGGAACACCTACTTCGACCATCTTACTTGCTGTGTCTTTTGAGATCCGATGAGATCAGACCAGAAGCTGATGACATTGCATTCCAAAGCAACTTACAGAGATTTAAATTAACTGTATGGTTTTTTGCCTTACAAGTCATGGCATCCGTGTACACACTTGGTCTAGTTGTATATCAGGATATTGCTGCTTTACAACAATGTACCTTGTCTGTGGGTGAATGAGTTGGATGGACTCCTCTCCTCTGTAATCCCTCTCGTGTTCTTATGTACGACAGCAGACTCCCCACAGTGCATCTGAACCCAGAGCCGCCAGTCAGGAGTCCAGAATGCTAACCTCTGCTCTGTACTGCCGCACTGACAAGAACATTTCAAAGACCGAGGATGTTGTTTAATACTTGTTCCAAACCTACATTGCAAACCAGAGCTCCAGGGTGTTCTTATGATATACATTTACTTTGTGAAAAGCGTTATATTTTGAAGATTGATTGAAAGTGTATTATTGCATTTGGACAATACAGTAAAGATTTATCCCAACTTATGTGTAAACAGCTGTTATTCAGTTTCTTCAGAACACCACCATATATTTGGAAATATTTGTTTTTATCTTTCGAGATTGAAGTTTGCCATGCCAAAGTTTAAAATGCAAACAAAACCCAAAGACTCGGAAGAGCCCACTTAAATAACAAACCCCTACAATGCCTCCAACACAATCAGATTTGAATGTTCTTCACCATGGATGGCTAATAGGACACCAGGCAATGCCTAAAGCCTGTTATTGTCTCTCGATTTGATCTCATTTACTGTATGTCCTGATAAAATACGTGTGGAAGAAACTAGAGAGCAATGCCCAGTACAGTTCTGTCTGTTTTACAGGGTGAAGACGGGAAAGATAAATTTGGAGTTCCCGGCAAAGCAGGGAAAAAAGTAAATATATGATAAGATTGGTGTTATTTTATGCCGATTCTCTTAAGAAAATAAACACATGAATTAACCACACTTGTTTTTCCAAAACAGGGGGATATAGGATTCCAGGGATTTCCAGGAATGCAGGTATTGTACTTAAACATATGAATGTATTTCAGCTTTTCCAAAAGAACACTGTGGACTTCTTTTCTCCTGTGCTTCACGGCCCGGCCTATTAATCTCATGTGTTTGTCATTTAGGGCGCAGTTGGTGACAAAGGAGAAAAAGGAGACAATGGGCCGAAGGGGATCCGAGGAAAGAGGGTGAGTGTCAGTGGGCGGCGTGTAAGAAATGATAAATACCACTCTGCTCTCTCGCACTCCCTGTTGGGTTCTTAAAAGCCAGTTCGTGGGAACGTCTTTGCATCTGAGAGGACCGAGTTTAATTGGCAAGTGCACTAGACTCGATCTGAGATTTGAGTGGCATGAAGATGTAAAGATGCTTGTGCTGCTGAAAATCACATGGGACACTGCCCTGCGACAGGTTTCTCATGTTGCATAGGTGAGGCTCAAATCGTTGTCCGTTCTATCTGCTGTAGACGCAAACCCATAACCTAAGAAAGGGGGGACATTTTTCATTTTTTACGAATATGCAAAGATAAAGGCTAAAAACAGGAATTTCAGGGTAAAACTTGGAGAGTTTGGAACCCTTCAATGAACACCTTTCACTGTTTGAGTCCTGCACTGATACATGAAGCATTAAGCATTAATCGAGATGTTTATTAATTAAGGAAAACATTGGATTGGTTTCAGTGAGGTGCACACACACCATAACACTTCAGGACTCAGTGACCTTTAGTGACTGAGGGAGCGATTGACAGTCCCCTACAGTGAAGGCTGTTTTGGTGAGACAGCATGATAAGGATTGAATGATGCTTTGGAATATTTAGGGGGACGGGGGACCTCCTGGTGTTCAAGGCGATCCAGGGATCCCAGGATATCAAGGACCAAAGGTAAGAAAGATAAACAACAGGGTTTTTTTTAATTAGTGTGCCATAACATACATCTGTTGTGCAGTGAAAATCATGATGGAGTCACGCATATCAAAAAGTATTGGTTCTGTCCTTCTTATTTTGCCAAAAAAAAACAAAAGAAAAGGGATAAGATGTGTGTGCATTTTCTCTCCACAGTGCTGGAAAAAATGGGAATCAATCAAATGAAAGGTTCTAGCCATTCAGGGTATGGTTAAGATTGTGTAACAGTAAAGTTTGGTGGTGTTTCCAAGTACTGTTGCTCAATCAGATGATTTCTTTCATGAAAGGAGTTATACAGAGTTGAGCCCTGGAGAAGGAATGCGTTAGGATCGCAGTATTAAGGTGAAGAATGGTCACAACTGAAATCTGGAACTCAAAGGGGTATTTGTTGTTGTAAAAAGAAAAAAGCGAAATTGTGCCTCTCTAGATGAGTAGAATCCTTGTTATGTGTTTTGATAAATTTCCCTTTCCTTTATTCTACGTGTGATTGTGAATTGTTTTGTTTCCTTTTAGGGGCTTAAGGGACAGAGAGGAGAACAGTCAATGCCAGTATGTAGCTTTTTTGTTGCGTCTGTATGCATTCAACTTGGTATCACAGACCACTTCTAATGAGGTTCTCTGTTCTTTCACTTGTTTCAATTTAGAAATGTGACCTTATCAATTACATACGTGCAAACTCTGGTAAGTGCTTGTCAATCGTTCGTGTTAAACATTGATGTTTCGTGTTGTATTCATACAGTTGCATGCTGGCTGCACATGCTACAACCTGCGGAGTTTCTGTTTATAGATTTTACAGTATACAGGACACAGCACTTATGGATAAACATCTGCTAACATAAGAATTTTATATATATGAATGCAGAAAGCATGGAATGTGTTGTGCACCCAAAGGGTCAGAGGAGTGAGGACAGGATGAGTAAAATTGTTCTGGATCCTCAGACAGTAAATTACATTTTTTTGTGCACAGTGCAGTGATCCAGGCAGAGTGAAATATGTCGTGCCTGAGGACTGCCAATTTTATTTTACAATACTGTAAAATCAAGTATCTAGCTCATAAACATGAAAAGCTCAGAGTGTTAGTCTGCATCTTAGCCAGACCAACTCGAAACGAGGAGCTTTGGAGAGATGGTGTGAAAAAAGGAAGACCAGGGAGGACAACCTGTATAGGTACATTGTAGAAAATACACATTTTAATGTAAGACTTTGCGTTTTCAAGCAAACATTCCATACAAAGAAATATTATACTGGTGAATATGTGTAAAGCAGCCACTGAAAGGAATTCTAGAGTGAAACTTACAACAAATTTAATATCATCCATTCGGTTGATTAATATACTCATTAAGCAAGGCAACAATAACTGGATTATCATCTGTTTGTAAAGTACAAAGGACAAGCAGATCCTATGGAAACAGCTGCTACTGCATGTGCACCTGTATTTACAGTAGGGTGCAGAATACAAGTGTAGACAGAAAAAAATGTAAGGAAGTCTGTTTTCAGGGTATCAGATTAAAGGGGAGCTTTTTTTAGATGCACTATTTCCAAAATTTCTCTGGACCTGTTGGATTATGTACCTTGTGGCTTCGACAAACCAGGACAAGGTTTGGGAGTTGTGTATATTGGCTGACGAAGTTTGAGTAGTTAGCTGCTTTGGCTGCAAAGGAACAGGTAAAAGCTAATTCAGGGCTGAGAGGAAAAGAGGACGGCCTACACACCTGAAGAAGGCTCCATAGCCACAGTGCTACAATGTGGGTCTTTTCTGTTCCTTTCAGCCTGGATTAAACCTTCACCTGTTCCTGTGCATTGGCTGGCTCTGTACTTGCACTCTTTACCTGCACTTGTATTATTAAATAAAGATGTTTATTGTTCTATGTCATCCATGTGTTTCACGATTAGAGTAATTATTCAGAATAATTGTTATTCTGTAACATTATGAATACAGAAGTATTTAAATCATGTCTGCAAATGTTTGCATTGTTCTAAATGTTCCTGATGAGGACTTTTTTGTTACGTTTTAGGAGGTAGGCTGTTAAACCCTAAAATATTTTTGAATTGGGAGTAATCTTGTTAATTATTTATTGTGTAGAACAATATGCAATGACTGCGCTGCCTTTTGTAATGTGTGGTTTCTGGTTTGAAGTTGTTCTAGATTGCAGTTAGTCAAACAACAACAAAAAAAAAACAAAGAAGAAAAAGTTGATTAAATAAATATCAGTCCTGCAATTGTTCCACTTTAGTTTATGTAAAATAAAAAGGCCATGCCATCATTACGTCTAATTTCTTTGTTGTTTTGTTTTTCAGCATGCGCATCAGGTAAGATTGCTTTCCTCTTTCGTATCCCTCACACAATATGGAAGCACAGGCTGAACATAAGCACGCTAATCATTCCGATAACTTTGCGTTGAACTGTGGCTTCGCCTGTTCATTTATATTTGGAAAACACTGCCGCCCTGGAAGGGGACTCCACTCATCGTCAAATCATACTCAGACATACCATGGGTGTATGCATATGTACATATGTTTTATTATTTGTACTTAATGTAAGTATGAGTTGAGTTTGAATGCGAAACCATCTTGCCGTCTGCTACTGTATACCTAGAATATACTTTAACTTCTATTTAATGCCTCAGCCTTTTCTTGCCTTGTTCCAGGGAGAAGCGATTGTCCAGTCTATCCCACGGATCTGGTGATTGCGATCGACATGTCAACTGAGGTGACGCCAAAAGCATTCAATAAAATGAGGAACATAGCTTCTCTGGTCCTGGATGACCTCTTCATCAGCGAAAGCAACTGCCCGATAGGAGCCCGTGTCGCTGTCCTGTCCTACAGCTCTAATGTGAAGCAGTTGATACGCTTTGCAGACTACCGCAAGAAAAAGCTCCTCCTGGAGGCCATCAAAAACATCGCCTTCCAGCGCTCCGGCAGTCCGCGAGATATCGGTGCCGCCATGAGCTACACGGCAAGACACATTTTCAAACGCACGCGGATGGGGGCTCTCGTAAAGAGAATGGCTGTCTTCCTGACAGACGGGTCTTCCAAAAACACAGAATCGGTACACACGGGCGTTTTGGAGTTAAACGCCATGGGCATCACTACAGTGGTCATTGCGTCTCGGAAACTTCCTAATCTTCAGAAGGCCTTCTCGGTAAGACACATATTTGGGGAAACATGAGTTTCTTATTTTCTCAGCTTCTGCTCGGTGAAGGAGTAAGCAGTTTTCCGAGACCAGGAATGACAGGAACGGTAGAAAGTCTTGATTGACTGTGTTGATAGTTTTATTCCTTGAGCTCTTTGGAAGTGATGTTAGTCACTGAGCTAGTGACTTAGTGATGTTAGTCACTAAGCTGATGGGTGGATGAGCTCCTGAGGAAAAAACACTCCACACAGTAGGTTTGAATGAATGAATTGTAAAGGACGAAACTATTCAACTCATTGCTGTAAAAATTTTTAATTTTAAAATCGTTTTTAAAATAATTTTGTCTGTTTCTTTACTGCAATGCTGAAAGGTTGAGCCTAGCAATTTTGAGGTGGTCATCATACAAGAGCAGAATCCGAAAAGGGCTTTGTCCGAAGTGCGGCAGTGTTACTTTTGCTATGGTGAGTCCATAAACCAGGAGCAGTATTCTTACAGGGTGTTTAAAAATAGATATGTTCGTGCCTGAAAATCTCACTTTTGCGAAGGATTAAGGCTATGAGCACTGAACCTTTTAAACGTGGGAGTGGACTAAAAGACTCTGCATCTACGACGTGTGCTAATTTGAAGCTCTATGTGGGGGGGCAAAAAAATACCTCTGCCAAAGACTGACAAGAAAATTCATCTTTCGTGTTTTCCTTTCGCGTAGATGAGTGCAGTCCAGACCCAGCCTGTAACAGGCAACAGGGCGGGCCCCCTATCATCACCCAGGAGGTGGACGTGGCTTTCCTGCTCGACGGCTCCCATCAGATGGCCGGCGATGAATTCGAAAGGGCGGCGGACTTCCTCCATGCCGTGCTGAATTACTTTGCCGTCGGCGACGAGCTCCACCCTTCCACGAGACTGGCTCTCTTCCAGTCGAGCACCGGCCCGGATCCCATCCGCGTGATCTTCGGCTTCCCCAGCCGCGACAGTCTGTCGCAGATGAAGAGGAAAGTCCGACAGGAACTCCACCACCTGCAGAGCTCGTCTGGTGTCGGGAGCTCCTTGCAGTGGATCGTTAACAACTTCTTCACGGAAGCTGCCCGTCCCAGACGTGCCAAAGTGATATTCACCATTCTAGGCGGGAGGTCCGAGCTTTCGTTGAGGGAGAAACTGAAAGAGGTGTCCCTCAAGGCCAAGTGCCAGGGGATCGTCCTCTTTACACTAGCGTTTGGGAGGGGTGCCAGCAATGCCGAGGTGGAGCAACTGTCCGCCCTTCCTGTGAGTCAGCACTCATGCCATGTGGGAAGGGTTGTAGAGCCGGACATTGAATATGCACTGAAGTTCACCTGGACGTTCTTCCGTCAGCTGGCAGGTGAGCGCGAGAACTTCCTTCGCTTCCATCCCCTTCCTGATGCCACAGGGCACAGCCAGTCGCGAGACGGGCTGGTTTTACCCCGCTGATGATGTGTAGCTGCAACAGTAACCCTGCTCAGTACGAGAGGGGCCGCAGGTTCAGACATCTGGTGCGTCTGCTTGGCTGAGGAGCCAATGGTGCGAAGCTACCATCTGTGGGATCGTGACTGAACGCCTCTAAGTCACAGTCCCCCCTGAATGGCATACTGGCATACTCACACTACAAAATGTTTGATTGATCTGGTCCCCTGTAACTTGTTTGTAGACTATTTTTTTTTTACCAATGGTACACCAATATGTAATATTCACCCAAGTACACCCAAGAATATGTAGTATTCACACAAGTACTCATGAGATTGACACTAGACTTTTAAAATATCTTTGTTTTTAATTTTTCCATGAAAGGACTGAGGATGACTGACAAAAATAATAGGAACAAGCCAAGTAAGCATTTCATATAGTATTCGTTTTTTTTCTTCAGCATACTCTTGATTAGGACACTGGTTCTGTCACGATCTCAAAAAACAGTTTTAAAAAACTGTTTTTATGGTGTCAACATACGGTGCAATATGAAAGCCTACAGTATAGCATGAAAGCTGTTCCCCGAGGGCACACGCAAAGACACACGCACACTCGGGCTGTCACGTTTGCTCGAACTGACCTACCAGGAAACCCACAAGCACACTGGGAGAACAAGCACACAAACTCCAAACTCCACCCAGACAGCACCCCAGGTCTGGAACTGACCCCAAGGCCCCAGAGCTGTGAGGCAGCAGTGCTGACCCCTGAGCCACTGTGCCCTCCCATATTTACTGTTGGATCTGTTTCATTTAACTGTATTGGAGCCCACCCCTTGACCCTGAATTGGAAAAAGTGATTAGAAAAAAGAGATTTTGAGCCCCAGATTTTTTTTTTCAGAACTGTGGTGCCTGTGCAGAGCAGACTGTTTCTACATGCTTTCCCTTCTCTTATTTTCTTTCTCTAAAGGGATTTGTCTACAGTATTTCATGAACGAATCCTGAAAAACATACCCCCATTTTAATTTTCCACTTTTACACACAAACTGAGCCACAGTTTAAAGATGTTGTAAACAATAACTTTTTTCATTTGTTTCTTGTTTCTTTGTAGAAAAAATCAATATGTATCCTCATAAAAGTCTTGCACCTCAATGTAGAAAGCTTAATGTCCAGCTACAGCCACAAGGTGATGATGCACAGGTCTTCTCAGCAGAAAGGTAGTTTCTCATCATTTTAACAGAAAACAGCATTTACCCTCTACATGGGTTGAACCTTAATCTGAACTCAGATAATTAAATTCACAAAAAGTATTAATAATATACTTCGTTTTTGAGGAAAACTGAAAAATTAAACTTTAAATACTTTAAAGTTGAGGAAACTAAACAAATGGAATAACCTGTTAGGCAAGCTGTCAGTTAAAAAGTATTTTTGGCACAATAAATGTAATATTACCACCCAGTCATAATGGTGTGTCATGCTGTTTTCAGCACGATTCCTATGACTGAAGAACAGCAGAACAAAAGCAAGGATTTTAAGAAAAACAGAACTGTAACACAAACATCACCTTCCATTCCTGGTGAGTATACAAGACTTTTTAAATTCATATTTAAAGTTTATACTGGGTGATTGTCAATTAACCTGCATTTTCACCTACTGTTAATATTCTGCATAAATGTTACATTATTGTGTAACTCTATGTACTGTATGTGATGCATCTCTAGCAGTCGTTTATCACAGTTGTAATATTAGAATTAGGAGATTAGAGGATTAGTGATTAGGAGTAGTTCTCCCGATTATACCTACTTTTGTTAGATCAAGAGTTAGATCTTCCGTTTTGAACTTCTTCCATAATTATTTGTTTTCTGCAGATCGCTGCTTACTGACAGTTGAGTATGGTACAACTTGCAAAGGACTTCAAAGGATAAGGTGGTATTACAACAAAAGTAGAAAGAACTGTTTGCCGTTCTGGTATGGTGGCTGTTTTGGGAATGAAAACCGATTTATTTCAAGGGAAATGTGCCTTAGGATATGTACTTCACAAGACGTTAAAATTAAAATGTAAAAATGACAAATCTGCCCAGCAGGAAAAAAAGGTGATCCTTGAAGAAAATTGGAAAAATGTGACCACCGAACATGAAATTGTCAACATTAATGATTTCTAATGAGGTTTCAGACAAAGGAGTGGTTATGTATCTGTAGCCTAGTAAACCTGTTGAAAAAGCAGTACCTCCTCAAAAAAATGTGCGCTGTTGTACACAAAATGTCATAGACAAAGTAATTCTTCCCTTCATGATCTTCCAATATCTTCCAAACAACAGTTATAAATACTGAACATTATGCCATAAGTGGGAAGTTCAGTTTAATTGTCCTTCTGTGATGAAGTAAAAGTCTGACATTAACATTTAATATTTTTACTTATATTACACAGTAAGAAACCATACTTTTTACTTATTTAGGACTTTTGTTTATTAAGACCTTCACTAACATTAAAAAAATCATTAACTTTTTATTTAAAACAACATACAGTTAAAGATACTCCTTTTAGTTCTGTAAGAGGAAACGCTAGCCATGTACAGGAAGTTCGTTCAAAAGCTCCAACATGAATTCACTTTGTATGGTGAATTAGGGTTGACTGGTCTCTGACTAGTCACAGCTGGGGATAGAGGAGAGACATTGAAAATGGTAACCAGCAACAGCACAGAATTTCAGCCGTTTCTCAGGCACTCAGAGTTTACCGTTATCATAACTGCTTACCCTGTTCTGCCTGGATGTTTCTTTCCACACGTGTCTGTGTACAGCTAAGGGTGTGTATGTTCACCCTTCTGAGTCCATGTGGTGTGCTGGGTCAGCTGCTGCCTAACACCAAGGAAGGGCCGGATAGAATCAATATTTCTGTGTTCTGTAGAACAAACATTTCTAACTCCTGATAACTGTGCAGTGCAAAACACCGAAATAAGCAAAGTCTTTCCTAGTGTGAGGTGCTGCTGCTTCAACCATATTGGTCAACCCTGATACGGTGCTAAAAGTAATGTTGGGAAATGTTTTTTTTATGGATTGTGTCCTGTACAAAGTTCAGAGCCAAGACACAGACACTGTTCCTAACTCAGATTGTCTTCTACACGTAGACACAGCCGTGCACTTTTGAACATGAAAATCCCTGACCCCAGTCTGATTAGTGGCTCAGTTGGTTAAAAGCCCCTGTGTGGATGTGCAGAGTAAGTCCAGCTGGCGCCAAGTGTGGCTTCCGGTCCGGACCTCGTCCCTGATTGCTAGCAACAGCTTACAGTTGCTGATGAGTCTTCCAGTGTTGGTCACAGTGGATTTAGCTGGAGACTGTGAAGGCCACCTTCAGAACATGGAGCAATTCAGGAGTTGTTAAATGAAATGTAATGTTTTAGGGGAAAATTTAAAATGCATTTTAAAAAAAGTCTTTGTGATATATATATACTGTATATCAACTCCAGTTACCTACTTTTAAGTGATTTTGAGTTTGTGAAATACAGTTTTTGAATGTTAACAAAATGCTGCAGCCCATCTTAATGTTCAATGCACTAAATTAAAATACCTGTTGGTCATTTACATAAAAATGTACATAATGGATACGTACAAGACAATAGATTAATGCCTATGTTTCTTCACAAAAATAAAATTAATCTAACTAAAGAAGCATGTATTTTGCAAGAAAGTCAAGTATAAGTGGATGGTTTTTTTTGGGCGGGGGGGGTGAAAATATGATTTTTCTATATATTAGCAAATTTTAAAGAGATAACATCACAACTTTGTGAACTAAAAGGATGATAAATATTAAATAATGTGTCCCAGAGCTCTTATCAGATCTTTGTCATACAACCAGTAAAAAGAAACAACTGAAGAGAAAATACATGACTAATTAAGAACACACCGAACACTGGGAAGAACTTTAAGCAGTACCCACCTGCCTAAATATTTTTTTAGCAGCTGAAGGATGTTTATGCCACTGCATGAACACTGGAATCCACACAACCAGAAGGCTCTTCCACCCAGAAAACATTTAGCCAATGATTTACCAGAGACGGACAGGATATGAACTAACAGTCTACGGATATTTACTTATTCCTGTTCACAGCTAAAAAATGTTTTTAGATTAGAGTTTTTAACTCCATTCTAAGTTGCTGAAGTTCTCCTTCTAAAGACTCTTGAATAATAGTTTTTCATGAGAACATGTGGGACTTATCTGTACACAGCTGGAGGTTTCCAGTACTTCCAAGAGAGGCTTTGGGCCTTTATCTTCTCCACATGCGTGTAACATTCCTATTGTCCTCTGCTCTAACGATTCTTTCCAACATTACTCAATCCTCTGCTTAAACACATACGTCAATTAAGGACACCTTCAGATGAATACAAAATTTAACAGAAATAAACAAAGGCAAGAGCAAATAAGGGTCAAAGAAAAATGGAAATCAAATCAGGCAGCAGAAATTCACAACACTGTTCACAGGGCTGGGGTGCATCCGCATCAGTAAAACCCAACCATAAAGGAGATCGAGGAAGAGGAGAGATACTGACACTGGGATTCACACACCTATAAACATTTCCAGTAATTTAACATTAAATGCAATAACTTTCAACACTAAGATGAAGTTACTAAATAGAAGCTGCAAACCTTTTAAAACGTGCTTACAACAAATGTTTCAACAGTGCTAAATGTATTGTTTTGCAGGGGCAGCACTGTGGTGCATTGTGCCCGTTGCTTGCTAGGATAGTCTCCAGCTCCCCCGTGACCCTGTACTGGACTAAATGGTTAGAAAACAGATGTATGGCATGTTTTGTATTAGTTTTGATGTTGTACAAAAATCACTTAATTTACTTTTGATTTTTAAATTACATTAGTGCATTAATACATCTGGAAGAACTGCAGTTTCAGGTTCTGGAGAACATTCAAACAGTTAAGATACCTGCAACACTAATTGATGACTTACATGGAAAGTGAAAAGCAAATCAGAGACAATGACATTGCCATTATCATGCAAAAACATTGCTGTTCCAGTCATATCAGGCTCCTGATCGCAATCTGAAGGGACCATGTGTATTAACACAAGGAAACATATGTAAAGCTTTTCTATCAAACTGATGAAACTCAGTACAAGCTTTCTTAAATGTCACCTGGGGCTTTTTGCCACCTGACGTTTGAAATGAAAGACAAAAGCCACATGAGAAGGCAGAAGCCTGGTCACAGAGCTGGAGTGCTAAACACAACTCGAAGTCTGAACACATTTATTCAGTTTACTATACAGATCTTGTTGGCATCGTTCTTTTACATTCTTCTGAAGGAGCGAATCTGTTTAGGCAATGCTGCTGCCTTTTCAATACATATTCTACAATATCAGTGCTAACAGCTTCTCTCTGATTAACTTAAAGTGTCTTTACATAGACTGCTATATATAGTACAATATGACTGACTGCATCTCTGGGAGGGACAGTGCTCTTATTTCCACACTTTAACAATGCCGTCTCTGGAAGACGTCACTATAAAGCCCTGCGTGGTTTGGAAAGTGGCGATGTCCGTGATGATATCATGGTGGCCCATGGGCAGAGACTCTGGTCCACGACGAGGCACATCTTCTGTGGATCCACTCTTCTGCTTGCTGTGGATTTCCTGAGGAGATCATAAGAAGCAAGGCAGATAAGCCCCTAGAACACAGTCTTAAACATGTCACACAGATTTGAGTGTCTTCAGTGCTGGATGAGCCAGGCACCCTCCTACATGTAAAGCAGATTGGTTTGACAGCTTACTCCTTCTTCTTGTTCAGTAACAATAGGTCTTAACAATAACATTTGAACTTTGTATTGCACCCATTCATGTGAGTACTACTTCTTCAGACAACCAGATATAAGTACACCTCTGAATTAAGTAGCTGACAGCTATGATATAAAAAACAATAATATCAGAGATAAGATGTTTCCATACAACTCAAATAAAACAGATAATAACAGAGATAAAATGTTTGCATACAACTCAAATAAACAATCACTTCATCATGCTAGAAAAAGTGGAAATTCATTCTTGAAATATCCCTCCTTGTACGCTGAAATAGCTGATTACTTTGCACACTGAAAGCTCTTTAAAATATTCTGACAATTAAACTTTAAACGAATCAAAAGGCTCTCTCTGAAGGCTGATAACAGAAGAAAATGAATTATCCCACCTGTACAACTTCTGTCCCTTCGATAATCTTGCGACTGTAGAAGACAGAGGGGCAGTGAAGGGAGTCATTGGCTCCCCCAGCGACAATATAGGACCTCTCTGGGTAAGCAAGGTCCCAAAACCTGTAGGGAAATGAGCGATTACCGGGGAGACGACACTCAAGGGTTTGATTAGCACCGACTTTTTTTTATACCTAGCCGTTTGTGCAAATGAATCCCTTCCTGGAACCGTGTATCGTACACAACTGAGGGAAAAGTCACACGTCCCGATCTATCGGGGGAAAAAAAGTACCGAAGGGCCTTTTAAACCCTTACGTGGCAAATAATAAAATTCTGTAGTCAATAACCGATTGAAATGCAGGGTCTGAGGAACACTGAATTAAGGTGCCCCAAAGCATTTGAAATACATGCAAACAGCTTTCGCTTTCCTCTGCTTCTGTTCCACATTAATCTCTCTTCTCAACTACATCTTTTTTTTCCCCATTTTGCATGCTGCTTTTAGTTCAGACTCTAGCAAATATCTGACATGGAAGAGCAGTGGTGTAATGTGCAGAGTTACCGTATCCTCATATCCGATCCAGCAGTCAAGAGCAAAGGGTTCCCATCCGCGGGACTGCAGTATATCCCATGGACACTGTGGGGAGATGGCTGGAAGCAAGTGGAAAAAACACAACAGGAAATGTAAATGTAATCAGTATACTTTACTATGGATTTATTATAAAGAAATAAAACCAATCTAGATTGGGAGATGCTCCAGTGACATTGGTGGGCGAAGTCATACACAAGTTCTGTTTAAATTGGCTCTAAGCTGCCCCTAGCTTACTCTGGCCATATTAGGACAAACAATCGCTCTAAGAGAAAAGGTACATTTTTGATTATGCAGAAGACAAACAAGACATTGCTAGCAACTCCACAGCTTCCTGCCCTGACTGTAAACTGTAGGTAACAGCCATCACTCAGCTGTAATCTAAACACGTGCAGTTTAAAGATGAACCCTGTAACATTTGCCAGATGTGACGGTCGCCTACACAAAAGATCATTCAGTTAAATCTGTGCACATTAGCATTTACTTAGCCATGTATGAGACTATGGAACTAGAACTATTATAGTTATAACAGTCATATAGTACCCTTGTCTACAGCTGAAGACAAGGGTAATGCAGAATTGTCTATAATTTAGTTCCACAATATACATGAAAATATGTAATTTGCATAACTGACCAAGACATACAAACCTGCATTTCAGACAGAGGAGGGGTCGAACTAGCCCACAAGGTAAATTTCCGATCTCCCGTTTCCATGTCCCACATGGAGACCTCATTGTTTCCCTGGACAGCTTGAAAATACACAGTTTTTATTACCAGAAACTGCGCGATTTTAATTCCCAAAACAGAGCAGTTTAATCACACTGAGGCTTTGTGGTAGGATGTAGGATTTCACATGTCGCTTACAAAGCAGTTTGAGTTTCTGACGCTATTTAAATCAGCTGCGTTTTTACATACAAGGATAGGATAAAATGTATAAATGTTTTTAGTGTCCCACAATACCTGGTTATGAGGACTGAGTCAAAACTGAGTTTCTTTTTTAAACATAAGCCCAATTAACCATGCATCATTCACTGACACTAATTACTTTGCTATAGCAAAAGTGAATTTGAAAACAACCTTAAAGAACCCAAAAGATTAAATTGACAACACTGCAGCGTGCTTCTCATATATATCATTCTCCGTTCTGTAAGAGCTGCAGAAGGGCTTTGAGGTGTCTCTTACCTGCTATAACGGATGACTGGTAGAGAGGGTGCATAAGGAGCCTCCTGATCCGAGCCCTGGCAGGGTGCGAGTGATTGGAGATTGGAAGCTGAAATCTCATGTCCCAGCAAGCCATTGTACCGTTGCTTGTACCTGCGACAGACATACCGGCATTCTGACTTCAGAAACACATGTGACAAATGTTGCTCACAAACATGAAAAGCACTGTTATCGCCATTCAAAAAAACGATGTGGCATGCGTTATTTTGTGGACCTGAACCAATTTAGCTTTATAATAGCAAAGAGAGTGAATAGTTATACAATCCATATTTTGATGTGATACTTTACCATTATGCAGTATTTCTTTAACACAATACTGAGAGATTTCAGTAGTCATTTGCCATATCTTTTAAATGCCCTTACCAACACATAGCCAACACTGATGTATGTCAACTGCAAAGGACGTGATGAGGCCCAGTCTGAGGTCATGCTTCAGAGTCCATGCGTTGGTGGATGACCTGAGGTCCCACCCAACCAGAGAGCCATTCACAGTGGCGTAGGCCAGCACGGACTGCGCCCCCGCGTTGAAGTGATGCATATCGACCACACAGCCATCGTCCTTCTGGTCCAAGAACCTGACGCAAAAACGGGAACACTTCCTTAAACTCTTCGATCTCTGTTTGCACGTGTTTATGGACTGAGCATCAAGCGAAAAATCATTTACAACTGCAAACAAATCCTAAAAGTTTGTTTGCCGTTGACACACCTGAAGAAGGCTCCACGGCCGAAACGTTGTGTTCTCTTTCTTCTTTTTTTCAGCATGGAATAAACCTATTACTTGTTCCTTAAATCCTAAAATCATTAAAATGCGTAGCGACAGCACATTATTATTTATTGGACAGACAAATTACAGTAGTTAAATTTGTTATGCTGATTCACAATGATCATCTGCTATTGGCTAGCATGCGTAGCCACATCATCAGTAGAAGCTGCAACACGCTGTGTAATAGGTTGCAGATGTAGTGTGGGAATCAGTCCTATTCTTCTCAGTGCCTGGATAAGCACGCGCCTCTTCGCTGTGTCCCGAGTCGTAAAAGCCACATGTTGGAAGAAAACCTGCTGCTACTTGAGCAGCGAGGAGGAGGTGTGTCGTCCTGCTGGAATGCTGTCACTGCCCGTTGTACAGTCAGGACAGTTCGTGTATCATGCTGCAGGTGTGAGTCGCACCCTCTGACATCCATCAGTGTGGTCCGACACAAAGCCTTGATCAACCACTAAAGACGACTTGGCTCCATTGTTGACGCACATGTAACTCAGTCCACTCTGCAACATGCTGATGACTACTCTATTCTCTTGATAAATGGAGCTTACTGATACTGTAAGTGGGTTAAGCCACCTCATCTTCTGTTCCCATTCAGCTCTCACAGATGAGCGGGTTTAGTGCTTATGCAACAAAGTCACTCAAGCTTACCATGGAGAGCCATGAATGGTTAATTAATCAAAATTACACAAAAACATTGAATCAATATCCAAAATATTATTATTATGTTTCGAAACACAGGCATGGTCAGAGCCATACGCTGCCATGTATACTTCTGGTGAAGGTGTTTCATATCAAACATATTTGTAAACTTTGGTCAGGCTGCTATTGTGTACATAAAAATGTTCTCATTGGAAACATCTGTTGAACTTCTCACTCCAATACAATTAAACTTCTTGTTGAAAACACGCATTCATCACGGTCACAAAATCAAGGTTTTTAAAAAACAATTAACCACACTCCCCAAATAAATCCTTTCCATCAAAGACTGTAAGAAAGCCAAGACTAATTTTTTTATGTTTAAGTTAATTCTTGTTCATGACTTTCTCAATACTAGTGTAGCCCCACACTGATTGCATCGGGTTGATAAAAAACGTCTTACTCAGTTGATAGTGGTAATTACGCTCTTAGACATGAAAGAAAAGGATGTGAACAGGCCGTGCCAGCTTCAATTCTTGAGATCTAAAAGCAATTTTTAAACATGCCTACTCAAAGATACCGTAGTACTTCTTTTTGTGTTTGCCTGGGTACACAAAGACAGAGACTTCTGTGGAATCAACACATGCTACAATGATTTACTGAAATAATGTCTTGTACATTCACCACAGAACACTGAGGGAAAACAGTAGGACAATGTAATACTCCTATCCCTTTGAAGAGAAACAGAAACCGCCCACTACAAAAACATACCAATGAACTGGCCAGAACAATGATAAATGTGACTACCTGGTTTGAAACGGATGAACTTTGGGAGACTTGGGAGGCTTGTTTGCTTCAATTGCCAGGAGCTGGATAGATCCATTATCCGAGGCGACAGCTAATAGATGTGAACCCTGACAGAACGTGAGCGTTTTCACATGTCCGCCAATGCGCGAGTAAGTCAGCACCGACCTGCAATAAAACAAGAGCGTTCGGAACGCATCACAGAAACAATAAATATAACCCAACAGGCCACTCAGAGAACATGGACAGTGCAGTCACGAAAGATGAATTCTCCAAACATGGAAAGGTAATCTCTCACGTTGACACATCCAGCAGGAAGAGGAGATGCACATACTGTGCGGACAGGCAAAAACACAAAACGATTCAGGACACATTCGGAATTGGGTGGATACGTGGTAAATCAAAGCAATGATAATGATGGATAAACACGGAATGCTTTTCTGCTGATGCTAAAAACATTAGGCGCATGAATCTGAAAATTGTACCTATTAAAAGTGATGTTTATGTTAAGTCACCAAAAAACAGCATAATCAGCCAAAATAAGCAGTTAACTCAACACTTGAATATACAGAAGGTAAGTAAAGGGCAGCCACGCTTAAATTGTGCCACTTGTGAGACGGTGGTTGAAACGCAGCCGGAATTTTATAAAAAGGATACTCAGGAGAGTGCAAAAATATCCAATTGACTCCTGGATTTAAAAGCACGACATGCCCTAACAAGTTTACGAAAGCTGCACTTTGACTTGACTTTCCTGGAGGCCATTTGTAATGTCAATCTTAGCACTAAGGGCTAAAAAGGAAGGATTAAATCAAGAGTCCAGGTGAAATTAGAGGACACGTATATTTAAAACTTAAAATAAGCAGCTATTCAGTGGGAGAACAGTGGGTGTAGGAAGCTAAACTGACTTTCTGGCTTGATGAGGTTGTAGTATCAGTAAGATAAGAACATAGTTTTAAATAAACCAGCTGGGTTGCTACTTGTTCAAATCACAGAATGAAAATCGACAGAGCATCTGTGAGATTGTACGTTACAGTAATAGGTGGAGGAAACGGTCAAACCAGATTACAGATGGTGCATCTTCTTAAGTAAGAAGCTGAAAAAATCATTATGATAATCGTTGCACTTGTAAATATTATTCAATCAAAACCTGTTCTCAAAAGCTACAGTTGAGCTGTTTACATATTTTACTTGGGAGATCATGCAAACATTTGGAACTGGAGTCCTAATAAGCGTTTTCATTGTTTATAAACATTTATGAAACAACTGAAGAGGATGCTATGTATTCTATGGGAACCGATTGCAATAAACATTAAAATGGCAGTCAAACAAATAAAATATACAGTATGCTAAGACAAGGTTAACAATTTTTCTTTTTCTCAGAGCACTGCACTTGGTGAGACATTTAGACTGATTAATCTTTCCAGCGGCTTGACAAACAAGGAGACTCGGACAGTCTGCAACACCTCCAGGGTTCAGATCCAGGCCATGAAAACAGAAGCACAAAGTCATCTTGGCACTTGTCGAAACCCTCACACCCTGCTCACCAGAGGACTGACGGTTGACCTCAGTTGCTAATTACCTGGTAGTTGTGGTCTTTCCTTCCATTTTCTGGCTGTCCCAGATTTTCACTGTTCCATCATTGGAGCATGTTGCAAAAATGGAGTGCTCGTCGGAAACCCGGATGCGACTGACTGCCGATTTGTGTTCGTGCAGGTGAGCCACCAGGAGGCCCTTGGGGTGCCATCCTGTAAGAAATGAACGTCCCTTATTGTGCAAAGTGTCTAGGATGGTGTGGGAAAACGGAGCTTGAGAAAAGCACCCTTACGTCTGCTCTAAAATGAGTACAGTCTCATTTATTGATTACACTGTGACCCCCTTAGGAAGATCTGAGCAGTCCAGATGTTTGGAGTTTCTGCAGCTGCATGAACTGAAGATGTTTAATGTCTCTCACACACACAGAATCTTTCCTAATGAAAGCATCACAGCCAGACCATTCTTACTTTAAATTCTTCTAAGCACTTGTTTAATTCCCGAACCTGCGCTCACAACACTGCACTAGGTTGTGGGGCTCTGTGCTATTGAACTAAGCAAATCCATTCGCTGCAGCGCCTTTTTCTCTCCGTCACCATCCCTTTTCGTAGTCCGTCTTTCCAAGAAAACGTCTGGGTTCTTGTCCGTCTCTAGACCTTCCACATGCACCTTGTGGAACTTGTTCCCTTTGAAGACTCAAATTTTGTCACTTTTTCCACCTCACCGTGTTTCTCTTCAACAGCAGTACTTTTTCGTTTGTTTTTTTGCTGCTGGCAGGGCTTCTAACTGCAGGTCTGGGACGTTTCATTCAAACTGAAAAACAATGGAAAAGGGGGACCGAGGGCCTGACCGTGGCCCAGCCAATATCCCAGGACCGCTGGTCACATCCTAGTGGAGCAGCACGGATTCCTGCCTGCATCAGTGCTTACTCACTACTGATTTATCAATAGAACCGTATCTATGTGGCTTCAATATGGCTTCACCACAGTTCACTTTTTAAAACAATTATTTATTTCAGGACATAAGATGATATTTCCACATTTACTGCCAAAGGCTAATCTATTCCAGGTTTCCGTTCAGGCAGGGTTCAAAACTGTTTTCATTACTTACTGAAACAAAACCACATAAATCTAATTGGTTCTTGTACCGAGGCAATTAATCAACTGTGTTTATAGAGTACTCTAGAAATATTAAAAACGCAACAAATGAGCATCAAAATAAACAGCATTTTAAAAATACAGCCCGTATTTTTAAATTCAATATAATGTCTACAATGTAGTATCCATACCACTCCATCTGATATTTAATACTAAGATAATAGCATTTGTAGATCCGTTAAGATTAGGATGTGCAGAATATCAGTCATTTTATTAAAAAAGAAAAACACTTTTGGACAGTTTGGTGAAAAGAACAAGTTTCACGTGACCCTATGTTTTAGGGCCTGCTCTATCCTAGTTGACTAGTGGGCACTGACTGTGCAGTTAAGTTAGGGTGCTGCTCGTTTTGGCACATGAGAAACATCAAAAATGTCTGTTGTCCGTGTAGGAACTAGGTGACCGAGGGTCAACTGAAGTTCACGAAAAAACTGGGAAAGAAAATCTGCAAGGATACTTCCTGACAGATTTATAGCTTGGAGGAGTGCTAAGACTCATACCAGGAAGGCTAGTGTAATGCACATAAGATAAGGTATGAAAGAACTATGAATTATTTGAGCATACAGGATGGATTTCAGGGTAGGTCTTCTGGAGAATATTAATCTGGTAGTATTAAATATGAATGAGCTACTTCCAATGAAGTTGTCAGACAGGCTGGGGGACTGCTCTAGTAATAATCCGTTAATGAGATGCATAAAAATAAATGCACCAGGATCCTATATAACCTGTTTTAGTCCCTTACTGTGGGAGTCTATTTGAATGGGCCATACAGCACTCATTGCTGATAGTCTGAGCCAGAGTCTTTCAAGAGCTCCATGCCTGAGGCTCAGACCTGCAAAGCTATAAACTGCGGTTCTCGCTGTGAGGTCATGCCAGGTTTTTTTTTACAAGGAGGCACTAATGTATCTGTACTTCACAGCCAGGCAGTAGAAAAACAGCCATATTTGAATTCCACAGAACAGACCGATATGATACTTTCCCAAAATGCGATATAGGGAACAGTCTTCTCTCTCCATATATTTGTAAATGCAAATAGACTCGCCACTCCCTGACAAAATGCTTATGCTGACATGACTCGTTATCGGCACATGCTCCATATAATCATTTCTGTTATCACACACAGAAATATATCAACAACAAAAAAAACATGTAATTTTTTTGTGTGATTTAGAATGCTTTTTTGCAGCGCTTAACTGAAGCGTAATACAATTTCAACCCAATCAGGCATGTTTCACGTTTTCTCACACTTTCATTTTCTCCATACTGACGCACCTATTCATAAACAAACTGTATGCGTTCAAATCGCTTTTTTATAAAACATTTTTTTTTTTCAGATGAACCTGTCCGCTTTTTATGAAATAAAATGTTGTTGGCATCCAACGATCTATCCATCTATCCACTATCAAAAGCCACTTGTTCTGGTAACATACACAGCATATTATTAATATTAATTTACTTTTTGCATATAATTTAACTAATATAATTTAATATTTAATATAGTAAACATTATAATGCTCTGTTGTTTAGGACAAGACAATAATCACATATTTTCACATACACAGTAAAGGCCAAATTTAGTAAACTGAAACATGTTTTAACTCAGTTGTAATGAGTGTTGTATTTAAAAGTGATTCATCCTTTTAATCATGGGAATAATAAGTCTCGACTTCATGAAACTGCAAGCATATTTTAACAGTTTCATTTTTCTTTCCATAGATGTTTTGTTACTTTTGGCACCCATTGTGGGGATATTAAAATAAATTTTGAATTTTGTTTTTGTATGCATAAAATGTTTAGGATTTTTGGAAAATCACATGAAAGGAAGGCATGCCTATCCTGAACTAAATTATCCTGCCTGTCAGAAGTTTTACATCGATGAGGTCTGTAAATTATACAACATGACACACTGAAGCTGAATCATCTAATAATTGGACAGCCCGTCCAGCAGTTTTTTCAATCACAACACGAAACATATGGAGTAAAAAAATGGCTATTTCATTCTGTTGAAACAGTCTGGGCTCCATACAGTATCCTCTTAGCTTCCAGGGATCAACACTTTTCCTGGGGCCGCTTCCTGGGGCCGCTTTCCTCTTGAGTGAAAAGAACTCCAGGGAACAGGCCGCCTCACATCCCCGCGAGAGCCGAACTCGAAACTGCGCCAGCTCCAGAACTGTGAAGTTGGCTACGGAAACCACCCACTTCTTTAAAGGCACAAGAGGTGTGGGAGGACGACACGGAATGCCGGCGTTTCTTGTTCTTCTGCCAATCCAGCTCCCTCACAAAGGGGAGAACGCTTCCCAGACCAAAGCTACTACAATGAATTAACCACGTCAAGCCCTGCACCCCGACCTAAAGACGCGCCCGAGGTCCGCTGACCCGGCGGGCCTGTTAAGCCCCAGGGGTACCTGGAGGGGGCGGCCTGGTCTCCCACTCTGCACTCTCCATCATCTGCTGGGTCATCCTCTCCGCGCTGCACTGCTCCCTCTTCTGCTGCACCAGCTGCTGCAGCTCGGTCTTGCAGGTGGTGATCCTCCTCTGGTAGGCCGAGGAGCCGCCGGCGGGCTGCACCACCGCCGGGGACGAGGCGGTCTTCCGGGGCTGAGGCCCTGCTCCGTCGGGCACCTGCCGCACACAGGGAGGGGCGTCAGAGGCGCTGAGGCAGGGGGAGGGGTCTCCTTCCCCAGTAGGGTTCACACTGCGCTGTGTTCCCGGCCACCACCAGCAACACGTCAAGGCCCTGGCTCAGTCACAGCTTGGCCCTGCCCAGGCTGAGGTCGCTTTCGTCACCAACAGACATGTCTGATGAGAGACTGGGCTGTCTGGCCTCGGTGGAGCACTTCAAAGCTAAACGTGCAGTTCCAAATACTTTTCAGTCTATCAACCCGATCTGTGCTATTACTTGATGAAAATGGAGACCGAGGAAAGAAAATGAGCAGAGAATTAACAAAATTAGATAAATTAAGTATGTGAGCAGTAAAACATACTTAATACGTATACAACAGTTACTTAACAGTAGATCAAAAGGGTAAGAACAGTTAGGATTTGCTTGCTGTCGACCTGCACAGACAGTCCACATGGAATACAGCTGTCTGGTACCTCAGTGTGAGACACCTTCATGCTTCATGCAGAGGATATGCTGGAGCAGTGCAGCCAAGTTCTTTTAAAACCAGTACTGATCTGTTCACTGTACAGTGACACACCTTGGGCTAACTACAATCAATTGATGAATGTATTCAAATCAAATGAGACAAGGAGACGCTGGTCTTATCCATGAAGTGTATGAAGTAATAAGAAAAGGAATGTGCTCTAGGGTTTCCTGACAACCTGCGGCAAAGATGTGACATGGATGTTAACAAGCAGGGAAAACTCGGCTCGCAGGGGTTCCCACAGGCTCGCCAAGAGGAAAAAGAAGTTCAGGTACCGTCTGCGTTGCGTTTGAAGGCTCCAAGGAACCAAACATGCTTTTCCACTCTTCGTTCATGTTGGAGTCTTGCTTTGTTTGTTTTCTTGCTATAAAAGGGGAAGGAAAGATTGGAGTTATTCAACTAATTACGTTTATAAACTACACACCTTCCACTGAGAATGAGCAGATGAGACATAGTGAGCAAATGGATATCTGCAACCAAGTCCCTGACAAGAGCCAAACTTCCTCCGCGTTTCTGAGCTAAAAACACATTGCCTTACTTGGAGCAACCAACACGATCAAGCCAGCATGTCCTAACAAAGGCACTTCAAAACCATGAATGGTTCTTCATTTAAGAGATCAGGAATTCCAGTACCACTGGTTTGCTTTGTCGTCCAATCCCACACACAAAACTCTAAAAAAAAAAGATGTCTCAATCCACAGATACCTTACATCACCACAGCACATTTCCATCACAATGCAGTCAAAACCCAAAGAGTTGTAAAGAAAAACATATTTCATACATGTATTATTCATACAACAATGAATAATAATTTTCACAAGGATGAACAACTGTTACTGAACTATACTATTATTAACCAGACTACAAGGGATGAGATACTATGGAAGAATTCTAGTATCCACTGTCAACACTTAAATCTATTTAGTAAATGCATATTTCAGTGAAAGATCCTTTCATGCGCACTTGCTTAAGATAAAATTAAGTAAATGACAAAAAGCTTTACATAACGTAGATGATGACTGCTTAAATGCACCATGATTTCTCCATGAGCAATATGAACCATCCAACTCACAGTGAAATTTTACCACTTAATCCCCCACATCACACAAAAAGGTCAAAAGCATATGTGCCTCTTTCAGTAAGCTTGAATAGCTTAGAATAATATTTTCAAATGATCAACACATATTTAGGAATGGTAATTTAAGCTTTTACTGACACTTACAGGGAAAATGATTATAAAGAAATAAATCCATCTGCCATAGACTGTATTTCCGCCCTAATCCCTGTGAAAACAAATTACCTCAATGCTTAATGCAAACCAAACAACCGAAATGGTGTTCATTAGCCAAAAAAAGCTTCTCAGATAAATGTTTCAGTATCAATTAAGAATCTTTAAGAATCCAGTCATCTCAAAATCTCCCGGGAAGCACAAGAATAATTGTCCTGCAACTTTATCTGTGCTGTAAGACAAAGTGTGTCCAACAAATATTGTTACACATGGTTAATTTCGGTTTTTTTCCCTGTTTTAAATTTTCAAAGAAACAGGAACACAGTATAACACCCCCGTTCCAACCCCTGACATTCAAAGGATCCCTACGCTTGGATAAATACCACTGGATTCAAATCACTTTAGTAGTGTATTACAATTTATATTAGAAGGACCCATGTTCGAAAAGCAGAACATGAACATGTTTTATTTTGTTCCCTCTGTTTAGCAGAGACCAAGCCCAGCTGAGAGTTACTATCCTGGTCTCGCCTTGTTGTGGATTTCCTAACTCAGTTTGCAGTACGTTTCAGTGGACAGACAGGACGGCAGGAGGCAGTGGAGGAAAACAAATGGTCTAAAGCTATCCACTGCAGCTCCTCTCCTCCTAATCACTCTTACTCCATCCAGAAGGCTGCACGAGTACGATGGCAATGCCACTGGGGGACATACAGTAGCAATTAGGTCTTAAAATAAATAAATCTGGAGTCTTTTGCACATCTGTTGAAAGCTGTTTCAAAACATGTTTCCATGCTTTGTATTTACAGATGCTCCAAAACAATGCACTTTTAAAAGTAAGAGTTCTCACAAGATAATATGTGCTTGTAAAAACTAAGCATCTGAGGTGGTCTAAATATTTGCAGTCAAGCTCAGTTGTCTTCCTTTAAAGAAGACTACCCTGCACATATTTCCGAGATGTTTCTCTCTCAAGCCTTGAGACACCAGCACTGATGTTTATTATTTAGCCAGTGCCACAAAGGAGTCGGCCCACCTCTTTTTTCCTCTGCTTCTTGTTTGGGTTTGATGAGATCAACGTGTCGGCCAGTGATTCCCAACATGCCCAGATCAATCACTCCACTCTGGGCACTGTCATTCAGGTGGCTCTGGTCCATAATGTTAGCCTTGGCCTTGTTTGATTTTAGCATGAAGTCTTTCAGAGCCAACAGCTTATCTTCCTCAGATTCAGTCATTCCCTAAATATAAGCACAGCACATACAGCAGGATCGTACAGTGATAGCGTTTTCTGTCATTTTAAAGTGGTTAAATTATACGCAGCGTCTATTGACCATTGTAACAAAGTATATTTCAAGTACTCAAGATTGTTGCTGCATTAATCTCAGTTCCTCTGCTGAAATACATGTTTAAAGTAAAGCCAACAGTTCTTAATGCTTCACACACAAATGCTTACTGCAACGTTGTTTTGTCCTAGGAAGTTTAAAATTTATTTTCTGTCTGAAGAAAACATCACCTGCCCTGACCTGTGAGAGCAGTTTCTTCAGAATCTGCCCTACAGCTGGGTCCTCAGGCCCAGGACACTCAGGAATGGAACCGATGCGTTTCTTCTGGCGGAGATGCAGGTGCCTGAACAAGCTGCCGATATCTTTCGACCTCAACGCATAGTCGAATATGGAACGGCTCACAGGTTCCTTCAGAACACTGAGGAGGACTATTTCCTTGTCAATCTGTGAACCGTGGAAACAGGTTTGATTATATACACCGTTTTTTAAAGCAATGCATGTTGTATAACATGGGAAAGGACCCAAGGGGATGCCTCTATTCCACTTCTAAAGTTATGAGGTATTAGGTTAACAGTGTGAACAAGCATGTTTCCATTGCTGCATACAACTGTACATAGCAGTCACTGTATAAGATATAATAATAGCCTTAAGGAATTATCATGCATGGTTTCTTTATAGATACCTGTATGTCATTGCACCTACATATGCACGCTTTTTTCCAAATGAACACTTTAAACATTAACAGAATTTCACAGTATAGAGGCACTGCATAAAATGAAAACCATTTTTTTTCATACAGCTAATTCAGTCAATAAACACGTAGTTTCAGAGTGAGCAGCTGTTTATTTCACAGGGAAAAAAACAACAGACTTCACAATTGTTTTAAGTACCCTCTCCTGAGGAAGGAAGAGCTTTAACACTGACTAACAAAATGCATTTACAATTTCAGAACAGCCAAACTGCAGATTCTGTCTGGCGCTGCACTGTTTTGTGGATGTCACAGTTAACAGAAGGGTGCACAACCTTACCTGTATGATTGGCTGGGTAATAAAGGGATTTAAATGAGGCATCAACTTGCAGTAAACATCTGCTATGTTGAGGTGCTGAGCCACAACAGTCATGAACCCAACTGCCCCATACCGGATCCAGAGGTTAGGATGGCAGAGAAAGGGAGCTGTAGGAATAACAAATAACATGAAATAGCAGATGTAGCAAACATAATAAAGGTAGAAATTAATTTAAAAACACTTAAAACCATCACAGTCTAAACACAGACTCACATTCTCAAAAGGACAATGAGAAACAACGATATGAGGCCGATTTCAGCATGACCATCTAAAACTTTCCCAAGATTCACCACAAGCGCCTGCATCTGTCTTGTGCAGAAAGCTGGAGCACTCAGGAAATACTAAGCATTCAGAATGGAAAAAGAGTGCTGGATGAGAAAGAGTGCACTCTACTTCAAAAACAAGGTCTGGCAGGTTCTCGTGGGATGCAAAGGGAACTGCATCCAGGTACAGAAATGATTAAATTAACAGAATGATGTCAAGGAAAAAGACTCCATCTGCATTTCTGATGGAAAGTGCACGTCCACAGATGGCTGTTATTTTGCAATTTAAACATATTTTAAAGACTTATCCAGGAAAATACATCTGCTATTAAATGATTGCTGACTGTAGACTAAGAGAAGGTGTCACTACTGGAGCAAGAGGGAGCCACACACTGTGTGTTTGTATCACACAAACACCACAATGTCAAGCTAAAGGAAGCCAAGACCTAATTTCAGTAACCACTGGAGTAATCACTCTCTCCTCCCGTTACTGTCTAGCTGCTACTGTTTGCTGTGCTCTTCCAAAATGCTATCTTGGAGAGTGTAATGTGAGCATAGACAGAGTCTCCCACCTGCAAGGGGTATTTCTAAGCAGTCTGGACCTGCATAAGACTGAGGAGAACTAAAACAACCCATGGGTACTGGCAGACAAATCAATACTGCAGACACTGGTCATGAGTAGCGATTAATTTGAGGAAGTATTTACTGAAATATTTGCTACTTTTAGAAAGTAATTTCACTGCAAATCAAGTCACCATTTTGCACTTAAGTAAAATAATCCTGCTAATAAGCTGCTCACTCTGAAATAACCCTTTAAACACATTAGAGCCTAAAAAACAAAGACACCAAGAGAGTATTTATGATATATTAAATATTTTTAAAATATGAAAGCTTAATATTAGTCAATTCCTAATAAAAATTGAAGACTAATGGAACTATTGTAAGGAGCTTTAAAACAACACCATGATTGAGTTCGTGCCATCAGAAGTTGTAACGTCTTCAAGGAAACATGAGAAGGCAAAAAAAAGTGTTCAAAAATGACTATCATAAAACCGATCTCATCTTACAGTCTATTTGAGATATTTAAGCTAAACCAGAAATTCTTCCTCCACTGGACAAATATGCACACTGAATTTCAGGAAAATGCAAGATGGCAATGTCAAATTCAGGCTGATTTCATACAGAACGGTCCTATTATGAGCACTTAGTGCCGAATGAGATAAACTACACCGCACCGTTGAAGAATGCTGGACGACAATGCCGAGACATATACCTCTGGCAGAGTGGAATTAATGGGTAAAGTGAAAATCTAAACCCCCCCCAAAAAAGCTAAACAGCATTCAGCCGCGCCGAGGGCCTCACCGATATCCCCGACAAACTCGTCGATGTGGGGCTTCTGCAGCAGCCCCAGCTGACACATGCAGGTGAGGGCGTGGAGGGCTTTGTAGATGACGAACTCCTCGGCGTCACTCAGGCCCTGCTGCAGGAGGGGCTTCAGGATGGAGGAGCTCTGCCAGCCCACGTACGCTGCAACCCCTGCACGGGGCACACACACGGCGTTCAGGCACGCGTCCGGGGACACCGAGAGCCTCGCTCTCAGCTTCCCACTATTTTCACTCAATTTCAAATGCTACAACTAATTAAGTTGAGTTGTTTAAATTACCAACCCATAGGACCCTAAGAATAGTCACACTGGATATCAAACCAGAGGAGCTACAGCAGCGAGAGTACCTTCGGTCGCTGCTCGGCTCCTTAGGAGGCTTGTTTCTTTTAACATTTTCACAAAGCAATGAACATCGATACTGTAACTATTATAAAGCTATCAAGATATTAGATCTATCTATCCAGTCCTTTTAAAATACATAAGCACGCAGAAATGTGCACTGCGACTGTTCGCTTTTTGCTGTTTTTTTTTTTTTTTACACCTTAACAGCTTTTCTATGAATAGCATTTCAAAGATTTAAAAACTCTGCCTGTGGCGGCAAAGCTTGTCAAGCAATGGTTTTAAACTGATGACTTACACACAAGGCTGGACGGCGCACCTGGGGCGTCAGACTCTGATCACCCCCCCCGTGCAGAGCGGAGAGCCACAAGACACCCGGACACTCACCCACGATGCTGTCGAAAAAGGCCCCCCGGAGGTGCCAGTCGTTCTTGTCGTTGAGAAAGGTGATCATGTGGGAGAGGAGCACGTCGTTGGCCTTCTGCCGGCCGAAGAAGACGCAGAGGCGGGTGATGCCGTTCTCCATGAGCGTCTGCTTCACAATGTTCTCGGGGTCGCTGAGCAGCGTCACCACCTTCTGCTGCACCATCTCGTGCAGGGCCTGCAGCTCTGCGCAGCGCGGGGGACAGGGGGAGTGAGCACGGCGAGGCGACAGCAGGGTCTTCTCTGGATACACAGCCAGCCCAATTACAGCCATCCCGAGGCCCGCGGACCAACGAGTGGCAGACCATTGGTGACGTGTTCCTTTTAACTAACCATATACTGTACGTGTAGGATGCATTATTAGCCTGTATAATTAACTACGTCTGCATTGGGCATTTCATCCCCGGGGATCCCAAAGTACTTCACATACTGGAGACCCGCAGCTGCAGCACAGTGCAGAACCAGCCCGGGTGGGGCGGGACAGGCATGACGTGCCAGCAGTCCTGCTAACGAGAAGTGACAAATTGCCTTACCAGTTCAATTAAGGGGAAATTATAGATTGGACAAACCCAGTCTTGTTCTTCATTAAGATGATGATATGGGAAAAACATGAGCAAACAGGACAATTGTCAGCTCTGTACTGATGTTTGCTCATCCCTGAGGAAATTCCCCGAAGAGGCCTCACCTTAATTAATTGAACTACACTAAACATGTAAATCCTTACCTTATCCTGCCTGAAAGTGTTTCATTCTTCCATGTCTAAAATTGTTTTTGAGCTACGTCTCCATCTGAGAACTGTTACTAAATCAAAATATTGTGTTTACACAATATATTTTATGTATTTCTTTACCAGATTTGTTTCAAGTTCCCCATAAGGGTAGCAGAAAACTCAGTGTAGACTGTACTGTAATTACAGTAAAATCAAATCATATATTTTTACCCTACTGACACCTAGTGGTTTTGAACAGGATTTTTTTCAGGAGGCTGATGCATATGAAGGTGGAGTGTTGAGTGAAATGACTATCACCTGAGGGTGAGATCATTCTGAGGGAATGGCTCATAGTGACATCTAGTATTAAGGAATTTCAAGGAAATGATCGCTGCAACTGGAGAACATCAGGCGATAAACAAGTGAGCCTGTCAGATGAGCTTCCGGATGTGCTTCATTTGTTTTTCCTTCAGTGTCACAGAGTTACTGTATGAGAGGTTTTTCCATAGAATCAATGTAAACAAGGCAAGGAGTGAATTAAAGCAAGACTGCAGAAAGTGAATTTTTTCTCACGCTACTAAAAATCATACAAAACTAAAAGGATAGTGTTCTGACATAAGGTAACCTGACTTAGAAACTGCGATTGACCTGTAAGGATAATTTCTGGTGAACTTAGTTAACCAAGCTTTTGGAAAGCCACTGTTTCACTCAGCTGTACTTAGATGGGCTGTGCCAGAACCTACATTCCACCTCCTTATTTCTCAATGGTCTAGAGAATGGAGTATGCCACCCTTTCCCATCTGCACATTAGAAAATGACACCAGCTAATCACATTCTACATTGAGAGGATATTATTTCATTATATAGGCTCCCTGAAAAACTGAAGTGCATCCAGTATCAATTCAATTTTAATTCGATCCATGTAAACGCCAGCTCTTACCCTTAAACATCCAAAACTAAACCAAAACTGCAACCGGCCCCCAGTTCTAAACTTTGCTGGATCTAAACAGCACTCGCACCGAGCCTGTGAAACAGCAAACACGGTTTCATTCCAGTCACACCAGCCAGCAGTGGTGTCAATGGCCAGGCATCTGACATCTGAGTTAGTACTATGCCGATAACATCCACATAACATACAAAATGAAAAGGTTCGAGTCAAATATGAGCAGCACCGAATGAATTACCACAAGTTCAGTTTAAATATACTTATGTCAAAATGCCCGAGTAGCAACATTCAGTGCAGATTACCAGAGTCATAGTTTTCATTGGGATGCAGAGCTTCTTCAGCATCTTCTCCATTTAAATCATGTTCCACATTCAGGTTATTCTCCTGAACCAGCTCCAGAAAGCGAAGGGCGGTCTCAGCCAGGAGTGCTATGTTCTCTGGTTAAAAATAAGACAATACAAAGACATTTAAAGAACAATCGAATAACTGCAGAGCCACCTGACTATTACCCAGAATTCCTCAACTTGACTAGGTCGGGAAACTAGAATAAAAAATGCACGCACCATGCTGCTCGTAAAATCCCACCAAAATGAATGGCATTTGAATCCATTCCAAAACAAAGCTCACTCTTATTATGCCGAGACAGCGCAGAACATTTTGACTCCAAGAAAATGTCTGAAAAGGATACACACTCACCTGCATAGGCAAGTCTAACTATGGTGGCTTCATCCTGGGCTAGATGGGCAATCCCAGGCAGGATGTATTCTGGGTAGATGTTGATGTCATTGCGGGGCACCTCCTTGACAAGCGCGAGCACTTTGGTGAGGGTTCTCACGGCCTCTGCCCTCACCCGGGGCACCGGGTCATTGCAGAAGTGCAGCAGATAAGGAGTGATGCGATCCAGCACGATCGCCACGCAGAGCCTCTCGGCCAGGTGCAGGATGAGCTCCAGAGCCGCCAGCTTGGAGTCGCAGTAGCGGAGGGTCTGCAAGCAAGAGGTGATGACGGACACCAGGATAACCAATCCGTGCTCTTTGGTGTCCCCCTCGGACTTCTCCGCGCGGTCGCCCCCGCAGAGGTTGTGGATGATGTTCTCCAGGTCCTTGCGGATCACGAGGATGCGCTCGTCTGCAGACTGAAAGGTCTCTTTCGCAAACTGGGCCATGTAAGGCTGCAGAAAGGTGTAGAAGATGTCAGGGAAGGCGTTGCCCCTCTGCTGTTTCAAGTACTCCTCTGCTGTCAAGCGCTGATCCGGCTCGCGCTGGACCATCTGAGCCACCTGCACACCAGAAGAAACAGACTTACTACGACTGTGGACGCACCCTGACCGTGACTGCAGCCAAATACATAGCAAAGAATCTGCTGGTCACGGGGCAGATTCTGGCTTTAATGAGAAACTGAATCATGCTTTCACCACCCCCAGTGCCAGAAAATCTTCAGTACTACAAGGGAGCACACAGTTCATTTCAAAATATACAAGAAACACTAGTTTCTCATTAGCCAGAAAAACCTACTGTTATCTCTGACCCGTTACTGACATTTATTTGTAGAACGCTGATAACTACTACTTAATACCTCACTAGTAAATCTGATTCAAAAACTTAAAACAAAGAATGCATCATTTTGTTTAAAAAATGTAAGCATTTCGTCATGAATGGTGGGAAACAGGTTAGTTTTACTCTACGGATGATGCACTGTTGCCGTAGTGAAACGTATACAAGAGGAACCACAGGTTTGGACATCTGGTGTCCGTGCACGGTTAATGAGTCAATGATGTACAACATCGATCGGAGGGATTAGAAAGGTGCCTAGTTCAGAATCCCCCCCCCCCCAAAAAAAACTTTTTTTCTTTACAAAAATGACATTCGTGGACAACGTTCCAATTAAGAACCTTACCAGATCCCTGATACTCCGATCCTCAATTTTCATTAGTACTTGTTCCGTCTGAAAATGTCCCTTTCTGTAAGCCAGCAACTGGGAGAGGTCAAACAAGGGTACTCCTTCTGTGAAAAGCTCTGCTATAACACAACCTGAATAACACAAAAACATTTTTTAGAGACATGCACTTGACAGCCATTCAATTAGCAAGTTTCGTTCTTAATTCTCTAGAAAGTAATAACCATCTTTGCCTTGCATTGTGAGTAACCTGACACGGATGGACCTGGGATACAATGCCAATCCATTTCTAACCTGGATGACAACTAGCATTAGCCAACAACCGAAGCTACTGAGAGAAAGGCCCTGACACAATTAGATACAAACAGTGAATACCTGCAGAGAAAATGTCCATGGCCTGTTTGAGCTCTCCTCGCGTTCTCTGACTGTTACTGGTGAGGTCTACCAGAGGGGTGGTTTGGTCGCTCTCCGTGGCAAACATACTGCCGTCTACGAAGCGCTCTGGCGCGATATAGCACGTCCTTCTTCTGGAGGTGTCGAAAAAGTAATTGAAATCAGCGGGGTTGTCCTCAGGCAGGTAGGTGGGCTTGAAACTGGCAAAGTCGGTGAGCAGGACCCAGTTCCAGCTCGTCACCATGACGTTCTCCGTCTTGATGTCTCCATGGCGGACCCCAGACTTGTGAGCTTGGTCGACCGCGTTCAGGATCTGGAAGGCGATCCACTTCTTCTCGATGTTGTTCAGGAAGGGCCTGGTACTGATCCGGTCGTACAGGTTGTCTCGGACGTACTGCCGAAAGAGCATGGCCGCCTTCTCCGTGAGAGTTGCCTTTTGAAACGGGAGGCAGTTCTGCGATGAGTGCAGGCGGATCTTCAGCTCCTCCAGCTCCTGTTTGTAGCTCGTCAGAGGCAACGAAGGGTCCTGAATAGCGAAGACCTTAACCACTACCAAGCCCTCCCTGTGTTTCGCCCTCGCAACCTTGAAGAACCTGGTGCTCCCAAGGCTTTTATCGTATTCAAAGTCATGGATGTCTGAAAAGTAGCTGTCGACACTGAGAATCTGCGATGGCGCGATCCCAGCAAGCTGGTTCCCCATGATGCTCCCTCTGTTCAACCCCGTGCAGTCTAGTCAGAACTATTCCTGAGAGAAACAGTGTGACAAATAAAAGAGTCAGTGGTTTTGTTTCCTTCGCGATCCGCATTTTAAATACATCTAAACATCACTAACCACAAAACGGGGGCATTAAAGGTTACCGTCACAGCACTTACTAACTGGAACATCACTCTCGTTTGGCTTAAATAACTTGCCTTTATTTTGGGTTTGTAATACTGTAAAAAAAAATCAGCTTCTCGGTCGTATCCCGTGTTTTAGTGCTGATTCTTTAGTGCGTTATTAATTATCTAAAGCGTTAATAAAGATTAAAGAGGCCGTCTACACTTGAATGTAATAACGTTTTGTATAATGATGGCCGCAGTTACAAAAAACATAATTAACTGTAAGCATATTGGGCAGCAGACACCGAATTGAACACACAACATGTGCTTTTAAAATCGGTCTGCTTATACTGTATATACTGTAATGCATCATATAGTAAACTTATAATCTATCATTATTCCATAATTTACGGAACCGAAATGCTGCGACCACGGAAAAAAACTCCTCGCCCTTATCTCGTAATTACGAGAAAGTTATCTCGTAATTACGAGACAGTAATTCTCGCGTACTTGATGTGATCACGCGATAGCACAATTGTCGGATAATGCCTACATCAAGTAGGCAGCTGCGCCAGCATGCGTAGGCTGCAAAGGAATAAGTTAAAGCTTTATTCCATGCTGAAAAGATTTTAGAAAAAAGGAAACAACGTTTCGGCAGTAAAGCCCTCACATACGGTTCTCGTAATAACGTGATAAGGGGGCGATTGTTTTTCGTAATAACTAATAATAACTAACCTATTGTCTACATCTATAATTCAATAATATATATAATTCTATGCGCAAGGCTAACTTTTAGAAGAAGGAAAGCACTGTCGAAAAAAAAAGACTCGAAGAGAACAAAGCACGTTTATGTCCTTAGTTTTACAAGATGATATAGAAACGACGCCGGCAAACCAACCAAAGGTTTCAAGCAAGCAATAAGTAAATGAAACACCAGACAAGCAGGAGTAAGGATCGCATTTCCTACCCTGTTAGCGAAACAGTGAAGTGGTATTTCACTGAAAAAAAAACTATGCGGCGTTCATTATTTCTCATGAAACTTAATCTTGTTCTTTCCGCAACACAGACGACGACATGAACATATTAGAGCCAGAAAAACACAATTCCTATTTATCCCGGAATCCTGCATCAGCGCAAGCACATCCTTCCTTGTAACTGTACAGTACAGTGCTAGCATCACAACAACAACAAACCCTAATCCCTACGTACTTCCGGCAAGAGGTATTGTTTCCGGGTTAAGTGATGACCTCACTTGATTGATGTCAGACTCCCGCAGGTCTGCACGGTTCTGCGTTCTTCGAGGGATGCAGTGCAGACGTCTGGCTTATGGGAGGACTTAAAACCTATAAATCATTATTAGTGTATAATACCACACACAGGGCTGTTATTATTACCTTAATCCTGAAAATACCATAACATGCAGTATTCAATTCGCCACTTACAGGAAAAAGTTGCAGTAAACTAACCAAAACGTGGATATTCTATACATACAACCATTCTGCATCTTAGGACACCTCCCACAGACAGCTCTGTAAGGTCAATTAGCAGTACCAAATGGTAGTGATCTTATCTAAAAACTGTAATTCTCGTACAACAAATACAACATTACACTTAAATATTAAAATTATTGTCACTGAAACGGCAGTGCTGCAGTTGTTCATTGAGTGTTACGTGTGTTAATGTCATGTAACTAATCTATCCCAATCTTTTTCTACTGCTCTTCTCTCCTGAGATGAATGGACTTTTACTCTTCCATTGAAAATTAGTTTTATATTTCCAACAAATGTCTATAGCAAACTGTATCTTAAAATATAAATCTTTATCAAACGTTTATTTACTTAGTACATGTTATTATATGACACCTACTTCCACTATGTCACGAAGTTTGTTATGCATCCAATTTAATCATGTTTAAAATGAATGCTACTCTTCGGTATTACTCATGCTTCCTGCTAAAACATTATAAACCCCCCAAAAAATTGCACAGCTAAAGTCCTGACTTTCTTATTTCAAGATCGCTAGAGGAGCTGTTTAACAGAAAGCTTGACCCTTCTAGTTCTGTATTCGGAACGAGAAAGGAAAGAACACATAATGCCGGTCATCTTCGATCTCTCCCAGTAACTGGTCTTGTTCTCAAGCTGAGGTTCAAGTGTTGCTCTGTTGGATGCAGTTTAGCGCCGATGCGGCTGCAAACAAGGAGATGTATTAATATATCAGCACCACTAGGAGGAAACAACCCTCGAGCGGAAGAAAAAAGTACAGTATGTGACAGTACATAGAAAACCTCGCTTCAGGAAAGACAGGTTTTTGCGTTTACGCATAGAAAGGTTTTCAAATTCAATTTTCGTTGTAGCTTTAACCTAAGTGACTTGAAATGTATATGGTGGTTTCGTACTGTATGACAAAAGTACTTAAGGTGTATATCAAGTTAACTAGTAAACTTCCCGATTAGATTTATAAGCAGCTCCGAGGTAAATGACTGGAATTAAAAAAATAGCTACAATTTAACTTTTTTTTCTGACACATAGATTCAAATACAATAGAACTAAGGTATATGTTTTTTTCAATTTGTTTATTGGTTTAAAAGAATATTACATGGTACCACAGACAGTAATGATGCAATGTGAACAATTATGGCATGACAGACTTGGCAGCTAAGCAACCTGTGCAATTCCATCAGTAATATCAAAACAGGAAAAAAGGAGTAGAAAAAGGGAACCAGAGATGAGGAAGAGATTAACTAAATTATATTTTATTCCCACGGCTATAAACCTGCATAATATGGACAACTGATTGTAGATTTTACTTTATTTATATATTTTTTTCTTTCTCATCACTCACACGTCTCTTATTTGTTGATGGGTTCATTTTGTATTGAGTGTGTTGTGTCTCTTACCTGCTCGCAAAGCCAATTCCCCAGCTGGGACAATACAGGAAGTGGACGTATTCAGCTGTGTGTGTTGTACTGGCCCGTGTCTCCTGCTCTAGCTGCCTCAGCACAACTCTCCTCTCTTTCGCCCTGGCTCTCCCTCTCTCCAGATCCACGTCCCCCACCTGCCCTTGACTTCATGCCCTAGTGCCCCCTCTCTCCCTCTTCGGTATCTAAGGGCACGGATGCATCATGATGCAGAATAGAAACGCACTAGTGCAGATGGGCAGGGCTGAGGCAGGCCAAAGGAGTCATGTTTTGTTTGTTGTGCTCAAACTTCATAAGGGGAAGTGACTAACAGTCAGACACTTACCTCAAAATCCACTGACAGAAATGCCTCCTTGAGGGAATATTATCTCTCTTTTACTGAAGTGCAGATTTTTCCCTCCTGCATGTTGCCCCGTTTCAAAAGCTGTGCGTGTTGGGAGTAATCCCACTGAATTCATGGGGCGAAGCAGTTTCTCACTTCTCTGTCTAATCTGCTGTGTACTTGGGCTTCTGGTGTCTGCACTTCAGTTTAAGGGTGAGGTGGGACCCCCTCTTATATGTAAAGCGTTATATAAATACAAGGGATTGGATTAGTTCAAGTCTGCCAGTCTAAACTCCCACATGACTTACACAGGTTCCTCCCAGAAAATGTGTGTGAATGCTCTCGGGAGCCCTGTGGAATTGACATACTGTAACCCCACTGTCACTGTCTTTCAGACCCCCTACTGTACATTGCTGCTGAAAATAGCAGTTCCGCGTTTGCCTCACAGATGTGACACATTGTATTTTGTATTGCATTTCCTCTACACGTGATCCTGCAAAAACGACAGCAACAGACTATAGCAGTTATTTAACCATGAAAATTATTATTGATTCCAAAGAGGATATGACCATCTAAATGACAATATAATTTCAATTATGATAACAACACGTTGTCAACCCAGTTCGATGCGTGTTTGTAAAAAGTACCCTCCACACTATTTCTGTATACGTTTGACGATTTCTGTCGTACTCTTTCCTTTAAAATTTCCTTCCAAACGATATCTCCAACTGCTGGAAATAACGCGTCTCGCACAACAGAAATACGAACAAGGAAGGGCACGTAGTTTCTTAGCAAAAACGAATGTCTTTATTTAATAAAAAAAAAAACTTCGTAGCTCTTTATTTCGTTTCCAACATCAATGCAGTACGTTAACACACGCGGTCTTTTCATAATGCCATGCTGTTCATGCTGTGAATGTTCGTAGGGTTTTTTCTTTTGCGTTTTAAAAAGAAAATCTGAAACACAGAAGATGAGTCAAGACCGGTCAACAGGATCTCACGCGTGCAAGACTCAAAAAAGAAACAGAAGACTAGTGACTTTTTCGGCAGATTTACAGACCTATCCGCGGCTGAGTGGGTTTTACGCGAAATGAGTTTTAAAAAAAAATAATAAAAAGCCCGGCCCCTTAAGACCAAGGCCGTCCCCCCGGAGCGCACGCCTCCGCGCCGGCCCCTCTCCTCTCCTCTGCCCCAGTCCCGGGGCCCGGCAGCCCGGTGCGTCAGCGCGTCGCGCCGCCCCTCGCCGGCGCCCGGTGCGCAGTGACCTCAGCGCCAGCCGTCAGACACAGCCGTGGATCTCACGGAAGATGCTGAAGAAAAGGGAAGCGGCGGTGAGTTTCAGGCTGGTTGCGGTTCCCTCTTTCGCGGGGTGGAAAAGGACGGTGTGAGCCGGTGGATGTGTGGAAGTGGGATGGGGCGCCTAGCCGGAAATATCCGCCTGGTGAGGCACGCTGCTGCGGCTGAGGCGGCGGGGTGCTTTCGCCAGTTGAGTCCGCACCGCTGAGTGTTTTGTTGTTTACACTGTAGGCCTGTTGTTAAGGACCTGCTGCAGGAAGAAGTTGGATTTAAACGTAGCCCCATCGGCGTGGGTACAAGGAAGGAGTGCAGCTGGGTAGCGGCTCTGGTTCCTCGGCTCCGGCTGCGCAGCTCGGTTTCCTGCCTGCCTGCTCGTCACGTTATTAGCGACACGGCTCGTCCTCTCAGCTGTGTGATAGTCACAGCCGTCACCTGTGACACCTGGGTGCTTTCGGATGAAGCCAAATGATGCTTTGGGATGGCTTACGCATGTGTAACGCGTGGGGGGGGGGATCATTTTGGGGGCACTGTTCCACTTAATTAGGCGCAAGAACTGCCCGGCGCACAGTTGCAACCGTAGCTCGGGTTAGGAACCTGTTTGTGGGTCAAACATGATTTGCGGAATGTCTCCCTGTGTAATTTAGTGGGTGTTAAATGGGTGAGGCATGGGGACTGTAAGCGGGCAGTCCGCTGAGCGAAATGCGTTCAGTTCAAGCACGGCGCAGGGCTGGGGCGCTTGGCACGGTTTCAGCGCTAATCCTGCTGCCGTCGGGTCACATCACCGCGACAGGGTTGAGCGAACCGGCCGGAGAACATCGCGGCAGGAAAGGGCTGTGGGCTTAAGCTCTTAATTGCGTTCCGCATAACCAAATGTACATTAGAGTATGGAACTTGACGTGAATATCTCCGGAGTTTAATGTTGGAAAAGGTTGTTTTTTTTAAAAAAAAGAAGTCTCATCTTCATTGTATCTCAATGGCAAAAAATCCTAATCACAGCGACATTGATTTCATTAAGCTTTTGATGAGGGTTTTTGTTTGTTGATTTTGGTGAAATAAAAACCAGACTGCTACTGACTGCTAGTTACCGTGCAGGAGTTCGGCACTTCTCCACACAGTCTGTTTACGACAAACTGCCCAAAGATGATTTGACATCCCCCTTCAGGAGCTCTGGCCTCATAGCCTTCGAGAGCTGTTTCATTACAGAGAGCACAAGCAGTAGCCCTGTAAAGGCACACGGCTGATGTTACTGTCGGGATGAGAAATGAGCCCTTCTCTCCCAGTTTGCGTGAGTCTGCAGTGTGGAACGGTTTGTGTCTTTTGCTTCTTTACGGCTGTGCCTTCTAGCCTTACCATGCTTCTCCTGCTGGGACCGCAGGCCGGCGCCTTGGCGTTTGTGCTCTCTCTTCTGTTTCCTCAACACCATGCTGCCACATCGCTTCTACCGCTGGTCTGGGCCGCCTCGCCTGTCTCTCCTCTTCCCTGTGGCCCAGGCGTCTGTGCGGGACGTCGGGTCTCCTCTGTGGCCGAGCCCTCCTCTCGGCTCAGGTGATGAGGACGGCTGTCGTGCTCCCTGCCCCTCCCTGGTAGAGAGCACGGAGGCCTGACGCAGCTTGGACAGGAGAGCTGAGGCCGACGACGGGAGCTCTTTCCCCTGGCCCAGTGAAGATCGAGGCAGACAAGCTCTCTTGTCCCCACAAAGGGGCCGGAGAAGACCAGACACTGCCCCTAGTTCTGTAAGAAGCCCTCCTTGGGGCACCTTCGGCACAATGGCTTGTGCTACAGTTACACTGATCTGGCAAAACTATCTCGAACCTTCAATACAGGCACCATTGAGCAGCCTGGTTTTCACTGGCTGTTTTCTTTCCCCTCATACTGTTTCTGATGGGAGTGAAAAAGCTCAGCTGTTTCTTGTTCATAACCCTCCCATGCTTTTTCGTGGAAGATGAAAACACTTGTTTTTGTCGTGTGACCGTAAATGTGCCCTTCGGTGCGGAGAGGAAGTTAAGGCTAAAAATACAGCACCGAGGTACAATTTGAAAAATCCATCTTGTTGGTTCTACTTCAAAGCATGGAGAAAGCACAAATGAACTGATTGGTGTATGGTATAGTACACTTGTGAGTAATAATAAAATCTCCCCTATTTAACATTTTAATGTGTAAGTGTAAAGAAATCACAGTCCCACTCTTTTATTTACTTTGTTTCTTTTTGCCGCCGGCACAGTGTTGAAATGAGGGGGAACTGCTAAAAAACATCTTTGCAGGGCATGCTTGTTCTTGATAAATGCTTGTAACGAAACAGCTGTTTGGCAGAGTCGCTTTGAAAATTGTACATGCGCCACTTGTGCTACTGCTGAATACACAGCAGGGAAGAAGATCTGCGTCTTCTTCATCGTGAAACCTTTACGTGAGCTGCTACAGGATCCCAATTAAAGTGGTTGTTACACCTTTTCTGATCTAACCTTCCAAACCCCCTTTGGAGACCCACCTGAGAATATCCTTCAACCCCCTGATGCGTTCTAGCGTTCAGTAGGTGTGGTGCTTCAAAGGACCACCGATCAGTGTTTGTGAAGATATCTAGGCTAAGGCATTTAAAAGGAAATGCCACATTTGTTCAAATGGATTGACATCACTGATTTTTAATATTAGAATTCCGGATTTCAACTGAAAGTTTTATACAAAATTTCTGATACACCTGCTTGCAGTTGGAACAGTATTTTGAACAATCTGTTATTTTTATTGACTCTGTGACACTTTAATTTGTAATACCACACTTTAGAATACCAGAGATTGCATGCTGTCCTGCTTTCTTGTTTTCATTTTGTCTGAGCTCTGTTAATTAGCTGAAGTTATTTTCTTAACAGGAATCTAGGACTTCCTTGTCAGTGAGGCCTCAATCTCAATGGGCTTATGTCCTGTCTTAATAAAAGAAATTTTAAATTGGAATTACGGTTTCAATACAGATCTCACAATCTGCAAAATTAGAACTGGTGCTCCAGTTCATGGGACCAGGTGTTTTATTCAAGAGTAAGATTCAGTTCAGGTTTGAGAATAAGGTCTGAGTTTTAGACTCCTAGTTTATACACTGAGCAGCAATTGGATTTTAAGCAGGATTTTAAGGAAACAGTGAAGTGAATTATGTTCAGAGGAAAATAATTAATGATGAAATCAGTTCTGTCTTTGAAAAGCCTTGACAATGCGGCACGATGCCCATGACGTCTGCTGTCATAAAGGTTAAAAAAGAGGGTTGTGTCTCAAACCTTTTGTGTTCTACTGCTTGTGTGTATCTGTACAGCGTTTTAAATATCATGTTTTATTATCCAAGTGCCTAAAAAGGAGTGGTTGTATTAATGTAAAAACACATGTACTGGATAACGTGCCTCCTATAGCCAGAAATGATGACTGACCACTAGTCCATCAGGTGTTTCCTTCACTCCTCAGGCACAGTGGCTGCGGTTCAGAGCAACTCTCGCTTGTCTCCTCAAAAACATGTCCCCCCACTCTGAACAGAAGCACAGGAGTCTGCTCCAGAAGACTGACGCACAGTTAGGAGAACAGCTGTACTAAACCTGATAAAGGCTTCCAAAGGATACGAGCTCTTTCTGGTCGATACCGAAAGAAATTTCCCTCAGAAATGAAAGACAGCCCCAAAATCTGCTTCCAGCTTCTTCCATGCTTAGAAAGACCATACTCTCGTTTCATTCCTCAAGGTGTGTGTCTGAACTGCTGGTGCTTTTGGTCCGTTGGAAGGTGGAACTCACTCAAAACATCAGACTTCTTCTGTTGTGAAGCATTAGAGAGTTGTGCCTGATCCTGCTGCTAATCTGCTAAGCTAGTGCTCTTGGGCTGACCACTCATCTCTTAGCGCATTGGGCATATTCACCAGAAGTCTCCACCTCACCGCTGCTCCCACCCCAAGGGAAGAGGTTCAGTGTTTGTGGCCAGGTCTTGTCAGTGCCAGTTTTCTGTTCCTAGTCCCCTGTCGCTGACCTCTTGAGGCCGTCTCGGTTACAGATGCAGAAAGAACTCTCAACAGTCGCCCAACCTGCCCTGGATTCTCCTAACCGGGTAGATCTTTAGTGAAGTGACTCAGCAGGTGGCCTGTACATGTCAGCCCTGTCCCCTCGTTGTTTACCCCTTAAGCCAGTTACTGTACTTACAGGTTACCAGTGGCCACGTGGCACAGACAGGTAGATGACTTCACCATAACCCATACTGGTGTAACTAGCAAACACCTCGGCACACAGCTTTGTAGCATTTGGAGTTATACCACCATACCAACTGTCTTTCAAATGCACGCAGGTGTTAAGAAATGAAAACTAAATCAACAGAACGCACCAGAAGCCTCACAATGTCATCCAAGTCAACGTCCATTTTCCTCTTTTGAATTTATGCAAAAACTGCTTACATCAGGGCTCCTACGTTGTTCCACCAGTACAAGTGATTGCTTGGGGCTCACGTTAAGCTCTGGGGTTGCATGCTTGAGCCTGGGTGATGTGACCAGCTTCCTTTGATCTTTTCAGACGTGGCTGCAGGTAACTGGCTGGGTCCTGAAGGGGTGTGGGTTAGGTTAGTCAGCTCAGGCTGTCTTGGCTCTCTAGCGATGATTCCTGTGCCTTGCTGGGGGTCTGCAGACTTGGGGCAACAAGAGTGAGAGCTGCTGCGTTCGCCCTGCTGGTGCTGTTGAGCTTGACGAACGTGAACAAGTTGCGAATGGCTGTGTAGGACGGTGTGCTGGAGGAGCATATTTAGCTCTTCCTAAGAGAGTACAGAAGCGTTTCCTGCAGAGCCTGATGTATAATAAATCAGAAAGTCTAAATCGGGAAGTCCTTTGCATGTGTAGTAATGTTCTGAAAACATATTAGCCGGTTCCATAGGACCAAAAAAATATTTTACCCAAGTACAAAGGTACAGATTCTGCAGTCTGATTATTTCGTGGAGGGAGGGAGGGTCATGTCTTTGCAAGGGTTATAAGAATGACCGATTGCTGTTCCCTTGTTAAGTGGTCAGGCTATTGATTGTTTTTGGAACAAACCAA